TTTATATCCATCGGTCCATCCATCTATCATGTGAGTGATACATAAGTATATATATTACTATTATTATTTAGTATTAGAGAGGGAGGAGAATAAGTTAAGCAAAAGAATATATATGACCCACATGAAATGGATATGTGATTCTATAGGAGAAAGGGGAACAACCCAATTTCAATTAAATTGTGCTAATGCCCTTTATATTTCTTTATTTCACATTTCATTTTCATATATAAAGGACATGGGGTTTTGTGTTTTGTGTTTGTCTTGGGTTGGTTGCCTTACCATACCCATTAATTATAATTAATACTCACTCTAATTTTTTTATATTTGTCCTTTAAAATTTTTATACACCAATTCATAACAACGATAAATATATTAAATTTTAATAAAAATAGAGAATAAAAAACTATATTATTTTTCTAAAAAAAAAATTCACGTAATTTAAATTTAACTTTCACTAATAATATTATTAATGAAAGAAGGGTAAATTGGGAAAGAAAATATTTAATGAAGCGTTAGAATCGTGATTTGACGCTTATTTAAAATATAAAGAAAACAACCCTAGAATGACAAATATTAAAAAATAAAGAGAATACCATTTTGTGTTTGTTTATCGTTTATGTCTAGTGATTAAAATATTTAGAGTTGGGGATTTTTCTATGTGCAATACATCACTAAACCAAACTCACACCATGATATGTGTTAGTACCATTTTATATATTTATATAACAATTAACAAATTAGTACTTAATCCCACCTTTTGACAATCCCAATTATATTATAAGATACTCTTTTAAAAAAATTAAAAATAACTTTGATTTTTTTATTATTGGAATGTAATCTACGTAAAAAATAATTATCAAGTATTACACCGTCGCCATCGAATAAATTTAATCACGGTTCAAAGCGGGACCCATAATTAAATTATGCACTAATGGTGTGATTATGCTCGATGGATGTAATCCCACCAATAAATCATGATTAATGCACGAAGCTTTTTAATTACAAGTATTCATTCTTAAAGAAAGCTTATTTTAAAAATTGCACATTGGTTGGACATAAATAAAAGTTCATTTAATTGAGTTCAAGCCATATGTTTTTTAATGCTTAGGTCAAACCCTAAAATTGCAAATATAAGCTCTCCCTTTTTAATTTAATGCTAATGCAATTGTAAGCTCTCCGGCCAAAGACAAGCACTATTATTAGTATTACTATTGAAATTAGAACTCATCAAACCAATTTTTTGAAAATGATACCATTAAATAAAGAAAGAAAAGCATTACTCGATCAATTTATTTTTATTTTAGTTGATTTTAGTTTGATTAACCGCAAATTAATTTAAGATTTGAACCAAACTATGTGAAAAATAATATATATATGTATTATATATTATTTTCCTAAAATTAAACACAATTATTAGCATTGATTAGTAATTTTCAAAGGAAAAATCAGGCTTCTGGCCACCTTCCATCCTAAGAGGATGATGGCAAGGTGTGATTGCGACTAAATAATTTTATTTTATTTTTGTGTTATTGATAATTGGCATACTGCATTGACATTTTTATTGGACTGTTGCACCTATGTCCTTATATAATGTATATATCATTCTTTTAGGACAATCACAAATGGATACGGCAATTTGTTTTTGATAAAAGGACGAGATATAATTTTCAATTGTGAAATCAAACAAATTAGTCAATTTTTATTGCGTCAAATATTGGATTATTCATTGAATAAACTTCTAAAATTCAATGAACAATATTATTATTTGAAGGAACAAAATTAACAACTCTACCAAAGGGATAAATATTTTGAAAAAATGCTCGTCCAATCAATTTGTGGACAAAAAATGTTTTATATTATTTTAATTTTTTAGCTTGTTAGAATGTCATTTCAAAAAGTATAAAATACCATGAATTTATTTACGGTATTCTTCTTTTATTGTTCAGGAAAAAATGGGTTTTGATTTAAAGAATTTATATAATAAACCTTTAATTTTTACGTGATGGATTACAGTTTGTGCAATCATTATTGTTATAATTATATTGAAATTCAATGAAAGATACTTCATCTCTGTCCCGGTATATAAATTTTTATACAATAATAATAATAATTTGACTAAATTACTATTTATCTCAAATTATTATTTACATCTTATATCATTATATTGTATTGTCTAATATAAATAATAATAAAATTAAAAAAAGATCGCTTTTATTTTTTTAAAAAATATTTAAAATAATTTATATTTTAGAAGGAAATAATTATCGTAAAATGACTAGGGGAAGTAAGTAATTCGTCAAACACGTATGCTAGTTGCCATTATGATGTTCCAATGCTAATAAAAAAAAATATAAAAAAAAAAAAAAAAACCCTTGCCATTATGATGTTCCCAACTGCTAATAAAAAAAAGATGATAAGAAAAAAAGAAAAAAAAAACCCACCAAAAGAGGGAAAGTGTTTCTTTTCAAAGTCAAGATGGGTTTCCCGCCTGGCTTTTTGATTAATACCTAGGCTAAAAGACCTTTATAATTCCAAGGGTCCATTTGCCCTTTAATTAAATAAATAATTATACAACATAAAAGCAGTAATTAAAATCAAAAAAAAATTAAAAAAAAAAAAAAAAACCCACCAAAAGAGGGAAATTTTCTTTTTCAAGTAAGATGTTCCCCCTGCTTTTGATTAGATACCTAGGCTAAAAGACCTTTTATAATTGCCAAGTCCATTTGCCCTTTAATTAAATAAATAATTATACAACATAAAGCATAATTAAAATCATTATCACATAGTGTTAGTCAATAAGCAATTACCATTATTTAATAATTGCTCTTAATTAACTGAGATAAATAAAAACGTGAAGGGCCAAGAGAGAAAGAAAGAAAGGAAAGAAGCGGGGAATCAGATTCACGTGTTTTGGAGGGCATGCCGGTCATAAAGGGACAGATGGTCCTCATCTGGTAGGGACCCACAGAGTGGGCCCACGGATCCTACAAACAAAATCTACTTATTATTGTGTTGTCCTTGTTACTTTCTCCTTATTAAATGCTAACTTTGGATTTTTGTGTGTGTTAATGTGGGGCCCTTTTCCTTTCGAAACCTTTTATTTTATTATTATTTTTTTAACTTTGAGTTTTGTTCTGTCTTTTAAAATAAAAATATTTTTCTGAAAATGGCCCTTTAATTAGTTGGACAATTTTGAAGTTTGAAAGAAATGCTTGAATGGGAATTGAAGATGACTTGTAAACAACTTGGGACATTTTTTCTATGGAGATAACACTATTATTGGAGGCCATGTAATATTCCCAATTGAATATGCCCTTTATTGGAATTGACTCCACCAGATTTTGTACGACCTTTTTTTATTTTTATTTATCGAATAATAATTATTTAAAAAATTAAAAACAATATTCATTCGTATTATTTACACGTAATTATCTTTTCTAGCAGCATATTTTTCACAAGTAATTACAAATATAGCCAGCATATTTTTAAAATTCAAAATAACAAACAAATAAATAAAACCACGTCAACATGTTAATCACGAAAGTTGAACAGAACACCTCTTTCATTTTCGTTGCATGGCAATTCCTAAGCTGCCTAACTTTTGTCTTCTCTTCAGCATATCAAACAACAGTACAACTCAATTATTTTTAACCTATTCCTGTAACAAAAAAAATTAAAATTACACCAAATAAATAAATTTGTAAAATCTGAGGTAATTGAAGAGAGAATAAAAAATAAAAAATAAAGGTACAACTTTGTGATTGAGGAGGGAGGCAACAAAGGCGGTACCTTTTTTATATAGTCCCCTATTGACAATGACAAAAGAGGCAGCAAAGTAACGTGCTTGGGACGGGCCTCGTTCATTTCAAAAAACCCATCAGTATTCACTGTTCAGTCACTCACTCCACCATCACCACCCCCGTCTCGGCCTCGCAACTCTCAACAAACTCACCTGCTAAAATGCGCTACCCGTTGAAGATATCGTCATCATCATATCACGACTTTTCACACGCTTTTATTTTATTATACAACCAAGAAAAACTGAAAATAATGATAACGTCGTCGTCTAGAATACGCCAAGCGATAATGCACAAAATACGGTAGTGCCAGACTCCGCCTCTCTCTACTTTTCTTTTCTTTTCTTTCGTTCTTTTAGGTGTTATCTATTTTACCTTTTCTTACCTGTTTTGGCGGGGCTCTCCAACCACCCATTCTCGCGTCCTTTTCTCCCTCTTTTTTCTTTTTTACATCTTAATTAATTAAATTAATTAATTAATTAATTTAACAACATAGAATAAGATAAAAGGAACTAACCAGGAGGCAGATTTCTTGCAGGCGTTATCGTTTTACAGCAAACACGCCCTTGTTAAACTCTGATAACCGCATCGGCATCCCCAGAAAAAAGATTAAAAAACAAAAAGGAAAGAAAAGAAAAGTGGGTTTGGGTGTGGGTGTGCGCACGAGAGAGAGTATATGTTCAGTGCCACAACTACTGCCACTGCACAACTACTGCGACATTTGCGCGCGTCCTACGTGTCAGCTTTTGCCTCACATCTGTCGCTCTCTTATTCCCGTTGACTCCACGCGTTTCTCAACGAGCGTCCTTCGCACGCCCATCCCATTTCTCACATATATTAGTACTGTCCATCTGTCGGGTAGATGCGTGCTCTGGGAGACCGGGTCCCACATATCCCCACGCCCCCACTTCTCATCTTTTTCGCCTTCACTCCTAAGCCCGAACCAACTTCGTCTATCCAACCCCCGTTCCGCTACAATGCGCCTTCTTATCCGTATTATTCTAAAAATTATTAACAAGTTAAAGATAAATACTTCACTAATACGAATACTTAATTGGACACTGTACCATCGACACTTTTTTTTTTTTTGAAACCTTAAAATCATCTTTGCGGAATTTTCTGACTGGAATTTAATCCACCATACGAACAGTTTGAAACAAAATAACCAGAGATTGAAAATCAAGAACAAAAATTAATTTGATGTAAAATGCAATAAAGAATCATTCTAACTAAACCAAAGAAGAGAAGTAAAATGAACATTGTTTTGGTTTCTTGAATATTTTGTTCTTTTTTTTTTTTTTCCCTTTCTGGTGTTATGTTTGATCACTCATAATGACATGTTAATATGGAAACTGGCATTCTTGGTGGCTTTACAGATGGGGCAAGTATTGAGACTAGACCCACAAACAGTACACAGGCACAGATGCCTGCACGGCAACAGCAATACACATGATTCCTCCTTCCTACAGTTCCTGCACAACCTGCTCGATGTTGTGTCCTTATCCTGCGCCCCACTTGGTAACGTGCACCGCTCCTCGTCTAACCTTTCCCCTTCGCCACTACTGCCACAACATGATTGCGCATCGTCCATTTCTGCTGTCGGCTCGTCTAGACCTGCGCCCCTGGTGCGCTCGTCTTTAACCTGCGCTGCTAGTACTTGTTCGAGATTGGTTCTTAAAGCATTGGCTGTAGCCTCGTTGGTTTGTGCCAGGTCTCGCCATATTTGGTTCTCTATACAAAGAGACTTGACCCTCTCCTCGAGTGCCCAATTTAATTTACCAATCTTCTCGATTTCTTCTTCCTTTGCTCTTAGCCTTTTTAGCATCCCTTCTTCTATTGCTTCTATTATCCTCCTCGATTGTCTCTTTCTTTTCTCTTCTAACTCCATCCTCACTTTCTCCATCTATAAAAAATATAAAAAATAAATTAAAATCAATGATAGAGATACATTCTTCTCGAGTAATTAATTACTATGCGAAGATTAATTAAACAGGCATTGATAGATACGTACATGTTGGGAAACAAGATGGTCGATGTCTAGTTGCTGTTGCTGGATCTGTAGAGAGAGGTCTTGGCCTAAAAAGGAGAAGGGAGAGCCAGAGCCTGTCTTATTGTTAGGTTGATGAGTTGGGTATGAGAGAAGAGGATTGATGGAGTCTCTTGGGCGCTTTCTTGGCATAGGCAGATGATTGTAGGTTAAACCACTTTCTGATTTGATCGGTGTTTTTTGCGGGATTGAATCTGCAATCACACAACTGTACATAGGAAGCAGCGTTTCTGTCGTTGTTGTAGTTCCTGATAATGGAAGCCGATATCCCATCTGGGAATTGTACATATTCATATTCGCTTCACTTGGGTTCATTATTTCCCTGCAAATTCATCACCGACAAAGAATATTAGATCGAGATGAAAGACATAAATACAGCATAATATATTTTAAGCGCAGAGAAAGAAAAAGAGACGGTACCGGTTGCCTAAGAGCTGAGGAGAGAAGAGATTGAGATGCCGTGCTTCTACAGCCATGGAGGATGATAATAATAGTGAAGAAGATGATTAAGATATGTATGCTTTATGCTATGTTTAAAAGAAGTGTCCCTGTATTGCTTGGGGTTTTCTTTCTTTTGCTTTCTTGGCTAGTGGCTGGTTTTAGAGTTCTTGTTTCGGTTTTGGTTTTTAGAGAAGAAGAGAACAAGAAGGATTAGGAAATGAACAAAAGGGCATGCAATAGAGGTGGCAAGGCTGTATGGTGGGGTTTATTTAGGGTTTGGTTTGGTCTAGAGAGAGAAAAAGGGCAATCTATCTAGAGAGAGAGAATCAAATCAAAACACAAATATATTTTGTAGAGGAGGTGTGGAGAGAGAGATATTTGTATTGATTGGTTTGGGTTTCTTTTGTCTATTTTAGGATTCGGTTACTAGAAAAACCCCCATCCCCCTACTTGAGTCCAATTCTATAACAAACAGAGGTCCTGGTCATCCCGTTATTCCACCGATTATGCAGGGGTATTACCGGAATATCAGGCCCTGTCCATTGTAACTGGCTTCCTTTACTAAGTTTTCCTTTTTTCTCCGTTGATAAAAACATTTTTAAAAAGAAAAACACTGATGTTGGTGATTAATATTAACTGACAAGCATCAGGGGTATTGGCCACGTAATCACCTGCCCACTAGAGTCCGCCACGTAGAAGCAGTGAACGTCTGTGAAGAGGATAGGGTCCACGTATACACGTGTGGGACAGGGCTACAGGAGTAAGAAGAGGGACAAGACAAAAGGGGGGGGCCAAAAATAGTATCCAGCGTGGCAGTGAGTATGGCCCACAAAAGATTGGATTGTTGTCAAGAAAAAAGGGAACTAATAAGCGGCCGTTGGGAAAGGGTACGGTGTACCCAGTCAGGGTCCTTTGGCAGTTTCTTTCTTTCTCCACTTAACTTTTTTCCATCTTTTGATATTTTTCCTGATTTAAGACACGTTAATTCATGCTGGTCGCATGGGAAACGTTTGTTTAGGTTTGGCACTGTCTGTGCCACGTGGCTTCCACTCTCACGGACTATTTTCTTTCCTTCCTTGAATTTCCTACGGTAAAATTGCTGTTCATCAACAACCATTTTCATTTTCTGCTCCATTTAATTTTATATCTGCTTTTCTAATTAGACTTTAACCTAAATTTTAATTTATAATTTTAAAGATAAATACATATTAATTATTTATCTTTTTTGCTTAACTACGAATTGTTGCTTTATCTAAAATTATTTATCATCTATGAAGATTATAATGTATTAATCAAATTTTTCTAATTGTATCCTCAGCTTTATAATTTAAAATTATTACGTCGCTTTCTATCATAATTATATCAATGGTTCTCAGTGACAAATTAATAAAGAAAAAAATGTTTGAGATTAAACTATTTAGATAAATCAAAAGGTAATTTAATCAAATTAAGAAGTATTTTATTTTACTTAATTTAATTTTCTCATTTAGAATTGGTAGTATTCAAATTCTATTTTGGAGTTTGAAAGTGATTATTTAATTATATAGTAATCTTGGGTTGGCTGGCAACCAGAAACTTCTTGCACAGATTCAAATTCTATAGTTTTGATTAATCTGTTTTCTGTCCTGGAAATTTGTGTATTTGGAACAAGTTTTCAATTCTTCAAACTTGCTTACCAAATTTTGTTGATAGGTATATGCACACCTATGACATATGACTCATTCTCAGCTTGGATTTCCATATCTATATTTATTCATTCAATTTGTGAATTCTGCCTTATCTTTTTGAAAAGGAATTCTACCTTATTTTGACAATAAACTTAATTTATTGACCAAATCTCTAATCGGTATGCCATAACTAATTACCTACTTTTAAAATTCTTTATTTTCAGAATTTTCTAAATAAAAAAAATTATAAAATTATTAATAAATAGTGCACTTGCTAATACTTAAAATTAATTATCCAAATATGACCATATAGCAATAAAAGTTTGCCCATATGCACTTTTGTGCATACCAATATAAAAGAATTTAATTTATAGTATTTTTAAAAAATCCCCCCCCCCCCCCAGTGCACTTGCTAAATACTTAAATTAATTATCCCAAATTCATGACCCTCAGTACTAGCAATAAAAGTTTGCCCATATCTGCACTCTTATGTGCATACCAATACTAAAATGAATTTAAATGTTATAGTGTATTTAAACCTAAATCCCGGCCGGCCCCGCCCTCTCCCCCCCAAAAAAAAAAAAAGCATTATCAAATTCAGTGTGTTCTGTTGCATACGTGCTCTGGTAATTGTATGCGTCAAAATAGTCATCTTTTCACCCATGATTTCTTTATGACCCCAATTTAAATTTATTTGGTTTTGAAAAATAAAAACAATAGGAGATTAATTTTGAGACAAAACACAAATAAAATCCCCCCCCCCCCCCAAAAAAAAAAAAAAAGCATCTATCAAATTAGTTGTGCTGGTTGCACGTGCTCTGGCTAATGTATCTCAATGTCATTTTTTACATTGATTTTTATGACCCCAATTTAATTTATTTGGTTTTGAAAAATAAAAACAATAGGAGATTAATTATTGAGACAAAACGACAAATAAAATCAGCCGTTTAACATTTTTAATTAATTACAAATTTTGATCTACGGACCGTTTAAGGAGGCAAAGACTTTTATTTTCTGACAAGTTTGTTTGGTGGCAATTTCCATATATGCATATAAATACGGGTGAGGAAAGGCGGAGCCTTTGGGTTGGGATGTATAAAAATGTAATTTTAATTATTATATGACACCAACATGGCTGAACATACAATAAAAGCAACCGCATAACTATAAGATAACACACGCAGGCCGTACAGACACTCAGACATAGTGCATTAATAAATGACACCTTGGCTTGTACTTCTCCATCTCACTCACCTCGCTATTTATTTTTATTCAAAAATACCTAAAATGGCCTACGCATTAGAACTACTATATTACATTTTTCATTTTTGACGCAACCCTTTTTATATTTGTGCAAAAATAGACATTACTTGATATATTAGTTTTGTTAATCAATTCTAAGCTTTATTTTATTATAATTCTTTATTTATATTATTAATATATTCTGCCTCACCAATAATTTAAAACCTATTAAAATGAGAAGTCCAATACGTAAATATTGTTTACATGATCAAATCGAGTTAAAAGACATACGATATAATATTTACCGCATTACTATATATTAAAAAAATTATTTGCTTTGTTTTGTTAATTGGGTAGAAGGTTGAAGAAATTTTTGGATTGGAATTGAAGAAAAGTTTTAGATAATTAAGTGAATAAAAAATTGGGAGTTAATGATTGTTCGAGAGAGAGAGAGAGAGAGGAACCCCACAACAAGAAGATTAGATGAAAAGTTGGTAATTGCTAGATAGATGGATTCTGTGTTTGCCCTTTCCTTTCTTTCACCCTTTTCTTTTATTCTACCTCTATTATTGCATGCATCAAGCCAACCAATATCGACCACACTTTAATTTAACCACCACCGAAATTGGGGAAGAAAAAAAAAAGAGAACACAATAGAAAGCAAAGTGAAAAATTAAAAAAAAGTTAGGGAAAAAAGAGGTAATGGGTCACAACCCACATAATATTTGTACATTTTATGACTTTATTATTGTGAATAAATTAAAGAAAAAAAAAAAAGAGAAAAAGATACTAAGTTGGACGGCTATGATTGCTCTATGTATTGTCATGATAAATTAAGACAGTACAATTTGTATAAAAAAGGAATAAATAAACATATGAGAGAGGGTATCATGTGTGCTTGTGCTTCCCCTCTTTTTTAGGGCAAATGTATTGCATCTTGACTTGATATAGGAGTTTTCTTTATCTTTTTCTTCTATTCAACTTAAAGTTAGTGATATATATAAATTTGTACATGTGACCACAACACCTCCCATCTTTTTTAACCTCACACATTATGAGAATCTCACATTGTTTTAGCTTTTTGGGAATCTCATCCATCACCCACTCCACAAACAACAATACAAAACAAAAACCATACCCTTTGGATATGTCAGTCTCAATCTTCTCTGTATGTATTATATATATTAAAATCAAGTAAAATAGAGAGATGGGTATGTATTCATAGCTAGTTTTGACAATTAATGAATGAGATTCCTTACAGCAAAGCAAAAACGAAAGCATTTACTTTCTCTGTTCTTTGCTTTCTTTAATTTTTTCTGTGTGTTTATTTTAATGGGGTTAAAAAGTTTGGTCTGTGTAAGAATTTGCTCCTCATGGATGGGGTCAGTTGAGCTATCATCATTTCTTGTATTGGAAACATACCTTACTTGTGCTAAGGATTCTTAAAGAGAGAGATTACCTTCGCTTTGTTTTTCTGCCAGAAAAATTTGACCGTTAGGTTAAAGAGTGATGAGAAGAAATGGGTTGATATACTTTAAAAGAAATAGATAAAGATAGAGTGTTACATTATATGTTAATGGAAATATGGACCCCTCTTTGATAATAAAAGGTAGGGTACTCGGTTCTCTCTATCTTCACTGATATGTTATTGTGTACACATTTATTCATCAATCTCCCTTGACTAATAATTGAAGCTAAAGAAAAAGCAAAAATGGAGAAGTGGGTTGAATATGGAGTGAGTGATGGACTTTGAAAATTAAAAAACAAAAAAAAAGAAAAAAGAAAACAGAAGATAAAATTCTTCCCATAAGACACGTTTGTCAATGCAAGCTTCTCTGTTATTTCTCATTGTTGCTATATATGCTCTAACAGTTCCCTCATCTTAATGTTTCCATGTGCATATCCATGCTTTGTGCCACTCATGGACAAGTCATGGGAGATGCTTCATCCAATTAAAACTGCTATACTTGATTGCCCTTAGCATATGATACCATGGACATTTTTGCGTTTCGGAAATCTTTCTGCCTTTGTATAAAATATCGTTTCCGATTTGCACGTTACCCCGTTAGCTATATGACATAAACTAACCCATACGATCATTAGCTCCTAACCCACCTGTGCTGAACTATTTACGTCTCAGACGCGTCACGACCCCATTTCCAGAAATATCATAAGCTTCAGCTTGACGTAAATATTTTGAGAATTTTCTTTATTAGAAATTAAAATCTGGGATATCATAAGTATTGACCAATCTTAATATATGGTTATTATTAATTGATGCTTTCACGTATAATATATATGCTTGTATCAGTTATATAGTTGACCCAACAAGCACAATTTTCTTGCCGTGATCTTTGGCAGAAATTTAATTAAGATGGTTGAATATACTTTTTCTCATACCTATCGAGTTTCAGATGGGAAGACTCGTGACAATTCAAATTAATTGTTTTCGAGGGGCTATATGTATACTGGGTTTGGCTAAGAGTGGTTGAATGACATTTAATGGACAATTCTATTCTCATCAGTATCAGAAACTTTGGCTATATTAAATTTAATTTCATCAAAGTCATCGATCACTAGGCGACAACATACTGCTCAATTTTGGTGATATGATGTGTATGAATTTATGGCAGGCTATGTGTCATTTTCTAGATTACTTATTGATGTGTTTTTTTTTTTTTTCAACGGCTACATTATGAAATGAAGTCTACTTTTTTCTATCTTGATGTGAACTCCAACTTCTTCTTCCCTCTGTTACCTTAACCCATATCAGCAAGCCACTTCTTGTGGGTTGTTGAGACTTGTCAATGTTAACTGTTTTCTTGTCATCATATCATGTTGATGAACATCTATCTATACATGTATCAACTAAGCCAATTTCTTTTTTTTTTATTTAAATTAATTCACACGTATGTTTTCACATTTCCAGAGGGGATGTATTCCGGTAAATTTTATAATTATAGCTGATTTCAGGTTTAAATTTCTAATTTTACAGATAAAATTTGCTTGAAAATAGACTCAATCTGCATTGATTGTTACTAACAACATCAAATTGAAGAAACTAATAAAATTTGAATAAATAAAACGGGATGGAAGAAATCCAGTGCAATCTAACCACGAAGGGCATGGAAGGGTTAACACTCAACTGTAGCTTTAGACGAGTAAGAATGGCTGACACTCCTGTAAAATAAAAAAAAATAAAGGGGAACAATTAAAATTTCCTTTAGTTTCAATGGAGAGAAACTTTTATCTGCGGCACACAGAAGAGAAGAAAAGTTTCCTTCGTCTGTGCGGGCTGATAAACTGAAATCGTCATTTCGTGGGTTGATACGAGGCTCCCAGGTCTGGGCTTCTCGTGCCACCGAGTGTTGTATACCCACAAGCGTTGTCTCCACATCTATATGGCAAAAATTTGATGCCATAAGGGGAATGGGCCTTCTTTGTTTCTTGGTTTCCCTCTCTATGGGCTTCTTAAGAAACAAATTGGACTGTGAACCGATTAGAACTTTTTTTCTATTATTTTTATTTATTATCATTTTTTTTTTCAAAAAGAAATTTATTATCATTATTTATTAACTAGAAAGTGGCAATTTCTTGGCTGCAACACTAGTACAAGCCAATGCAACAAGCAATGAGATCAAGGGCAACATATGCCCGTGGACAACCAAGGGCAAGGGCGACGGGTTTTTGAAAGGATGGTACGTATGCGCTTATATTTATATTATAGCACCTAATTGAATTATATTAAATCATAAAAGAGATAATTATATACTTCAGTTTTCCATTTTAGTATATTAAATATATCAGATCCGAATTTTTTATCCAAAAAAATAATTTACTGAAGAAATAATATGTTTACATATGTATTATTTTTATTTCTTAATTTTATACTGTCTAATGCTCATTTTTTTTTCTGGAAAAAAAAATTCTTAAAAGTTCTTTATAATCCCAGACAAATGCACCTAATTATAAAGCTTGACTGGTAAAAAAATAACAAAAAATTGATCCCTATTGAAGATTTTTAAATCCTTCATGTGCTTGCAGTTTCGCTGCTCTCTGTTGCTGCTGCGTCCTGGATACGTGCTTTTGATCCAAGTTTTGAGGAAAAACAAAACCATATATTGATAGTTTGATCTCCTCCTCGTTACTAATCGTAATCTTTATCTAATAAAATCTGTTCCTTGTTAGAATTTCTGTTACTTACATCATCATAATGTAAAATTGGCAGTACATGAATGTGTTCCTACAGGCTCAACTTGACTAATTCGAAACACCCTAATTTGCCCCGCATAATTACATTATCAAATCATAATCGACACTCAAGTGCTTAGTGTAATATAATTAAGCTGTATTAGGTTTGAATTCGTTACTAATGCAAAAAAAATAAACATTCTTTAATCACATATCCAGTGGTATCTAGCAAGAATCCAAATATAATAATCATCAGTAGAAAAGTGAATGAACGTAAAAAGAGCAATATCCAAAGATATTAATTAATAACAAATCTGCATAATGTAAATTCATTTCAAGAAATTCAATCCTACTTAGCAAGCTGTAATTGATACCATTCAACTAACAAAAGCTTCCCTAATCCAAAAAAGAGGAAGAGTAACTTAATTCATAACAAAAATCAAAATTTTCATTTCAAAACCTGAGCTTTGAAAAGAACCATCGGTTCTTTCCAGTCTTGAACCTCTCCTCAAACCTCTTCTTGATCTCTTTCGCAGCGGTCACCTTCTTATCCTTGCCGACCAACGCATCAGGAGTCGCCACATCCTTCAAATCCACATCGAGAGTGTATCTTGTAGGCATCAAATGGCTGTAATTAACTACCTTCATAAACGCTTTCACGCGTGACTTCTTCGCTGTCTTCTTGGCGGAGTCTTTCTTGATCACCTTTGACGGGTACTTTGATATGCCGGCGACGAGGCAGTGGCCGTAGGGACGATCACGAGTTCCATCGTCGAAGGATCGGACTATCACCGCCTTGCGACCGGCGAAGCGGCCCTGGAGGAGGACGACGGCTTTGTTAGGTTTCAAGAATTTCACCATTCTCTATTCTTACTGTGTTGAGCGAGAGGCCAAAGGTTTAGGGTTTCCTTTTGTTTTTTGGCTGCTGGTGGTTATATCAGGTGAGGGCTGTTAGGGTTTGTGTGAGACTGATAAGAATTGGAACGGCCTAATGGGCATTGATAATGGATAAATTTACAGGAATGCCACTTTATTAAAGTTAAAGGCCCAAGATCTTGGGTCATATATACCCAAATAGCAGTGGGCCTTCAATCTAATTCATCTCCATCGACTTAATTCGGGTTATGGAGTCGGGCCAGATATTGTAGTTATCTTATTCATCGGATACGAATCTCCCTCTCTTTTATCTCTTTCTCGTATCAAAAGCAATAATGGCAGCGTCCGCCGTCCTATTCATCGTCGGCGGTGGTGCGGGTACTGGTTTCTCCGGTGAATTTGAGCGACGGGGTCGTTTTGAACCTGGTTCCATCCGAAGAAACAGAAAACAAACTGGGTGTTTGTGGGTTAATGCTCATCGTGAGTTACGTCACTATAATCGGTTGTGCCAAATACCCAGAACCAGAAAGTTGAAATTAAAGCCGAGTTTTGCTCTTCGCAAAGATTCTGATGATAGCTTCCTTTCGGTATGATGTTTCAGTTGCTTCTGATTTTGTTTAATACGATTCAGTAGGGAAGTACTTGTTGAAGATTAAAGATACATTTGTGATATTTATTATTCCTTTGTACGTCATTTTCTGTTGTTTTGGTTCATTTTGCAAAATTATACTCGGTTTGAATGCTTCAAAGCTGCAAACGGTGCGAGAAAGATGAGTATTTGAGTTTGTCACAAGTTTAATATTGTTTGATCAAACTTCAAGCTGTTTGATTTTATGCTATGTGTCTTTTGTGCGATATTGAGTTCTTGAATGCAATCAAATGCCACTAAACGCACAGTTTATATTTAGAAAGCTTTGACGAATGTCCTTATGACCTAAGTGATATCTTTTGCAGGATGTAAGAGATACTGATGAAATGTTTGATGACTTATTTAATAAATACGGGAAAGTGGTATATAGGAGAAATGACCAAAAGCCACCTATTGCTGAGGTTGATGATGATGCCGAGAGCTTGTCATGTAAGTTCATCTCACACGTATTTGTAAGATAGATAATTGCTTATCTTTTGGATGTGCATATTGTTTATCTTCTGGCTTATGATATATTTTTAGTCCCTTAGTTCTCACAACATGTTATACCTGTGTTTCATGATTTTTTTTTACCTCGGTAGTTGCTGTGGATATGGCCAAGGTTGCGAGTGATGTTAAGGCTGCAGATTTAAGGGTCCTTTTTGTAAAGCCTCTTGTGTATTGGACTCGGTTTTTTATCATTGCAACAGCGTTTTCACGCCCTCAGATTGATGCTATGGCGTATGAATCTCCATGTATTTTGGTTATTGATACATCCATTACTTGTCAAAATTTGGTGCAATGCATCAGCTGATAGTTTTGTTATTCTGCAGGTCGAAAATAAGGGATCTTGCTGAGAAGAAGTACGGAAAATTTCCGTCAGGGGACACAAAACCTAAATCTTGGACCCTGCTGGATTTTGGTAAGTGCCATTAAATGATTACCAGCACCTCACAAGATAGAAATGGATTTATATATCAGCTCCTGCTATTAACATTTTTCTTTGGATATTGGCTACAAGTAAGATTCTGAGACCAACTCTGCTTCATGGAAAAGTTTTACCATATGTTTTCACAACTGCTGTTTGTTTATTTCTTAGGCAGATGATTCAACATAAGTTTATCAAAGATACCTATAGCTGACTAGATAGCCAAATCAATAATATAAGATGGCATTTTAAGATTCAACTTATTGGGTTATTGGACTCTGGGTGCCTAGGTATCCACCGTAAGCCTTTCCTCGTTTGAACCTCGCCCTTAACTTTAAGACTATGCCATCCTAAAGTGCTGCTAAATGGAAGGATCTTATCATCGTCCATGAATGATAAATTGATAAATCATAGATCAAATTGCCGAATTCAGAATTTTTTTTTTTCTTTTGTTCTGGACTTCGTTTTGAAATATTGTTAAGAATTGATTGTTTTGGTGGGCTTGGGTTAATCCATTAAATTCTTGTTGATTTGCATTTGGATTTCAGGTGATGTAGTGATCCACATATTTCTTCCTGAGCAGAGAGCTTTCTACAACTTGGAAGAATTTTATGGCAATGCAACGCCCATCGAACTCTCTTTTGAGAACCAACCTCCATTTCGCAGTTAAGAATTTATTTCAACAACCTAAAAGCTTTTGTTGATGGCCATATGGCACCAGATTGATTTCAACTACGCCAAATTGAATTTGTTTGCTAAACGCTATGCATTTAGCGATCGGGCAAGGAACATATTTGCGGCAGTTGTCTTCCATGAGATGGGCTTTTGCTAATCTACGAAGGAGTGGCACTGATATTGACATATGTGGATATAGCTTAGCTTCCTTTATTGCATAGTATTACCGCAAGCGACAGGCCCTGTATTTGTAATGTACCTAAACTGTTGGAACTTGAAAGCTGAACGTGTTGATCCATGTAATTCCTTTTGCAGTTTCTCGATCTGAAAATGCACCCTCGGCTGATTGGCTCCTATTTTTCTTATCTTCCCGTTTGGTATAAATGAGTTGGGAATATGAAAACCATTTACAACCATTTGCAAATAATCAAATTTGTTGTAATTATATTGAATTCTGTAAAATTTATGGTTGAAGCGTAATTGGTGTATTAGTAAGATGCTCCAAACCAAATGCGTAAGATAAAGCCAATTGCTAAACTCACTCTTTTCAAAGCCTATTAGATTGAAACTGAAAGAAATAGAACTGAATCATCATTTACACACTGCTCGTTGTACAGACATGACAAGCCCACTGGCTAAGTACACAACTTCCCCCTGTTAAATGTTTTCATATTAGAATACTAGAATCTGAATGTCACAAGCATACAAGATTTGCACAGACCTGTAACCAGCTACAGAAAATTCATAAGCGAACACTGCAAAGATTTAAAAAATTAGCTGTTGGAAAGGTTTGTAAGCGAATGTAACTCCTACAGATTTTTGTACAGAGACAAACTGCAGCTTTGTTCTTATTATAACAGGAGCTTCTTTCTCTCGTACCCTGGAGAAAACATGGGTTGTGTCAAGTCTGCAGCAGCTGCTATGGATAAGGTTCACAAATTAGACTCCTAGCTGTCTCCCCTTAGGCTTCAAACTATCTGCATGATTGTTATTTCTTCATTCTTCTACAGTATAGTGTACCCCCCCTCCAAAGAGCATGCTAAAAAGGAATAAATAAGTAAATAAGCTCATTTCAGCAGAACCGCTGATATAAATCTCATAGCCAAGAGAAAAAATGAAACTTCGGTCAAGTCATCTAGTGTGAAAAGCGAGGAACCAACGCAATGCAAGCACCATGATTCCACAATCCACATGCAACAACAACAAACTGCTTAAAGTCATAACTGACAGTACACCATGGAGATGAATTCTGTTATACCTATTCAGAAGCTGATCAAGGATCCCTGCATATTGGAAACATGGAAACTGATTCCTGCACAAATTAGAATGATGACATGACATTACTTTACAGCAAAAAGAGGTAGAGAAATATACAGATGTATACATGCATATCTGCATTGTGTGTATGGGGGTAGGGAGAAAAGGGGATTGATGATGATTTATGAGGAAGTGAAAATGATGACACATTTTCCGTGAAAAGGCACATAATATTAGAGTCAAACCAAGTCTTATATCAGAATAACTACCATCCTTGGCCAAACATTAATTTAGCTACATATCATCCATACAAATACAAACAGATGCAAATATATACTTCTAATAAATAAAAAGCTCAATTTTTTAAGTTGATAAAATCACACATATCAATGAAATAGATCTAAATGTATATCTAGGCATGTCACCACATGCATACACAATGTTAATCATCCAGTTAAAACGAATTTATACATGAATTCTAAATACACAACTTTACCATAATTGGTCAAATTCAATTTTGAGTTGTCAATTCATGTTTTTTAGCAGAAAAGTCAGCTATGATACCATTTCCAAGCTTCCACAGGCATTTAAACAAATTGAACAAACTCCCATAGTTCAAGGTAATACACACACGTGTAGAGTCAAACAATGTACATCAATACTAATAGAGCTTCTCCTTTCTTTTTGAACCATTTTCAACTAGCCAACAGAAAGCATAATGTACCCATTCATAACAGAACTTTAAGAAAATCAGCATCATTTATTCAAGATACTCTAGGAGACACCTATCTATTGTTCGTATGAGCATGCTTGTCTACATTTGTGCATGGTGCAAATACACGTGTGGATTCATGCACATGTATCTATGTGTATGAGGCCTTGAGCATAAGAGACAATTGATATAAAAGATATAACCATGTGGATATAGAAATTGAGGAGGTGAGTTACAGGTACAGTTGGCTGAATGTTGACTGCCTTGTCCAGGTTCGGTCAGACTTAACTCCATACCATGAGTTGCTGTCCACCCAGGCTCATATGCTTCAAGGAATCCAATCTTTGCCTTGTTAGGCAAATCATGGGGATGAACAAATGGCACTCCAGGAGGCCACCCAATCTCCAATCTAATATTGGCACAAGGGCTATCAAGGGCATGAATGTGATTCTCACACTCCTTCAGATTGCAGAACCTTAGCTTGACGCCCTTCTTATCTGCAATGTCTTGAACTCTTTCCTTCAGAACTCTTTGGGCCTCAAGCCTTAGTCTCTTGGAAGGTGGCAGAGGTTTGCATCTTGAATTATTTTTCCTTCTCTTCATCATTGGCTTCATAGATCCTGTACCAGCATGTCATCGATCCAAGGACCTGCTGTTAACAACTTCTTGCTAAGGACTACTTGCACAGAAAAAGAAAACTGAAAATCCCAAAAAGAAGAGGGTTCCAAAGATTGAAACAGCCAAGAAATATTATGAGTATTACATATAGAAAGAGACGAAAGAATATTGGCACAAGGATGAGCAAATGGCTCGCTTAACAGCCCAAAAATTGACCACAACAAGACAAGTCATCGAGTTGATCTCCATTACAGCAGAAACAAATGTATAATCTCCAATTATATTCTTTTTATGTTAATGCATAAAATTACAGGCTAATCAGTGCGAAGGCTCACAATGCAATGAAATTTTTGCGAAGTTGATCAAAGTGATGGATAAGGAACATCAAATGCCCAAAAAGAATCAATCAACTAAAAATAGTAGAATGGGAGAAAGCAACTCGCATGTGTGTATGTGCCGACTGTGATATGAATAACCTAAAGTAGTATGAAAGAAAGTTATGATATATGCCACTTAAGTGTCTGCACGATTGATTTGCCAAAATTTTCAGCAGAGACACATTTATAAATAATAGTTACACAATCAAAAATATAGTGAGAGTGTTGCCTACCTTCTTGAGATGTTGGGAAATTGAAACTCTGGAAACTATGCCTGTTAAAGAGCTGATCAGGCGGGTGAGATCTCTGCATGAAGTCATCCACTGGCACAGGTAACTGGAACTGAGCTTCAACACCGTGACCAGCTGCTCTCATCTCTGAACAACTTAGACTTGTCATAGACTTTGGCATAAGTTTAAAAGCCAAAGAACAGCGCCCATACATGTTCCCCTGCACGTTATTGATCTCCGTTCTCTGCAATGCAGGATTTATATAGCCTGCAGTTGCCTGATACAAGGCAAGTCCAGGGTAAACAATAGCTTCCTGAGGGCCAAGATCACCATCCACAAGAACCCACCTACCATGATAATCTCTTACGTGTAAGCCCGCCTTATCTGACTTAACAAGAGATATCAAGCTCTTATCAACCTGGTTCTCATGATCAGGATACATAACCAACTGACCATCCTCTTGAGCAGTTAAATTATGGTGTTGTGCTCCCTGAAATGATGGTCTAGCATGACAGCATACAGACAACACGGAAGAAGAAATTTCTCTACTTCTTAAAGGAACATTATCAAGTATTTCAGTAAAAGGAGAGCTACGCAAGTTTAAATAAAAGCTAATAGCATCCAATATATCCCTAGCTGCCTTTCCAAGCAAGGCAAATATGTCAGGCAATCCTCCTGGAGGAAATTCCATAGGTTTATAATCAATTCCATTATTAGGCTCTGCAGGAGTCAAGCCCGGTCTATAATCATAGGTTTCCTGGTATAACTGAGGATCAGCATAATAGCCAGAAGTCTTGCACCACTCACGATCGTTGGTATGAATCATATCCGCAGAAGGGTATGATGGTCTTTGATGAAAGTAGAGACGAGCAGAATCCAAACCGGATCTCAGAAGAGCCCCATCGCTTGCCGAGAACTGAATAATGGCAGCAGAAAATTGGGCAAGTGACTGAGACAAGGTGGAGACTGAGAGTTTGTAAGAATCAGAAGGAAGGCCTTCAGATGGAATAAGATCACTGAGCTTTACACGACCCAAAGATGGCAGGCCATTGCCTGCCATGAAACTTCAAAGTTATCTGAACCTGAGCTTGAAATGAAAACCAGAGAGATGCTTAATGGAAAGAGAAAAGTGGCATCATCAATAATAAGTACAAAAAAATTGCCATGAAAGCTTAAAAATTTGAAATTTAATGAATCAAACGCACATAATTATCGAATGCGAAAAGAAGAGAGGACTGACCTTTAAAGAACTAAATTGTGAATTTGGGGAATCGAATGCGAACTTGATTAAACATTGATTAGGGTTTGCCACAGAGCTTTCGTTTGTTAATTTTCCGATTTCTAATTCTTTTGTTTTTTATTCATAATTCTTTCCGTTGTTCGCTTCGGAAACGCATTTTCATTTCACATCAGCAATAAAGCTAGCATCGCATATAACGTTTTTTTTTTTGAGAAACATTAACGATTTTTTAACTTCTATTTTCCTAAAGCATTTTTCATCGTAATTTTTTTTCCTAGGAAAATAGAAAGCCAACTCTCCCCTCTAATAATCCCTCAATTAAAATTATTTTATATCAATTTAGGAAATTAAAATGATACTAGAAATAAAGTTAGGGGGCCAAATGAAATTTTTATATTTTTAGGGGACGAAATGTAATTTTTAGAAGGATTTTAAAAAAAATTCTGGTACCATTATGAAAATTCACATCCAACTTTAAGGGCGTGTAGTATGTCCAATCAGACTAGGCTCATTATGGAAAATCAAGCCCAATTTCTACCCAATGGATATTGGGCCTAGATTTCTCTTGATTTTTAATTATATGCAAACACCAGCCTAAATATCTTTTCTGAGTGATTTTGGAAGTCTCGATCCTCCAATCCAAATCCCCCCCACATCATTGGTTGACTAATTAAGTTTAATTTCATAAATGATGTATATTCTCATTTTCACTTCACTTTCTATAAAACATTTTCAAAGCCTCTCTGGATTTTGAATGCGTGTTAATAAAACGGCCATCTGATCACAGTCGCCTTGCTAACATCAATCCAAACACATGATAATGCGATGTACCTTGTATAAAAATGTGATTATTGCCACAGCATTTTCACCGTCGTTAAGAAAAGGGAAATTTGAACATAAAAATATACAAAATGTGTTTCAATAGTTTTCAACAAATAACAGCAAGTTATACAGCTGAACGAAGCAAAAGAGATACAATCCTGAACAACAGTATCAAACCCCTATTACATCAAAGGCAAGGAAAGTATTTTCACTCTAACAAAAGTCTTAACTGTTACAAGATTCACAACTATCAAGTTGAGGGTGAGGGGAAGGAGGCAGAGAGAAAAAGGTTACAGCAAAATATTACCTATGGCTTACGAGGTGGCGAACTGCTGCTGCTGCTGTTACTGGTGCTTCTTCCTCTCCTATACAAGTAGCATCTCTAGTTACTTCACGATGAAATTTGAAAAGAAGACAATCAAAGGACAGTACTGAAAACAAGACAGTATCAACATAATTAAAACATCACAAAAACCCAAAACCCAACATGATTTCTAACCGATGCCCTTGAAACAAATTAGCCAACAGAAAACGAGAGTGAAATTCAACTAAAATTAGCACATGGTCTAAGTGTGAACCTTCTGGCCCCAACACCAGAACCATACAAAAACATCATCATGCTCTACTTTATTAATGCAGAATTTTACAAACTTCTTGTTGCAATATCAACACATGCTTGTAAAAACCATCATAACGAGGAGTTTAACTATATTTCCTATCTTCCAGATTCACCGTTCCACTATCTATCCCACATTTCCCATCCCATCTTTCCTTCCCTCACTGACCCCAAGCCCCTTCTCTCGTTTATGGTCAAAGAGTAAAAATCCCGAAACACGGTTTCTCAACATTGGGAACTTCGAGAAGAAAGGTTGAGCCATGGATATGCTTAAGCTTTTGTTTACAGAGAGATGAAATCCTGATTCAAACTGATATTTGAAATAATGCAAAAAAAAAGAGGTTTGGAAGGAAATGTTTTAGTATCATGCAAAACTTCAAATTTAAAAAGTCAAACTAAAATTTGAACAAGTATATCTGCATTTATTGAATGTATAACCAATAATATCATGCTACCACAGTCAAAGTATCATACAAAACATAGGTTTTAATGAATTTCAAAAGAATGAAAAAATCTGATCTCAGCAAGGTTAGGCACTTGTGCATAAACATTAATATAGATTTAAAACATTCACCTTCTAGGACTGCGGCTCCTGCGAGTGACCTGTAACCAAAAAAAAAAAAAACCATTTACATTATGAAAGAGAAGGTCCTCTTTAACACGCACACGCGCACACACACACACACAGGGAGACAAAAAAAAAATAATAATAATAATAATAAGCACAAACCTTGCGTGGACTAGGTGATCCAGAATAGGTTGATGACCTCCCACGTCTTGCTACAGGTGCTCGGCCTCTGTTACAAAAAGCCACCAAACAATGTAAGGCTGTTCAGTAACACTAAGGCATGTATATTAATGATGTGCTTGTTTTAGGTATGAGGTTCATTTCATACACTGGACCAAATGAGGACCAATTATTTAAGATGAAAATCTGATATGATATAAATTAATGAGAATTGAACAAATCAATCATATAGACATAGCATTATCCAATGCCAACGTAACTCGGTTCTGATAAACAATAAAGATGTAAGAAAGTTACCTCCTCGGTGAGAGTGACCTTGAACGCGAGCGTGCAGGCCGACGAATAGGAGAGCGGCTACGTCGACGAAGTGGAGACCTTCTGGGAGGACTACGGGCTCGTCTTGGAGGAGTACTGAGGTAAAAATCAACAAAAATTCACCATCCAAAATAGTTACTTTCAATGAACTCAGCATTTGGACATTATAGTCATATATGTTGGGTTAAAAATTCTTGGAACAAGACCCAGAAGGAAACAAGGAGCCACTAGATTGATGCCAGATCTTCAGATGTCGAGTAAACAGAAAGAAAAGATAATTCATATTCTTACAGAGATGTTAAGTTCACATAAGTTGACACTAAATATCATTTTCAAAAGCATTGTTTCTCCGATCAGAATTCTGAACTCTTGAGTGATATATTCCATGTTTAAAAAACATAAGTAAATAAATTTATGTTTCCCTACCATTTTCATACAATTTTCTACCTATACAGGCAAATATCTTTGACCAAATCTGGCCGATAGAATAAAATTTATGAAATATCAACATTTTTCTAATCAGCTGGGCTAGGCTCTTAACAAACACAAATCTGAAGCCCACCCCTCTTGAAGATGGAACTTGCTCAGGAAAAGACTAAATAACAAAAACCCTTCACCTAAGCCTTAAGTTTCAACAATAGGCAGTTCCACTGCCTGCAACAAGATCTATTTTTGGAGGCATTTCAAGTTTTGAACCTCATAATATAAGTAAAGAATAATTACCGTCGCCTTGGAGGAGGGGGAGAACGTCTACGGACAGGACTACCACGTATTCTTCTAGGAGAGCCCCTACAAAAATTACAATCAGTCAACAGGCTTTCAAAATTACTCATACAATTCAGCAAGAAATCATGCATAGCAGGTAGTCAACCTTGCAGGGGATCTATAACGCCTTAGTGGAGATGGCGAACGGCCTCTAACTGGGGATGCTGGTCTCCGCCTTGGAGGTGTATCCCCTCGACGATAAGGAGATTCTACTCGTCTACGCGGAGGTGAATCTGCACGTCGACGCGGAGGAGAATCTGGAAGCCGTCTTGGAGATCCACCTCTTCGAACAGGAGGGGATCTTCTTCGAGGCGAGGCTAGTGGCTTACGATGGGGAGAAGCTGACATCAACAAGATACAGTAACTACTAGTGAACAGAGAATAAATTAAAAGTTGCACGACTTTAGTATTAACAAAGGGCATACATACATTCTCTTATTCTTTTTGGTCCATCCTTCTCCACATCATTATCAGTTTTGGAAGCATCTCTCTTCGGAGGAGCCACAATGGGCTTTGCGGGAGGTGAAACCTTCTGTCGTGGTGGTAATGTGAACCTTGCTCGAACAACATTGCCATCAATCTGGGCCTGCATCATGTAATTACAATATCATGGCATCAGGTATAATAGGATTTTATGGTATTGATAACACCAACTCCAACATCAGTGCAAAAATTACCCCGTCCATGTATAAAAGGGCCTTTTGAGCATCGGCACGTGTCTTAAACTCAACATATCCATATCCTTTCGGAAGATTAACCTGGTCAATTGAAACATGTTATTGTACTAGGAAGATGAAATAGTAATTGCTCCAACAGCATAAAAACAACTGCTATGCACTTACAGTACGGTCCATTGCCAGCTCCACGTGTACAACTTCACCAAAGTTACCTGTGTGGCAGGAAAAACGAAAGACACCCGAGTTAACAACCCATCAACCAAAGAAGCACAAGCCTCAAATTCTCTTTTCTGAAGAAAAGATGCGAGAGAGGCAAAAAGGAAACAAGAAAAGAAAAGAAGAAATGTAGAAGAGGTTTCCTTGACAATTATCATCCATGCAGCGTTCATACATTACATAAGCAAAACATAGTTAACCCAACCTTAGACTATTAAAAGAACCTTCCCGAACACTCATAACCACAGAATTGAAATACTGGAAAAAAGCACATTTAATTTTGTATCTACTAGGAATCCTGCATTAACGGATAAGTCCAACTAGTCCACAATTGACAACACCATCTATCTCAATTTTACATTCATTTGATACACTTGAACAGCTCATCTCCTCCTTAAAAGCAATTGCTTCAAAAAAGCCAATATGGCACTCGTACACCTACTTCGAAATTGCTTCAAAGAACCTTAGACTATTTGCACGTTCTTTGTAGGGGCTATATATTTAACACGAAACTCAATATGGCACTCATACACCTACTTCGAAATTGAGTATTCTATCATTGCTAAACTAGCATAGTTCTAGAATGTAGATTGTATTTACTACACAAAAATAGTCAGGTTACAACAGCCTTTCCATACATTCATATGAACAATAGCCTCAATTTTTCTTTAAGAAAAAAAAAAAAAAAAAGGAAACATGTGTTAGAACTTACTAAATATTTCTTTCAAATGGCCTTCATTCACATTCCGGCTGAGTGAGTCAACATGGAGAACGAGAGACTCACGAATCGGAGAAATCTTCCTGAAATTAGTGCCACAGAAAGAAATGTGTTAGAAATAAAGATTGCAAAGAAATTCTGATACTTTTGAAATAATTATACCTTGCAGGTGGAGAAGCCTTTTTAGATTGTGGTGGTGGAGAACGTCCTCGCTTAGCTACTTCAGTAGGACTGTGCAGAAAAGAAAGGAACAAATGCGAGTTTTAGATGTACAGGAAAAATGGAATTGGGGATAAAAAATAATATTAAAAAATGCATGTTGCATCGTGAAAAATTCTTAAGATATCTCAATCTGTTTAGATTTAAGTCCAGATATCAAAATTCAATACAAGAAAACTTCAACAAGTCAACCAAAACATTTGGTGATTCTTGATTTTTAGGTTCAGCATTATGAGTCACTTGAGGTGTGGAAACATTATGTTCTCGTGTTGTGAAAAGCTCAACTTACTCCAAAACGAAGAATGGAGAATTTTAGTCCATTTATTAAAATTTCATATCAGGTAAGTCAAAAGTTCAAAAACCCGGTTCCTCGTTCACTTACGCTTTCATCAATTTCCATCACATTTCCGCCGCAAACCCATAAATGCTAAATGTAAAGAACGAGAAAGGCAAAGAAAAAAAAAAGTGTATGTCATTACCTCTTCTTCTGAGGAGGCGGGCTACGGCTACCGGAGCTGAGGCTGTGAGAAGGAGAGGAGGATGAAGAGAGGGATTTGGAGCGAGATCGAGAACGTGAGCGGGAGGACAAGGACCGCGAGCGAGAGCTGGACCGAGAATCCGAACCGGAATACGAGCGTGACCGTGACCTGGACCGTGATCGGGAAGACGAGCCCGAGCCCGAGCCGGAGGGCGGCGAGGGGCGGCCTCGCGTTGGCTTCGCCATCGATAGGAAGGCAAACACAACGGATAAGAAACCCTAGATAAACCCCCTGGAACGATGAAAATTGAGAAGAGGCGAGATTGGAACAGACTGTGATTTTATGATTTATCTGCGGTGCGTTTATGGTTGTGGGCCCGGTGGAGGTGGGATATAATGAACCGGATCTATTTCGGGTCTGTATTTTGCTCGTGGATCACTGAATCCCCAGATTGATTGTATATTGTTGTCGTTTTAATAGCATTTTACTTGTATTAAAATTATGTTTAAATAATTTTCTGTAAACAAAATAAACTTATTGAGTAAGTTGATGATATTTTACTGTTTTTTTTTAGAAATTATAACTTTAAAATGAAAAACCAATTAAGTCTTATTGACTTGTGTTTGTTATATTATCAGCGTAAAATACATGCAAAAAAAAAAAAAAAAAAAAAAAAAAAACTTATTGACTTGTGTTTGTTATATTTCAGCGTAAAATACATGCAAAAAAAAAAAAAAAAAAAAAAAAAAAAAAACCAAAATTTTTTTTTATGCTGATTAATGGGAATTGAATGGGATCCTTGACTTTCTTCCTTTCAGTTTGCCCTTCTAAATTTATATTCTAAAAAAAAAAAAAAAAAAAAAAAAAAAAAAACCAAAATTTTTTTATGCTGATTATGGGAATTGAACTGGGATCCTTGACTTCTTCCTTCAGTTTGCCCTTCTAAATTTATATTCTAGGGTTACCATTGTTTCTCCCTAATTTTATCCGCAATTGAATATTTAATTCTTACATGTATATTAAGGCTTTATTTAGCACATATTTTCAACGTAATTTTTAATTCAGTCAAAATGTTATTATTATTATTATTATTTATGGCTTTCAGCAGCGTCAATATTATTTACTGTGTTCGGTAGCCTAGCATCAGTGTTTAGAGCTATACAAGTATTTTATTATACTAGTGGTTAGATTTTAAATTAGGGGATTATGAAATATTACTCTTTTAACATTTATGAAATGTGAACTAACTACGCTGATAATTATAAAAACTAGTTTTGTTGAGTAAACCTAAATTTGCAATAGCGCAGAGAAAAATATAAATCTCTTCCAAAAATTTTCATGTGGAAATCTAGACATGTTGTTCTTGGTTAGATTCTTTTGTGCATAAATAATATGGAATATGGAAGTCTATAGGTTTATGACATGTCATCGTGTCCTGATTTTACATAACGTGAAACAGTAACAGAAATCTAAACATGTTCAAGGTTGGACTTGATTTGAACCTCAAAAATGTCAAATTTTTTCAAAGAGTCAAACCTGCATGCCAAAGCTTAACATTTAACAGAAACCATGATAAAGCAAAGTTGACATTTTTAACCGAACCATGATTCACCATTCAGCAGGGAAAGCACTGAATTTGTAGGGTCACTGCCCATTTGCTTGAGCAGCAATTACCCAGTACAACATAATGTATAACCAGTGTTTCTAAGGCAGAAAAATCACCTAATGACTGAAGTTCAAGCCACAACTCAGTTCATTACTTCATTTTGTTCTTCGGTACTACTCGAAGCAATTGACCGCCTCCTTTTGGCCTCATTGTCACCCAAATGCAACGAAACACATGCATCTTCATTGCAGCCATTCTTTAGAGAAGCAAGATTCTGTGATACTGCCCTCTCTGACGAGCTGTTTCTGTGCAGTGGAGACTGTCTTATGAAGCTTGGTATAAATTGATGTTCAATACTAGGAACCACCTTGATTCCATCTTCCAAATGAAATTCAGTTTCAGCAAGTGGCGGGTTCATTTCAGGGTTGCTGTGTTCTACTTCCAAATCCAAGGGGATATGCTCAATTTGAAGACCTAGCGACTCAAATTTGTCTTCATCTTTGTCCTTTGGGAGCATTCCATCTGGAGTTGAGGAGTCTCCCACCGTGGAGCCGATCACTGTTGCTGATGCAGCTCTTTGTTCTTTTACTGCAGCTACAATGTACAACAGGAATTTGAAAATAAAAAAGTACTTTGAGAATCATGAAGGGGCCACATAATGATAATGTTAATTTTTCAATTGAATCATTTCAGCTGGCCTCCATATAATCCCCTCCTCTCCTCTGATGATATGCTTGTAACTATAAAAGGAAAAAAAAAGGGAATTGAAATGCAACCCCAATGGGAATTGAACTTGGAATTTCCATGTTAAAATACCTAATCTTTTCAGTTAGGAGGTCTTGTTGGAGACCAATGACGGGTTTATTCTGTCATAGCAGAGCAGAAAAACAAGAGGGAAAGAAAGAATTTGAATCACAATGAGTGAATGCTAAAAGAATTCCAAGAAACAAGACAATAAAACAATCAGGCATAGGCAAGCAGGGATACGTCAGAACACAAACCTTTAAGCCCTTCATTGGTGTTGATGAGATCAAGTTCAAGGAGATTGAGAAGTCGCCCGAGATCAACTCCACTAGTCCAATTTTCAGGAGGCTGGCCAATTTTCAGCTTAAGTCGGCCTCGATTAGCAGTACCACCCCATATGATACCGATAGGCCGTGGCTTCTCACCATTATCACCTTTCATTATGATGAGGCTTCCACTATCTCCTTCAAGATCGAAAGTCTGCTGGTTCTCACCAACAACAAGAAAATCTGTCAAGAAGCATATGCCTTTCTCGTCGTTGTACTCAAGGGCATACGCCAATACAGTTCCCGTGGTCAAGCCAGAACTTCTTCCAACCTTCATCACCTGCTTCCCAATAAGGCTGCTGATTGGAGACTGCAAATCTGTAATCTTAACATCCCCTATCTCTCCTACACCTTTCACAGATGTAGTCACAGTGGACATATCAAAATCATCTGCGAATGGGATAAATGCCCCATCTGCTCTTACAAATGTCTCTGCAAGGAGTGCCAAAGAGTATTCCATAATTGTGAAACTTACAGTTTAACTGCTCAGACAGTTATGCACAAGTTAACACTTGTTAAACGTGAATAAACGCTATGTTGTTCAATTTCAATTCAAGGCAAACAATCAAGTGTTCTGATTTTCTAGGAGATCCAAAAAGGAGAGAACAAAGAGTTACTTGGAAGTGACACAGAATCTAAAATGGTACTCGCACTTAATCCAAAATAAAATAAAATAAAATAAAATAAAAAAGAAATAAAAACATCGAATAGCAATGTCTTGAGTTATCAAGATCCATTGGTAGCAGATAAAATAAGTAGGTAAGACACAGACAAGAAAACCCAATTCATGTTGGAGCCAAGTACTTTATTGGTCCTGTAATCAGATAAATGGTACCTGTTATAATTATTATAATTTCATTGTAACAACTCTAAAGTTGTCTGGTTGCAGTTTCCTTAACCAAAGCTTTCAAAGCAGAGAAATGAACATAAGCAATTCTAAATAGGCTATTGCGTGTCTTTTTCTTTCCCCCCATTTTTCCTATTTTTTCCCCATTCATGAGCAGTAAAGGGAGCTCCCTCCCTCTTTCAGACTGCCCCAACCCCAGAAAAAATTCAAACTTGCCAACTCCCACTAGAAATCTCAAGCCTGAAATGCATAATTTGGCAATGCAGAGATCGTCGAACAGTAATTACTACAATTAGACCCATATTTTGGAACCTCCTTACCAGGGTTTATTCCAGCAAAAATGCCATACCAAAGATCATCTGTGATAAATGAAGTAGCTCTCTCCACTGCACCAAGATATACCCCAGGTCCAAGTGTTGGGGGCAAAGGATGAAACATTTTTTGATTTGGGTAATCCAAGTCAACTGCCACATGCCTATTTGTTAGGAAACCAACTTGTCTACTGCCAGTCTGACTCCTCACAATAGCACCCAAAGTTCCATAGGTCTCCTGGCTTGCAACCTGGGCACAAACAAAATTGAAATTCCCATCATTATGTGAGGTAAGAATTATAGATCATTGTAGTAATTGCCCATATAGGAAAAATGTTGCAGCTAACAGAAAATAAATGTGTGTTATAGACTAAAGATTTATTGGACAACCAGTCAAGGGCAATCATAATGAGTTCTTCCACTATGCATTACCATCGTACATATTAAAAGCGAAGGCTGATTTACATTCTCTGACAGCTGGTTAAGTGTTACAGTCAGGTGCTCTATCGTTTTAACTTTTTCTGTACGAAATAGTATGTAAGAGCAATCACCTAGCCATGATCCCACCAAAGTTGAACACCTGTGTATTAGAAATGACACTCAGAAGGCAGTTCTGTTCTGTATTTTTATGTGCAATGGTTACTCTGACGCCTTAAATTTGTACTCTCGGTCAGACGCAAGATTCTTATTGTTTCACCAGCAACCAAGTAATGGTCCTTGGTCATAGATTTCACCAGTAACCATACTTATACAACCAATTGACTAAAAGCTAGTTTTGTTTATGCGTAACTAACCATTATAGATGATAATAATAAAAAAGGTTTCTTCACAAAAAACAACATCAGAATACTAAACTTGTAGAAGTAGAATTGAAAGCCAACTCCTGTATTGATCACTATAGGCTTCATTTATGCTTTTGGTAAACCATACGAAGTTAAAAATCTAGCTTTTCCATACCATGATTTCAGAATCTATATACTAAAAATATAGTTTGTGTCAAAAGCAGTTGAATCACAACACACAATGGACACTGATATCTTGGATTTAAAGGCAAAACTTCTTCCAATCTATGTTCAAAAGGATATGATTCAGAGAATTTGTAAGCACCTGAGAACCTGAACCAATGCACAAATCACCCCCACGCAAATCATCCACAATTTCAGTGTATAACTGTTCCTTGGGAGTTGGCTCAGGTGCACCGAAATATGAGAACTCAACCACATCAACATCACACCACACACCTCCTGGTCCCTGATAACAACAATTGAACGCACATATTAGCAGCAATTCATATCAAGTAAAATAAGATGGAATCACTGAAAGAAATTTACTCCCTGAAAAAGCATCAAATTCTGGATAGGAACACAGCAAGTATACTTTCTTACCTCAAGGGCATTAGGCAGACATTGTATGGGACTGAGCCACTGCTTATGAACTTTCCTGGAAACAAAAACAAGAATGGCTGGTATATCTGTCAGAACACCTCGCTGAATACGGAAACCAATTGCTGTTCCAAGACTGTAACATCGCAAGATCTTGCTATGAAATGCCCTAATGGTCATGAGTTCAAGCAATGTGTTTGCCCGTTGCCCCTTTGGTAACTGACCAAGAGTTTCAGGTAAAACCCCTTTCTGCAGATTTGCAAAGTAGTTTGCCCTCTCTTCAGCAGCATCATTTAACCGACAACTAGGCCAAGAGAAGTAAGCAGCATTGCTCTCACCATGCTGTCCAGCAGAAGCAAAAGGTTGAAGAGTTCGGGGACTTAATGAAGACAGACTAGGATGAATGTAACAGTTCCTTTCAGTATCCAGTGCCGATTCCTCTGATGGTGTTGACCCAGTGCAACGGGCCCTCATATTAAGTCTACTGCACTCCATCTTTAAGATCACCTAGGAAAAATATGCAAAAATAAATAAATAAATAAAAAGAATCATAATTTTGGAGAATTTTGAAAACAAACAACTAGACATTATAGGTTGAATAGAAGAACAAAAGCATACATAAAACAAATCACAAACCATGAAAAACAGAAGCATTCATGTTTTATCTGTCACCAGAAGTAAGTTAACTAGCAAAAAACAACATATGTCAAAGTAATACTACAGATAATCTTGAGCAGTTTTCGTTAATGTCAAAAAATTCGTTCCATCTTCCACCATGTGGTTCAAATGGAACAAGGAATGAATTTATCATAGACATTATGGTTGCAGTAGCAATTCTCACACTACAGTGACATCTCCAAAGTGTTCCAAGTCATCTCACAATAACGATATTCCATCGTCAGAAAATATAAAGCACCTGTGTTCTTTAGACGTTAAAATAGGCTAAAATAATAATAATAAATTAATGCAGAAAGCTAGAAGCAAAAACAATTTGTGAGCTTATTTGAAAAGGCAATAGAATATGCAATCATTCTGCTTCAATTATTTATTCTGTTCTGAAATTTCATACCACTCCCATTCAAATGAATTTTTTGGAAGACAAAGGTAATATTTTTCTGCTAGACGGAAACTTAAAAACCCATGTCGTAGTATGCAATTTAAGGTTGATCACAAACTTACTGGTTTTTCCTTTTCAAATGCAATTCCCAATCCTGCAGACATGGTCAAAGTAAATTGACATTCCAGTTCAGAGATTAAAAAGATTTGAGAAAAAAAAAATATGCAGAGAAGTGTTTATTTGAATTTCTTTCATTTTCTTCTGGAACTCACTGGAAAAGCAAAAAGTGAAAACATCAAGTCAAAAGAAACAAGAAGAAATAAAAGAAACAGCAAACCCAGAAAGCCAAAAACTATATTCCTTCAAAGTATATATATATATATATTTTCTTTCTTGAACTCACCTGGAAAGCAAAAAAGTGAAAACCATCCAGTCAAAAGAAACAAGAAGAAATAAAGAAACAGCAAACCCAGAAAGCCAAAACTATATTCTTCAAAGTAAATAATTATATATATATATATATATATATATTAATCAGTAACACAAACCATTTCTTACACAAAATGGAGAAAAATAAAGAAATCAAAGAGAAGAGTTAAGAAGCTCACTGGTCACTGATCAGCAATGATAAAAGGTGGTAGAGAAGTTCAGAAGACAAGCAGGTCCTGTCCGGAGAAATTCAAAAGCTTGATATGAAGACTCACAAAGCCTGTATACCCAATTGAAGCAAGAATCTGCTTAGAAGTTGCAGATAAATTTTGCAGTTCGCGTTACATGCAGCAAAATGATGATGGGTTTTTTTATGGAAACCCATGAGCACAGCATAAAGTATAAATGGCAAGGTAAAGTTAGGCATGGTAGTAATTCTTTAATGAGACAATATACATGTAGCAAGAGAGTTGGTGGGAAGCATACCCAACGTGGCCAATGTCGCGGCAACAACCCTGAGGCCTACTCTTATAGCCGTTGGATTCAAATATTTCATGTGATCGACAATTCTTGAAGTCCATATATGTCTAATCGTACGGTTCATAAGAGCACTTCGTGTGGATGGCCCATTTTATTATGTTATGATGGGAATGTGGAGTTCGTTCGCTTTTCGTGCCTCTTGGATTTCTCTAAAGGAAATAAGATTTGTTATTGTTTTTTTTTTCTTCCAAGCGAGTGCAATAAAATAAAATATAGACATAATACAAGGAAGATGTTCCACACCTTAAAAATATATTATCAATTCATGCCATATAAAATGAAATTTGAATTCAAACTAGAATGATAATAAAATATATTTTTAAAAATTAAATTTTTATTTTTATTTTTACAGAATTTAATTCGCTTATCATTTAAAAAAAAAAAGATATAACTTGTTATTTAGAAATAGGCACGGCTTAATTAGAACAGAAACTAGCTAACTCCTGGAATGTCTGAGTTCCAGTTGTCTGAATTGAAATCTGAAGTGATGGGTTGAGACTGACTGGTAATAATTTTAGGGCAGAGACAAATGAAAAATCTGAGTTTGGAGAAGGGATTAAAAAGACATACAAAAAAAAAAAAAAAAAAAAAAAAAAAAAAAAAAAAAAAAAAAAAAAAAAAAAAAGCTAATCAAATGGTTTTCGCCCTATGAATGGTTCCCATGTTCTGTGAACTTGCAACATAATGGCCCACAAACTTGCCAGTTAGTCAACATCTTTTTCTTTAGTCAATGTATTTTCCTTTACTTTATAAATTGATGTTTTGTGCCCTCAAATAATAATAATAATAATAATTTTGTTCTTTAAATTTTTAAAAATTACAATAATTTTAATAAAAAATGTGCTGTGCTCTTATCTTATATGTGTATTATGTTATTAAATCAAAATTATTGTAATTTTATATATCAAGATGCTCAATAATAGATATAAAAATTTTTGTTACCAAAAAAAAATAAAAAATAAAAATTTATAAAAAAAAATAACTAGCAATGTTTAAACTATAGTTAATTATGTTTACAACAAAGGAATACCCGTGAATTTTGTTTCTATCAAAAATTATAATTTATTTGATTATAAATGGAAATGTCTACAATAATAAAAATTATAAATCCACTCTCTAAAAAAGTTGGTTCAAGCATGATTTTCTTTGGGCCACAAGACGAGACTGGGCTTTGGTTTTATTATCGATGGATGAAGCCAGGTTAGTTTTCGCTGCACTAAAATGAAGCCCATTTGCTCATCTTCATTTCATGACAACGGGACGAACCTGTTGATATCCGGTTCAAATCTGGTCCGACCCTCCCAAACCCGTTCCGGACATAAAAACCGCCACAATTTTACCACCTAAAATAAAAAATAAAATAGTAAATCAAAAGAAACCCTACAAAAACCCTTCCAAAACCTTCTCTGCTCCTCTTTCTCTAACTTTAGGGTCCGTCCGCCATTGCATGGAAACTCCCAAAGCCTTCCCTGCCTGGCTTTCTTTACTTTAGGGTTGGACTTTCGTGCTCTTCAAGACATAAAACCCTCCAAAAACCATTTCTTCAACAACCAACTATCAGTCAATTTTATGTGAAAAAAGAAGAAAAAGGAAATGGGGAAAACATATGCAATAGGATTAATCTCAGCTATCGCTGCATCTTCTCTCTCACAGTCGAATTCCATCGCTTACGCCGACGGCCCTTTCAACTTTTCCACACTCTTCCCGTCTTCTTCTGCTCCTTCTCCAACCAATTCGAATACTCCTTCTCAGTCTCCTTCATTTCCGTCATCTGGTCAATCTATGCCGTCCAATTCCGCTCAGTCTGGTGCGGCTGATGCTGCTGATTCTGCTCCTAAAGCTCCCAGAAATGATAACCCTAGAACGACGTCTGCTGGGTTCGACCCCGAGGCTCTCGAGAGGGGTGCTAAGGCCTTAAGGGAGATTGCCTCCTCATCTCATGCTAAGAAGGTTTATTGTTGATCTTTTGAATTTTGAAGTTGTGGTCGACGACATGCTTATGTTCTTTCTGTGTTTCATGAGAATTTTGGGAGAAATGGATTATGCTTCTATGTTGATTTTGTTAGGTTTCTACAATTGCCTTTGATTGGTTTGGAGGTTTTGGTGGTGGGCACAAATAATCAACTCAAAATTTTTTTTAGAATGTCAATGTTTTTGTTTTTTAGTTTGGTAATAAATAATTCCATACTTTCCAACTTTGTTGATTGAGTATGAAAGTGAGTTTGAACGAACTTTAGTCATTGAACTTTAAAACTCGTGTTGCTTGTTGTTGATATAGGTCTTTGAAGTAATGAAGACTCAAGAAGCAACGAGGCAGACAGAATTGTCAGCAAAGGCTGCAGAGTTTAAGGCAATGCAAGCGCAAGCTGAAACTGTAAGACATACGTATATGCGCTCCCTAGTTGTATTATATAGAGCTTTTGATAACTTCGCAATATATAGTACTTATTAGCGGCTTTGAAACCTTTGGTGGCTATCGTGCAAAAAAAAGCTGTTCTATTCTACTCCTTCCAACACAATTTTGGCTTGTCGGCTGTGAAGCTTCACTCCTCAGTGGAGAATCTGCATAATTTCATACTTGATTTGAAGAATTCCAACAAAATGCCAGTGAAAATGTTACTGCATCATGGGTTCTCTCGCTTGGTTTAAAGTCGTGAACTTAAAGGAATGCATTTTGTGTGTGCCTTTGGAATGCAAATAAACTATGTTACAGTTACCTGCATGACCATTCAATTGATTTGCACAATCTTCTTTACTGAGGACTTAGTTCTCTTCAAATGGATCATAAAGAAACATGGCACTCTTTTCTCTTGGTGTCTTGTAGAAACTAGTTTTATTTTCTTCCCTGAATCTCACTGTTAATGTGGTCAAACTTGGCTATACTCATTGGGAGCATATGAATACTCCCTTTCTGGGTGCTTTCGAAAATTTCCACTTGATGAGTTTGCTTTTATGTTCATTGGACTTATCTGGTGAAGTGGTTAGAAATCAAGCTATGGACCTTTGTCACAAGTGTCATGCGCTCAGATTCAAGCATAATGAATTTTTCTTTTGTGTTGTGTACTTCATCCTTGGTGTTCCAAATTTCTTGGAATTACTGTCGCTGACTTATCATTGTTTCTTAAACGTTTTGCCTTGTTACTTGGCAGGAGAGACAAAGGGTGATATATGATGAACAGAAAAAGTTGGCTCAGCATCAAGCGCAAACTAAATCCCAGATGGCACGTTATGAGGATGAACTGGCAAGAAAAAGGATGCAGGCATGTTACACCTCATTTTTGGTTTGAAAGAAGTTATTTTTTGGAGAGGAGTTTGATTGGTTATTTTTACAGGCTGATAATGAATACCAAAGATCAAGGAATCAGGAGCTTGTCAAACTGCAAGAAGAATCATCGATAAGGCAAGAGCAAGCTCGACGAGCCACAGAAGAACAGATTCAAGCACAACGGCGACAGACGGAGAGAGAAAAAGCTGAGATAGAACGTGAAACGATCAGGGTGAGAGCTATGGCAGAAGCAGAAGGGAGAGCCCATGAAGCGAAGTTAGCTGAAGAAGTTAACAGGCGGATGCTGGTTGATCGTGCAAATGCTGAAAGAGAGAAATGGATCGCTGCTATAAATACTACTTTCGACCATATTGGAGGTATGAATAATCATGAACAAAATATCTTATTAGGTTTCTTTGTCGTTGCTATTTTACAAACTATGTTCTAATTTAAATTCTCACCTGTAACTGTGAGAAGACTTTGGTAACTGAGGCACCTCAAATCCTAAATTTAGTGTTGCACATATTATTGTTATATTAGAAGTTAAACTGGGTGGAGACATATTAGCCTTCATAAATGCAAAACAGTTGAGTTAATTTTGTTTCTCATGTTTCTAAACTGGATGCATATGTCTCTCACAGGTGGTTTACGAGCCATCTTAACAGATCAAAATAAGTTGATTGTTGCTGTGGGGGGAGTGACTGCTCTTGCGGCTGGGATTTATACCACAAGGTAGTGATCAACTTCTAACTGAATATTTGGATTCCTGTCTTTGTTTTGCTTTGCTGTGAAAATTCAGGAAACCATTTAGCTTTGCGGTTAACACAGATTTAATTATAGTTGAACTGGCCTTCTTATTTGTGATGAAATCTTGCTGGGTGAGAGTAGAAGTGTAACCAATCTGTTTTTTGCTACTATGTTAGCTGCATGTTGATCCTTGCTACAATGCACTTGCTACCTATTTTTTTTGCTGACTTAAGGTGGAAATGGTATTTACTATTCCATTTGTGCCATGCAGCACTATTAGGCTACATGCCATTATTCTGCTTGGAAAAGAACATTAATTATTTTATCCCAGCATAACTGGTTCTTGATCAATTGTTTCTTTCTGCAGAAGAATATTCATGCTTATGACAGCATTACCATATCTGAATCAAGAATGTGCTTTAGACTTTATTGTCATTTTTTTCCCCCTAAATTTTATTTCTTGACTAATACTTATGGCATACATGTTGTGGATCATCTTATTTCTTTAATGCAGAGAGGGTGCAAAAGTTATATGGAGTTACGTTGATAGAATATTGGGACAACCATCACTAATCAGAGAGTCCTCCCGAGGGAAATACCCTTGGTCAGGATTTTTTACACGTGGCATGAGCACTGTATCACGCGCTGCAAATAAAGGGTCATCTTCTAAAACTGGAAATGGGTTTGGTGATGTGATTTTACATCCTTCTCTTCAGAAAAGAATTGAACAACTATCCAATGCAACTGCCAATACCAAATCCCATCAGGCGCCTTTCCGAAATATGCTCTTCTATGGCCCTCCGGGAACAGGGAAAACAATGGCTGCCAGAGAGCTTGCTCGTAAATCTGTATGGGATTTATTCAATTATGCCTTTCTTGTGTTTCTTCCTTTGCTTATGGTATTATTGCAAGCATAAAAGATATTGATTTGCGGTGCTTTGACTTTTGAAACCATCTTGTGTAGTATCATAGATTACTTGCCACAGAGTTTGTAGTATTTGATGGTAGCATTAGACTTAGTTTTACTGTTTCCTTTCCTCTGCTGCCTGGTTTTCAATTTTGCCTTTCAACATTGAATTGGACATTGGACACTTTAAACTCAAAATGTCATTTATGCAAATATTTGGTCATCTACATGACAAGAAATGTTTTTACTTAAAAAAGGAAGAGAAATTTAACAAAGTAATGATTCATATATTCATGTCATCTTTAGTACCTTAGCAGCTTCTTATTATCATTGTCCAATTTACACCCAGGGACTAGATTATGCATTGATGACTGGCGGTGATGTTGCTCCACTGGGATCACAGGCTGTTACTAAGATACACCAGTTATTTGATTGGGCTAAGAAATCTAACAGGGGCTTGTTGCTGTTCATCGATGAGGCAGATGCATTTTTATGCGAGTAAGTGGTATTTGCAATTTGATTTGAGTATGAGTATTTGATTGATGTTTTTCACTTTTGGGCTTCATGCCAAGTTGTAGAAGGATGAGTTGGGACTAACCAGTGTTTAGTTTCAGAACTTGGCAAATATGCTAAAACGAAAGTATAGGAATATTGATGCTCATTGTGGACCATATAATGGAAACTTTGTACTGTAGATAATCCGCTAAATGTCATTATTATATAAAATGTTTTACACTTCTCGTGGATCTAAATTCGAAAGGACTGAATTTGTCAACAAAAATTTGCAGGCGGAACAAGACCTACATGAGTGAAGCTCAACGAAGTGCACTTAATGCCCTTCTTTTCCGCACTGGTGACCAGTCTAAGGATATAGTCCTTGCTCTTGCCACAAACCGTCCAGGTGACCTTGATTCAGCTGTGGCAGATCGAATTGATGAAGTCCTGGAATTCCCCTTGCCTGGGGAAGAGGAACGCTTCAAGCTGCTTAAGCTTTATTTGGACAAGTATATAGCTCAGACTGGAGTGAAATCTGGTGGTTGGCTCCGAAATTTGTTCAAAAAACAGCCGCAGAAGATAGAGATTAAGGGACTGACTGACGACATCTTGAAGGAGGCAGCAGCTAAAACTGAGGGATTTTCCGGTAGAGAAATAGCAAAATTGATGGCTAGTGTACAAGCCGCAGTTTATGGGAGTCAGGATTGTGTACTTGACCCTAACCTGTTCCGCGAAGTGGTAGATTATAAAGTTGCAGAACATCAACAGAGGAGTAAACTGGCATCAAAGTCAGATGGAAAAAATGTTTCGTAGAATCCCATGAACCATACTTGTATTGGATAATTTGTAGGTAGATGAGTATCTACTGGGTAACCAGAAGGGCCAGCATTCATTTTTGTTCCGGGCATTATGTTGTTCTCATTATTTGCCCCTAATGATGGGGGATTTTGGAATTTGCTTATATTTTTAATATTTTAGGTTTCATTATTGATTGCTCAATGTTCATAGATATAATTTTCTATTTTAGGATTTATGGCAGATATCCTATAGCTTCAGCTAGTGTGTTTGGCCATGTTCTATTGGGGTAATTTAACCGTATCTATTTGGAGGCAGCTTATGCTATGCAAAATGAATCAAATAAAGAAGTATAAAAGGAAAAGATAAGGAAAAAAAAGGATCAAGTTTACGTAGTTTGGTCAGTGGTGGGTCGTGGCCTGCAAGGGGAGCCTTTTTCTAAATAACATAAAATTCAGCAAGAGTTCCTCAACCTTTTTCGTTTTATTAAAAACACTTCGGATGGCATGCTTATAATCATTATATTTATATGGACAGAAATTATATAATTCTTCTTTTCATATATTACTTAATATTCCAATCAAATTATGGAAAAAATAAATTTGGATCAGAATGTGAAATTATATATATAAATATAAGCATATATTTCCGACATCATGTCAGTCTAATGTTTTCATGGCTCAAGTAAATTGTAAATGGCACTGTTGTAATTGAAAACTCATGTTTCAATATTGTATTGTTCAGTAATAAGAAAAACAACCAGAAGATGTAACGAAGTAGCGGAGGAAAAATCACACAATTTCAACCAAGGATGATAAAAAATAATATGCATGTTTGTGACAACAAGTATAAAATAAATTGATCGACTAATATAGAAAATAAATTATCGGCTCTAAGAATTAAAAAAACAAAAAACGAAAAACGAAACTTGCTTCTATTATTGGATTAATGATTTATACCAAATGAGGAAAATTTTATTAGCATAAAAGGATCAAGATTGAAGAACAATCATTTAGAAAAGAAGAAGTGCATCTACAAATTGTTCAAATCATGGTTTTTACCATACAAGATCCAACAAACTCAATGGAGTTAATTAGCTACAATTAATGATATATAGATATCAATAACCAGAAGGAATATATATATTTATATAATTGAAAGATAATTGCTCCTTAGAAGACATAAAGATCAGCCAATTCCTCCAAGGAATCCAAGCTAAGATTATTAGGATCAGCATTTTCAAGCATCCACAAGAGATGATCAAAGAGAACTACTTCACATTTTGCAACTAAAACATCCTCTCCATGCTTTTGCTTTGTCTTTTCAATTAGAGCATTCACTAGAGGATGGCTTAAGTACTTTGAACTAATCACACAACGCTTTCTTGTGCTTCCAACATAAATTGTAGTAGTTTGATCTCCATCTTCATCTTCTTGCTTATTACTATAATTATCAACATTACTCCATAATACTTCTTCTCTAGTAGATTTTGACCTTAAACTACTATAAGATGAGGATCTACCAAGTTGCCTTGACAAGCTCTTGCATTTCCTTAGTATCAAATTCACCTTCTTCATAATTTTTCTTTTAAGAGAAAGAAACAAAGAAAGAAATTTAGGGTTTAGAAGGTAATGGAGAAGAGAGGGATATAGGGAGACTTAATGTACACTCACAAAAATGTATATACTGGTTGGATAGGCAGAGATGGTGGGTACAATGTCATTGTTTTCCGGTGCTAGAAAAATGAAAATGTGGGGTATATAATAAGCTTACAACCGATCATTTTTTCATTGTTAGTGACATAAACAAGTCATCTTTTTATATGAATCAATCCTATGGTGGGGGCTTTTACACGCACAAAACGACATAAACAAATTTCTTATCACAAGCCATACGACCATTGAACACGCCCACCGTTTTCATGCCTCGGCAGCTGGCAAGTTTTCATCAGGCTTAACCCTCAATCAATCATTTAATTTATGATCTTCTTCCTTAAACTCTTTATTTTAAGTATGGTGTCAACTTCGTTGATGAATTGCTAATATATTTGTTGCTTTCATGACATAATCACAATGTTTAACTTGATAGTGTGGAGAAAAATTCAAATATACAAATTATTAAAAGTTATTACTTTCTTAATCTGTGAAATTAGAAGAGAAATTAGAAGTTTATTATAGGCATGAGCCGTGACTCGTGAGTCCCACAGAAATACGGAGTGCTTGACTAACTGCTTCCTCTTTGATGGTTAACTGACAAATTCTTAGCACGTGGACCGTTTTATCATCTTTCCTTTGCCATTCCCATACCCACATGGCCCCTTTAACCCAACCAAACAAACATTTAGCGAATTAGACCTAACCAGAGACATCCACTTGTTCTAACATTACATTGCATGCAAAAAGGTTTGTTGGGTTCATCAACATGTTACCTAGGCATGGGCAATTTCTTATTCTCTTCTTCTTCAACCCTAATTTCATTTCTTGTTAACAAATGTAAAACAATATTTCAATCTAAAATTAACCACCAACGTCACTTTCCATACAACTGGTCGCCAACATATATTTTCTTGTCTCTGTGTTATATATATATATATATATATATATATGGCGGCGATCTTTCATGTGAAAAGTATTTGGCTTTTACCTAAAAATGGAGAGACCCCGGAAATTAGCTCAGCCACACCTCTCTGTGGTGGCTCTGTCCTCCACCCAATCAGTCTGTTTCTGTTCTATTCTATCTAGGTCCTTTCTGCTCTCCGTAAAAAATCTTGTATATGATTGGTTGATCGAGCCATATAACCCGCATATACACGTTTTAAGGGCATGACTCACTCTCTCGGGACAAGTTCTATAAATTTTAGAGATTTAGATTTTATTTTATACATATGTTTGGTTAATCTAAAAAATCAATATTTAAATTCAAAAAATGATATTGAAAATTAATAAATTTTATCAATTATAATTTGGGTTAGATATCATTTTAATATTAATATGTAAATCAGCAGTCTAATTCATTAGGATACTCAGAATTTCACAGACTTTTACAATTTTATTTCGATTTTTTTTTTCAATAATCGGACAACCAATTGCAATTAAGAATAGAATTGTAAAAAAAAAATCATTATTTTTTAAAAATTATCTATAAATTCGAGAGTTGAAATTAAAGGATCGGAGTATTTGGTAAAAGAAGACCACACGTCAGCTGTGTATGAGAGAGAGCAATTTAATGCTGAGATCTTAACCAATTGATTGAAGATCTTAACGAATTGGTTCAGTTCTTCAGTTTCAGGACTTCAAATTTCTCTAGTGTAGGTCTTAATTTCTCTAAGGAAGCGAACATGGCATTACAGATTAATGAACTAAATGACAAGAAAATGATCTTTCAGGACACAGCAATAATAACTTTGGGATTGAGAGGAAGGTACGGGATAGAAAGGAAGAAAGATCAGAAGTCAATTATAAAGAGACTGCAAGTCATTCAATAGGAACACAAGTTAATTATCGAAACTACCAGTTCAGATAATTCAGTATGCATTTGACCGGTTATCTCAATTGCTCCTAGTTTCTATTTTCCCTTCACTTTCTACCAAAATAAGGTTAGAAGTTATTATCTTAGTCTTTATACCTGATTTATCCAAAGAAAATCATACAATAAAACAAGAATAATGGAATTTGCTATAACATTTTTTTTTTCTCCATTTTCTAGAATTCTTTTGTTTCTATCCAAGGTAATGTTTGATTGGGAGTAAGCAAATTAGGAAAGTGTAACTTTTCAAAGAATGAAACGTATAAAATGCTTGTGTTTGCTTTATATTTCAATTATACTTCTAGGAGAGCATGATGACTAGAGAAGGGCACCTTAGTCAAGTGCAATGAATAATTTGTTTTATTATTTAAACATGCTTAAATTTATATTATGAATATTATTATCTTTTTTAATTTGAAAGTATTTTACTTTCCATAAGGATGATTTATATACCAAACACATTCAAATTATACTCCTTGAAAAATAATTTCTTTGGAAGTATATCTTCCTGTAAAGTATAATATTTATGGGAAATAGATCATTTTGAACCATACGAAGCCTAAATCAAATATTTCATAACCCTTTCCCTTTCTTTTCTTGAAAAAAATAAACCCCATATTTGCAATAAATTTGAAAATTACAAGCAATAAAAATGAGACAGCCAAAAAGAAAAAAAAAAAAGAAAAAGAAAATGCATAATTTTTGCAAAATCATTGTAGCCAAGCTGAGCATGGTATGAAGCCAATCGGTGACCAGAAATGGGACCCGGCCACCAATCTCCAGGATATAATGGTAAGTTGTGTTGGATTTCAAAGTGATGAAGCTTCTTTTCGGCTTAGCTTCCAAGTAAAACAGCATGTAATTTTGCTTGCTTAGAAGCAAAAGCAATACCGCATCATCTATCACGTCAATGACAAGTTTATAATAGGGCCAAGAATCCAGCCACATGAGAAAGCAAAATCAAACACACATAATGCCATCAGTTCAAAACAACGACACTTGACCTTAATTATATTATTCATATCTACTTATATAGAATGCCTTTTTGCAGACACACCCTTGCCCATTTATATTCACAACTTTACCAATTATTGTAGCTCTTAAAGTTTTATATTTTACCCCCTGTTTATTGTTGAATAAGCAAAATGACCATCTCTCAAACTCTATCCAGATGAGCTCAAGTAAATACAGATCCCTCCATTATACACGCTGTTCTTTAAACCTAACTATAAACTATAATGACATCCCCATGGATGGGGCAAAAGAAAAGCAATGTTACTTTCAATTTCACATCCAACCTCCATGTATGTTCAAAAATCTATTCTCTAAATAATTCTCAGGCTATTGCATTGAAACAATCATATGGATAACCAAATGAACAAAATCTGTGGTTTTGAATTGTAAGATCATCGCTTGCAGATTAATGAAAGAATACTTCACTGTTTTCTGTTGGTGCTATGTAATGTTTTTAACTGGATAGACAGTAGCAAGAAGATAAATTCAGCTCTGATGGTGGTAATGTCAAACGTTGAAACGAAATAGCATTACATCTCCTTCTTGAACAATGTAATCTTTACCCTCAGATCTCAACTGTGGAGTCAAAAATGCTGTTAAGTAATATGCCCTTAATATAATAGAAAAAGGTTATAATTTACAAATCGCAGTCAAGCAACCAACTCACCAGTCCTTTTTCCCTTGCAGCTGCCAATGAACCAGCAGCAACAAAATCATCATAAGCCACCTGAAGAAAGAAGGATAGAGGGAAAAAAACATATATATTCATATAAATAGGCATAAATTAAATATAAATTACCTAAAATACTGTTAATGAATTTAGATCATTTATGCAAGTACATCTCAAGCCATGTGTTTGCAGCTGTGTATACATCTGAGAAGGATCTAACGTATTGGTAGAGGATTCAGCACACAGGAAGTAGGGAAAGGTCAATAAATACGTCCGTAGCATGAGTGTCAACATGTGTCAACTGCTTGTCAATATCTCCGGTGAATATATCCATGTGCATGTTTTCACGTCTTTACAAATAGTACCTCTATTTATCATCATTTGAAATGTTCTTATTTAGTGTTGCCAATGTCTCCAGCAAATGTTTGATTACTTCATCATACAAGAATCAATAAGCCACATAAGAGCTATTGAACATGTTTTGGAACTCTTGTCACATAGCATGGTTTAATGTAATAGGATTCCAGTTTCTGTGCCGTGAATGTAACCAATTTTATGTTATACCATGGCTGTTTTGAAGTTTCATTGGTAACCATACAAAGATATGGGATTCCCTTCAATTTCAAAAAGTTAAAACAGACTAAATGGTCATGTTATAATAACTAATTTGTGCAGTTTATTCAATAAGCCCGGAGAACAGAAGAGCTAGAGTAGTGCATACTACATCTTCCCTACAAGCCTATTTTCGACATGCTTAATGTTACTCTCCAGATATAGTTTAAGCTCCTATAGATAAATGTTGTTCCTCCTACCAAAAATAGCATGCTACAGTTGCATACAGTTTTCCCCCATAAAAACAAAAACTAAAACCACTTTTGGATGGGAAGTAAAAAGTTATTCTTATGGCACTTACTGTCTCAGCTCGAATGAAACCCTTCTCAAAGTCGGAGTGTATAACTCCAGCAGCTTGAGGTGCAGTCATTCCTGGATCAAGAGGGGAAAAATCATAAAACTAACCCTTAACCACAAAGGTATAAATAGGAAGTACAGGCTACCAATAGATTGACCTAAACTGTCTCGATGCAAAACTAAACATGAGCTGATCTAAAAGGATGAAACTACTAGAGACATACTTTTCAGATTCCACACTCCTAAAGTAGACAAAACCTAATTCTCAAACAACAGGAAGTTGTTGAATCTCTAACTGAGCGACCAAGTTGAATAAAAACATTAGTGCTTGCTTGAGGTAAGATCAATAACCAGCAAAGCAAAACAAACCTGCTAAAATGGTCCATGCTTTTGTTTCCTGTGGAAAATATGAAACTGCTCTTTTAGAAACTTAACAAAAATGGTATTCAGAAAACCTTCTTTGTCAAATCAGTTTGCTCACCTTTTCACCAGAAGTAAAGTAGGTACGCAGACCCAAAAGATTATATGTTGCCCTAATAAGGTTTCCAAGACCACTTTCACTGACTCCAAGTGATTTCAAATATTCGGTTCTTTCTTCATGTGGTAATTCAGTGAGCTCTGACTCAACCTGCAAAGTCAAGCTTCTCTAGATTACTTACATGTAACTACTGAAACATAAAAACCAGTAGAGTTAGATTTTAGAAAGTTGAATGCACACAAGCAGACACAGGATTCACTAAAGTCTGACCATACCTGTGCAGAAATCGTGACCAGTCCAGATTGCAACTCTGATGCAAGATTCATCACTTCTTTGACATGCGGGTTGCTTTCTGGAACAGCTAGGTCAGATTCTGCAACATTTGCCACATATATGACTGGTTTTATGGTAAGCAAGCAGAGATGCTTTATGGCGTCCTTTTCAAGATCTGTTAATGCAACAGACCGTGCTGGTTTTCCATCCATCAGTGCCCCCTGAATTCTCTCCAAAGCTGCCTTTTCTGCTTCCTCCTAATGTAAAGAAAATTGCATTCACGCATTCAAGACCACCATGCTTACTGTACTTAACTATCCACCTGTAAATATAAGAAAGGCTACTGGTATTGAATTTTGAACCAAAACAAAATTTACCTTGAGTTTAGATTGTGAATCTTTTGCCTTCCCTTTTTTAAGCTTCTCTAGTCTTTTCTCAATCTGCATTTCTTGTAAAGGATATAATTCAGTTCCATCAGCCTATGTTGCAGTTATTAACATATACTTAATAAGGTTAACCTAGCGACTTCCAAACAAATGTAACTCAGGGACAAAGGCACCGCTTGAGTACATGACCAGTGGAAGCTCTAGTTCAATCAAAGAATCTAAACATTATCAATAAAGATAGAAGTAAAAGAAACAGCTAGAAGACTATGAAGTCCAATAGCTGATAAGGATAGAATTTAATAAGCACTGGAGAGGCAAATCATGTAAGAAACTTCCTTAAGCCCAGATAAGCAGTTCAGTTGTATAAAAGCTCTCTTCAGCATACCTGGTCCAAATCCGAGAAAATGAGCTCTAAGTTGATTACATCAATATCAGACTTGGGATCAACCTTGCCACTTACATGGACAATGTCATTATCTTCAAAACAGCGCACAACCTGAAAGAAGAATTTGCAGGTCTTTAATTAAATTATATGGTACCTAACAATTATAAGCTGAGTTTTGAAAATCATGGGCCACTATTCTGCAATATCTTCTACAAATCTCAGAAAATGTCATTACAAAGGTATGCCACTCAAAATCCCTGGCAAAAGAGATTTCCGTTCCTTGAAGCTACTAGTGAACCGCTGTATCGCCTTTACCTTTTCTTTCTTTTCCTTTTTCCTCTTTTGGCTATCCGTTTAATTATTTACTCTTCATGTGTGCCGTAGTGTTGACAACACAATGCCAAATACCTCAATGCTAACTAACATAGCAAGTACGCACATCCCGTAAACATGGCCTTGATAATGAATTATTTTCTTAAAATCAGATTGGGGAAGAAAATAGCGGGGAAGAAACGTAAATCTGAATAGGAATGAATAAGAACCTGAAGAATGGAGTCAACCTCACGGATATTTGATAAGAACTTATTACCCAGACCCTGAGCAAATTAAGTTCAAAATAAGTAACAGAATCGATAAAATGAAGCATGACAAACAGCTACGAGTTTACCAATACTATAATTTAAAAAAAAAACTAGTAAAAGAATTAAAGCAACCTCGCCTTGACTGGCGCCCTTCACGAGTCCAGCAATGTCCACAAATTCTATGGAAGCCGGGACAGCCCTCTGAGACTTGCTAAGATCAGAAAGAACATTGAGTCGGGGATCTGGCACCGCAACTGTCCCTACATTTGGTTCTATCGTACAGAAAGGAAAATTAGCTGCTTGAGCTTTTCCATTTTCTACCTGCAAATTTAATTACCAGAGAAAACAACAGTGAGAAATGAACGCTATCAACGAAAGAAGACTATACAAAAAAATACTTACAACAGCGTTGAAGAGAGTAGATTTTCCGACATTCGGGAGGCCGACGATGCCAGCTTTCAAGCTCATGCTTATCTTCGAAGAAGAAGAAAACCGCCTATTGATTGCTAAAGCGCCTGTAAATTGAGAGCTCTTAGCGAATAGAAAAGAGTTTCCGCACAGAAATGATGATGGTGATTTGGTTGGAAGAAGAGATAAGGCAGGAATAAGGTTACTGCAGGCCACTCTAGCCATTTGAATTGGCTTATAGTTTTTGAAAGTCGGAGATGAAAAGGGTTTATCTGAAGAAACGGTGGAGGGAAGGGAAAGGAGTGGCCACTGAATGAAAAGAAAAAATTGAAAAAATAAACTCCCTCTGGGTCTGGCCTGGGTTTAGATGTACCACTAAACCCTCTTCAATTTTTCAGCCAATCATATCTCTCAATGTGTCGCTGAACATTCGTAGAAATCTTACATCATTGGCCGCAAATTACCAGTTTTGACCATCGTCTTGGACTTCGCTCTCAGTGGAATATCTTCGTGACTCGGGGATTACTAGCGCTAAAGTTGTAATTTTAATGTGAGAAAATTAACCCTTTAATTAGTTAAATCAAATTTTAAATAATGTTATTTATATTTATATCTTTTAGTATTTTTTAAAATCAATAGTATGTTTTTTAATTTATTATTATATTATTAAAAAAAGGAAAATAAAAAAATATAATATATATTTCTTTTAATTTAAAACTTCAATCCATTAAAATTGATGTGGTTGAGTCTATATTAGACCATTAGGGAAAAATAATGGTTAATCACGTAAAATTATTAAATATCTTCTATTAGTATTTTCATAAAGACGTGATTTTCCCCATTTTTTTTCTCTATCCTCTATTACGGTTTTAATTAACATGTATTTCCGATTAATTTGCAATATGATAAAAATTTTCGCTTTTCTTTTCTAATATTAGAGGAAAGTATATAATTATATGCACTTAAAATTAGATTATTTTCTGATATGCCTTTTTTAATAGCTTTTGAATTATAGTTATTGAAATTATCGAGAGAGGTTTTAAATATACCAAGTTATCTCTTGGACTAAGGATATCTATAGTATATGTAAAAAAGAATCATTTCGCGGAAAAAAAAAAAAAAAAAAAAAAAAAAATTAATAGTTATTGAAATTATCGAGAGAGGTTTTAAATATACCAAGTTATCTCTTGGACTTAAGGGATATCTATAGTATATGTAAAAGAATCATTTCGCGGAAAAAAAAAAAAAAAAAAAAAAAAAAAAAAAAAAAAAGCTAAAAAGTTGTTTCACAGATGGAGCTTCTAAATATGCCATGTTACTCGTTGAAATCCATATTAGGCCTCTTCGATAACGAAATTCTCTAACACAAGGTAACAAAATTTTCAAAACAAGATCGAAGCTACCATCACTGCTCTTTGTTTTGCTACCAAAGTCATCCCTTTCTTTCAACAATCAATTCAATTACCTACAATAAATTTGATTAACAATCATATGGAGGTGGAGTATTATATATGTACAATTTAGAAATTAGAAGATCAACGTCGATGTTCTATCGTGGATAAAAGTCTCATTTAAATCGTGGATTGTTACAAGTAGGAAGTGCAATTCGATTTTAGAATCTCCAGAGAGTGGAAGCTATCAGTTTAAGGGAGAGAGGGTGAAGGAGAGGGATGGGAAGAGGATGAGAGTCTGCTTTTTCACATGATTTTGCTTTTATTAAGGGTATGAACGACATTTTCCACATATACTTAATGAAAAAGTGATAAAAGTAAAAAAAAAAAAACATATAACATTAAAAAAAGTAAAATAATTGGCTCAATATATAAATTTCATCTTATACTTTGGTTACTTGAATTTTTAATAAACTTTGTTATGATCGTTGTAAATTTATTTATTTAGCAAGTAGTATGATTTGTGAAAGTGTAATATTATAATTACACCTTGTAAGTTCAGGGGATCGCAAGATAAATTAGCCAAAATTTAATAGTAATTATATAATTAAATTAAGAAAATGGAAGTGCTATATATATATATATATTTTTTTTGAGGATTACTAAGGGATTAAATAGTTACCTATTCTATATGATTATTGGTCCCGCTTGCCACCTCCTTTCCTTTCATTCAAGGAAACTATAAAAGGAAAGGAAAAAAGAAAAAAAAAAAGGGTTGATAAATACTAAAAAATAGCAAAATCAAGATGAACAATAACAAAAACATACCCTGAATTTTTTTAGACAGGCAATTCCATTGCTGTTGTCTGTTCATTTTGATCTTTCCTTCGAATAATTTTTACCAATAACACAGTAAAACGAGAGAGAACAAAAAAAAAAAAAAAAACGAAAAAAAGAAAAAAAAAAAACGAAAAAAGAAAAAGGACCCATTGACGATACTCACCGACCCCTCTCTCCTCCCGTTCAATAATAAAATCGCCATCGTTATCTCTTCCCTGTAGGTTTCCTCTTTCGTTCTCTTTTGGCTAATCCCAATAATTTTAACTATGGATAAAAAAAAAAAAAAAAAACGAAAAAAAGAAAAAGGAACCCATTTGACGATACTCACCGACCCCCTCTCTCTCCTCCGGTTCAATAATAAATCGCCATCGTTATCTCTTCCCTGTAGGGTTCCTCTTTCGTTCTCTTTTGGCTAATCCAATAATTTTTAACTATGGATTATTGTATCCATTTCACTGTACAAATCTTCTCACCCGAAACCCTAAAAGTTTCAGTGTTAAGGGTTTTTAGTGTTTAGCGTCGTTTTTGCTTTTTTCTTGATTTAGAATTTAGAATTTCTTTTGCTACGGTTGTTTTTTTAATCTTTAAAATTTAGTTTTAGCGATAAGAAAACGAAGTGTAGATATGGAAGGGATTGAAAGTGGTATAGGTATTCAAGAAATTTCCAAAGTTGATGATCCTAAGCAGACTGGAGATAACTCTACAGGTTGGTTTTGATTTTTTTTTCTCTATTTTGTTTCTTTCAGCTGGATCTTAGCTTTCCATTTTGAGGTTTTTGAGATCTTCGTTTTGCTTTTTATTTGGATGCCCAGCGACTGGGCTCAATAACTGGACAATTGAATCAAATCTTTTTATTTAAGCAGTGGTATGTTGTCAAGGTCGAATGATGTTTTAAGTTTCATTTTATGCATAATTTCTATTCATTCCAGGATCGATGTTGTTTTGATTCTCGAGTAATTTATTGCTTTCCTTTATTAGTCAAATGGAAGTGTAGCTGTTAGTTAATACTTCTTCGTTTTTATGGATTTGACTGTGTTTGTTTGATTTTGCATCTTCAACTTCATAAGATGCTTGAAACTTTCATAATTTCGTTATGAACTCGATTGTCCCACAAAATTATAGGAAAAAGTGATGTTGTAGTTAGCTCCAACACTAGGCATGTTTTCCTGATGCGTAACTGTGTTATAGATCAATTTTGGTTTTTATGAGTGACTTTAGCTTTTCTATTTTGTTAGAATGTTAGTACCTGATGTCCATTATTAAAGTATCTCTATTGATGATAATTGTAGTTTTTTGACTAGAATGTCTCTGTGGTGCAGAAGATGCCGTGTTTGATGCATCTCAATATGCATTCTTTGGTAAAGATCTTGTCGAGGAAGTTGAGTTAGGGGGGTTGGACGATGAAGAAGAGGCCTTGCCTGCGGCTGAGCTTGATGAGGAAGAGTTCCTCTTTGGTAGACAAGAGGTCAGAATTTCTTTTGTTTTTGGATTTTTGTTGATTTGTGATTTCACCAGGAAACTGGCATTAGTTGATAATAATAATAATAATAATAATAATAATAATAATAATAATAATAAATTATGAGTGTAAATAAGTAGATTTATCAATGAATTCAATGTATAAATTATTCGTGAGCTATTTGGTTCAGCTTATTCTTCATGGCTTACTGCAAGATTCATGAAATCCTAGATCATAATAGAGCTAAAGAAATTTGTTCTTTACCACAATAACTTTAAGTGAAATACTTTTCTTTGTTCTGCTCTTACTCTGCCATTTAGCTGCTGATTGTTGGATATTAGAGGCATATCGCTTGTCAATAATTTTTTTCTAATCATTCTTCTATTAATTGCTCTTCTGTAGCTTTTCCTTTTTGTTGAAATAGCAGGAGTTTTTATGGATGTTTTGAAGAATGAGAATGTTCATGTTTACAACATAAGGAATATGTGGTATTCTCGTTGAAGTTCAAGTTCTGAGTATATGTTGGTGGAATTTGAGACTAATGACGTGGGTTAGACAAAGGGTGATGAAATATGGATGTCTAGTGGGCTTTTCCTCCTTTGCTGTTTCTTTCATTTGTTCTTTCTTTCTTTTGTGTTTTGGTTGGCAGGTTGTTCCTTCTTTCATAAAATTTGAAAAATGTGAAAATTCAGCTTTTTAAGCAACCCTTACAGCGAATTTTTTATATAATTAAACCTACAGGAGTTGAAGTACTCCTTTGCATGCTTGTATTAAATCAATTTATTGGTTTTGGACTGCATTATCCAATATCCATGACTTGTAACATCCTGATTGATATGTTTAAAACAATGGTTTCAGATGTAAATTTTTTGTTGATGATATTCCAGCAATAGGAAATTCAATGGTGCAACTAACTGCTCTTTCTTATTTGCAGGGTGAGATTGTAAGATCTCTTTCTGATATTGATGATCTTGCTAGTACATTTTCAAAGGTCAGTTTACTAATTGCCGCTGCTGTAAATTATGTGTCTATTTCTCTCGTATCTTTTTCTCCTCCCCACTTTTATTAATTTTTAAGTCATATAAGAATCTAGTCACTGTTTGATGCCTTTTTTACACTCAGTTTTATTGTTCCATTGATTGCCTTTCATGTGGAAGAGTTGTATTCTTTTTCTGTGTAGATTTTGGAAGGTATTTTTAAAGATTCATACGAATAATTTGCTGTTTGGGAATGATGGGAATTAATTATACTCTTCTTCCTAGGACTATATCTGAATGCTATATTTCTATATAGGAGTGATGAGAGCGACAGTTTTCTTTTCAGAAGAATTATTAAGATGAGAAAATGGGTGCATATCCCCTTGCCAATTTTCTATTTTATCAGTTGTTCTCTATTCACTGCAAATTTGGTTGCATTACCCAAAACTCTCACGAGGTACACTGGGCTGTGTAAAAATAGGCATGGTGGAAGAACACCTTCCAACCTTTTTGAGATGAGCAGGTGCAAAGTGATGGATATGAACATGTGGACCTTTTTGTGGATAGGTTGTCAAATTTCTTTTATTATTTGAAAAAGAATCTTTTACGTCCTTAATTAGCTTTTGTTATTGTCTTCAAGTCTTCTTGTGCACATGAGTTTAATGTCAGAGTTCTATTTTCTACCATGTAGATTACATGAAATTTGTAAAAAACGAGTAAATTACCCATTGACTACCTGCCTTTTTTTTTCCTGAAACAAAAGTAAATATATACTGTCTTTCTAACATTAGCAAGCGTAGACTTTAGTGCTTGAAATTTATGCATTTTCTTGCTTCAACACTTATAAATTTTAACTCTAGTTGTAACTTGAATGTCAAAGGTCAAATGGTCTTTCTGGCGTCAGTACATACAGAGGGAAAAATTGAACCTTTATATTTGTTTATATTTTTAAGAAATATTCAGAGCCTGTCGTTAGATTTATGCCTTATTCAGCCTTTGGGCATTATTTCTGTTGTTGTAAAAGAATGTGGTGGCTTCAGATATCCTTGGTTTGAATCTGGTCAATTATTTTTTCCATTAACAGTTTTTTACCTCTGGTTTTATTGGATGCAGTATTTGTTTCTGATAATCACAACTTAGTATCTGTGTCTCTCAGATATTTTTGAACTTCTTTTGATATCTAATCTTAATGGCATGTACCGAGTATCTTTGTGAAAGTGTCAGATTATACTAATTTACTTACTACTGTTTATCTTATTGCAGTTGAATAAAGTTGTCAGTGGACCAAGAGGTGCAGGAGTAATAGGTGACAGGGGATCCAGAGAAAGTGAGTGTAGAAAATTGCATAATCTCTTTTAGTGATGTAAAAATTTGAATTTTAAAATTTAATTATAAGCTTATAAATTCTCATGATGAATCACGATATTGTCCTTTCCATTTTTCTCATATTATTGCAGTCAACTCCTACATTCTTCTCATCTTCTAAAAAATTTTTAGTTCTCTTAACTATGGGTTTATCCTTGAAGAGGTAAAAAATAATAACGCTAACTGTGGCATTTCCTTCCAGGTTCATCTGCTGCGGAATGGGCTCAAGGGGACGATTTTCCTAACTGGTTTGATCAACAGCAGCTACTCGATCCTGAAGGTTTTCAAGATGGCAAAAGATGGTCCTCACAGCCATATTCTTCTTCTGCTCGTTTGTCAGAATTAAAGCCTTTGTACAGGACATCTTCATATCCTGAGCAGCAGCAACATCATCAACATTTTTCCAGCGAACCAATTCTTGTGCCGAAGTCTTCTTACACTTCATATCCTCCTGGACAATCACCACAGGCTTCACCAAATCATAGTCATCTAAACATTCCATATCTTGGTGGTGGTCCCCAAATGGCAATTTCTTTACCGAACCTCTCTCCTTTTTCTGGTCCTCAGCTACAACTGACGGGCTTACATCATGGATCGCCTCATTTTGGCGGAAATTTGTCACAATTTTCATCTGGTCCATCTGCAAATAGCCGACCACCTAACCAATGGATGAACCACACAGGTTTATATCCTGGAGATCATCCAAACCGTTTGAACAATATGTTACAGCAACTACCGCATCAAAATGGTTTAATGGCTCCACAGTTGATGTCACAACTGCAGTCACAGCAGCATAGAATGCACCACCCTGTTCAGCCGCCACTGGGCCATTTATCAGGCATGCAGTCTCAGCTGTTTAATCTTCATCCTTCCTCATCCCCACATTTGATGAACAAATTTGAAGCAGTTCTTGGTATGGGTGATAATAGAGATCAAAGACCAAAAACTGCTCAGAAAGGTAGACAAAATTTGTATTATTCTCAACATGGCTTTGACTCCAACGGCCAGAAGATTGAAAGTTTTTGGCCGCAGTTCAGATCGAAGTACATGACAGCTGATGAAATTGAAAGTATTCTCAGAATGCAGCTCGCTGCAACACACAGTAATGACCCATATGTGGATGATTATTATCATCAGGCTTGTCTTTCCAAAAAATCAGCTGGGGCAAAGCTCAAGCATCATTTCTGTCCAACTCACTTGAGGGATCTTCCTCCTCGTGCACGTGCTAATAATGAGCCTCATGCTTTTCTCCAGGTTGATGCACTTGGGAGGGCCCCTTTTTCTTCAATTCGTAGACCCCGCCCACTTCTTGAGGTCGACCCCCCAAACTCATCTATTAGTGGTGCCACTGATCAGAAAGTTTCTGAGAAACCCCTAGAACAGGAGCCAATGCTTGCAGCTAGAGTGACAATCGAAGATGGCCTTTGCCTTCTTCTTGATGTGGATGATATTGACCGTTTTCTTGAATTTAATTTTAATCAGCTTCAAGATGGTGGAGTCCAATTGAAACGCAGGAGGCAGGTCTTATTGGAAGGGTTGGCAGCATCCATGCAATTGGTTGACCCACTTGGCAAGAATGGACATTCAGTAGGACTTGCTCCAAAAGATGACCTTGTGTTTTTACGATTAGTATCTCTTCCCAAGGGCCGGAAGCTGCTTGCGAAGTACCTTCAGTTTCTTTCCCCAGGTGGTGAACTCATGCGAATTGTCTGCATGGCTATTTTTCGTCATTTGAGGTTTTTGTTTGGAGGGCTCCCTTCTGATGTCGGAGCAGCGGAGACTACAAATAACCTTGCAAAAGTTGTATCATTATGTGTGCGCCGCATGGATCTTAGTTCGCTTAGTGCTTGTCTTGCAGCAGTTGTTTGTTCCTCGGAGCCGCCCCCACTTCGACCCCTGGGAAACTCTGCAGGAAATGGGGCGTCTCTCATTTTGATGTCTGTTCTGGAAAGGGCAACTGAATTATTGATTGAGCTTCAAGATGCTAACAACTATAATATGACGAATCGGGCACTATGGAAGGCCTCATTTGATGAGTTTTTTGGCCTACTTATAAAGTATTGTATAAATAAATACGATAGTATTATGCAATCTTCTCTATCAGATCCAGCAGAAGCTATTAAGAGGGAATTACCTATGGAGCTCTTGCGTGCCAGTGTTCCTCACGTAAATGATTACCAGAAAAAGTTGCTATATGACCTTTCCCAACGTTCCTTAGCCAGTCAAGATGGTAATGGTGGTCACATGAATTCTGAATCTGTGCTGAGTTGATGCTAAGCTTGTGAAAAAACATGATGGCCCTTAGAAAACATGAGCTCAAGGTGGTGCTGACTTCTGAAAAAAGTGAATGTAAAAGACTGTTGGACCAACAATGTTGTCGGGTATTTGTTTTTTACTTGTACTTGCAAACCGTGGATATTTAGGAACACACGGAGTAAGTGAAGCAGATGCTTTGGAGCAATCAATTGAAAGTCGGTCTAGTCCTTTCGGGATATAGTATTAAAAAATTTTAGTTTTTTTTCTTTTTTTTTTTTTTTTTTCTCATTCAATTGCAGGCAACTGCATTGGCTAAACTTTTTACAGGCCTGTCTTGTCTTGTATTGTGCTAGAAATCTGTTGGAAGTTCCTCATTTACTTGGGTATTTTTACGCCTCAAGTCTTTAGAGGCTTTGGTGTTCTGTTGTGGAATTCTGAATATTGTGTAGGGTGTACAGGGTTTGGTACATAGATTTCCTACTTTCCTGTTGTATTTGTTATCCAGGAGGTGGGTTGAAGTCTTGAAGACATTTTCATGTTTTTCTGGTATGGGCTATGTGCTTGCCATGGTTCCCAAGTAAATGACAATAAGGCTGGTGGTTTGTGTTTCGAATGTGGGATGCTGATGGAGTTTTGAGTTCTCAAGTAATTAGCAAGTTTAGCCTAGTTTTTCTTTTTTCATCTAATTTTCATTCTCATTGTATTAGCCCTCTTGTGCTTTCTCCAAACGTTGACATTGTTATCCTTGATTTCTAATTTTCTTTCATATCGTTTTAGCAAGTTTAGCGCAGTTGACTGATGCTTTGTTTATTTTTCGCTTAATAATAATGTCTTGTTGACGGCGCAATCAAAAAATCTCTTTTTTTTTTTTTTTTCTTGTTTTCGCTTAATAATATGCCTTGTTGACGGGCGCAAATCCAAAATTTTTTTTTTTTTTTTTTTCGTGTAATTTAGTCTCTCTGGTTAGATGAAATTAAATTTGTCCTTGTCCTGTGATTTGTATTTTTGGACTGATAGGTCATTTTATTGTTAATTTTGGATGACAGATCAGAATACCCTTTATTTTATTTCTATTGTATTTCTTATAGAAGATTATTTTATTAGGCAATTAGCAACAGAAATATAAATATTCAACTCTTTTTGACAAGACAAAAAGTAAATAGTTAATTTCATCAAACATCAGCCGGGATTAATTTGCCTAGATCGGTCCATGACTAATGAAACTAAAATTTGTTTGTCAATAACACGAGAGCAAAGAACCTTGTTTTTCAATCACTTCAGTTGGCATAAAACTTTGCATAGATATAATGATAGGAACCATCAGCTTATACAGTTTCATTATTTAATTACCACTTCACCATCCAGAATAAACCCACTGCAACCAGGATTCAAGCCTAAGCTAAAAGACATGACCAGTTACTAAACTAAAACAATTTTAACATACTTGCCTACAGAAGTAAAAAAACCTATGAAAACATACTAACATATCAGAGTCATCATAAGTTGAAATCAAACTTCATTTGGAATTCCACTGGCAATCAAATTGAAGATGCTTCTTCCATATCCATACCGGAGAGTCTCGAGATGCGGTTGAAGGCTTCTCAGAAGTTCCAAATGGAGCGGAAAATTCAGTTCCTTAGTGACTTTCAATGCTCTTTGAATCACATAATTCCCAAACTGATCTCTGGCAACTTGCAATAGTTGGTTGCTACTGCTGCTCAGAAGGTCCTCAACTGCATAACTCATAGCTGGTGACTTGAGGCATTTTTCCACAACATGACTACCCCATTTCTGCAATGATAGTCTTGCATAGTGACCTCTAAGCAGGTTTCCTATTATTTCAGTAAAGAATGGATTTTCAAGCCCCAAGACTTTCTGCACAACATGGTTACCTGAAGGATCATGTGAGAGGAACACTGCATTGTTAGAGATTAATTCTAAAAGGTGTTGCCTATGCCAACCTTGGATTTTGTCTATGAAGTTGTTTAAAGATATACATCCTATCTCGTGGATTGCCAAGTGAAGACAATTTGGGATAATTGCTTCATAGAGTAATACTTTCTGCTTAATATCAAGAGTGTCCAAGCAGTAAGTTATAACATATGATCCTATTTTATCAATCATCAATTGGTAAAACGCAAGGTAGAGACTAGCAACCAGCCACTTGATGTAAGGAGATTTTTTGAGTAATTTGATCAATTTTTTGATCAACTTGGAAGCAGTTATGTTGTTTGACAGAATAATAAACAGTTGTCGATCCATTGTTATAGTCTCCACAATCAACGCCAACTGTTTCTCATTGCAAGAATCAATTAGCTTAGAACAGACATGCCAACCAAATTGATCAATCATCAGATAGTGGATTATAGGGACTCCCTCCAATGAGGCTGTAACCCTTTCAAGAATTTGACTCGTAATTTTTGTATTCTTGAACATTAATACTTCCTGAAGGTTCTTAGAGCCTTCTTGATTTCTAGCATATCCCAGAAAAGAATACCCTTTAAGCTTACCAAATACAGAATGCGGAGCAGAATCTTGATTAGCGCCCTCGTTATGCAAAGCATGGACAGATAGTTGAAGTTCTGGATTGTTGATTGCCCATATATTTTGTGGATAAAGTTGTGGTAGAACTCGCTTTGATTTATCAAACGAAGTTTCTTGATTTTTAGAAACAATTTCTTGGATTTTTGTTGAAGAGGTCTCTCCAGGAAAAAGAAAAGAATTGGTACTTCCTACAGAAGACGAAACCTCGCCATTGTTAAGGGAAAGATTCTCGACAGAAAGACTGAGACTTTCCATAGAGGAATTCGCAGAAGATAATGATTTGGGTGTTTCAGATTTTTCAGCAATTGATTTCTCCTTCTCCATAATAAGGCTACACGTTGCAGAGTAAAGAAACAAAGAATTTCAAGAAACGATGCAAATAAAAAGAAATTGATAAAGTCTCGCTGGCGTTGAAGTTTTTATACAAGTGTTTATGGAATCGTCAAGCAGCAATTCAAAATCCTATTAGAATCGGAATTGGTAAAAGACCAAGGACTAGAAGTTTTTACAAGTGAAGTGACTGTCCTAGGAATCCTTGTGGCCTAAGGAAAAACAGAAAAGAAAGAGAAAAAAGAAAAAAGAAATGTATTTAATTAATTTTTGTGATTTAAAAAAAAAATTGATGTAGAGTTGGTGACTTTCTTTATTTATCCGTAGAACCCAAAAATAGAAAATTATTTATTTATCCCAATTCTAATCGAACTTTATCCAAGATTTAAAACCTGAATATGTAAAAGAGCTTTACTTAAATATTCAAAAAAAAAAAAAAAAAAAAAAAAAAGAGCTTTATCTTAAATATTCAAAAAAAAAAAAAAAAAAAAAAAAAAAAAAAAAAGTAAACGTGGAGCTAGGGTCTGGCCTTCAGGGTACGGATCAGAAAAGTTCTAAGTTTCATATGAGACGACCCGCCGTTTTAATAGTAGTAAAAACAAATTCACCCGTCTATGGCACCACCCAAACACCAAACAAATAAAAAAATATATTTCAAGTTTTGTTTTTTTCAGGATATTCATGGCTATGTACAAGGAAAAACATAAATAAAACAAGAATAATTTTTTTAAATATCCGCTTTTTAGGTAAAGCCTTTTCCTATCTACGTGTTTTGCTAATTATTCCTGGCACAGCAGAGTGCCAATAATAAAAAAGATAAGACTTTCATAAAATATTATATGGAATTGAATGAATTTTCCAAAAAAATATAAAAAATCAAAAATTTGTTATTCATTTCACTGTGCAAATCTTCTCACCGTACGTCTTAGAAGTTTCAGTGTTAGGGTTTTTGGTACTTAGTGTCGTTATTTATTTATGTATTTTTCTAGATTTAGATTCATTTTCTCTGTTAGGCTTTTTGAAGTTTTTACTTTTAGCTTTAGTGATAGGGAAAAGGAAAGGTGTGGATATGGAAGTGATTGAAAGTCCGAGCGGTATTCAAGAGGCTACAGGTTGGTTTGTCTTTACTTCTTTACTGTATTTTAGTCCTTTTAGCTGAATCTTCGCTTACCAAATTGGTCTTTTGGAGATTGAGTCTTCGAGATTTTTTTTGTTTAGGTACTTCCAATAATCTCATTTCAGTTCAGCTTACTTGAAAGGTTTATGACTTTTTTTTTTTTTTTTTTTTTTTTGGTGCAGAAGGTTGCTGTGTCTTGATGCATCTCAATATGGCGTTCTTTGCGTTAAAGATCTTGTTGGGGGGTTGAGCTAGGCGGATTGGAGGGATGATGAAGGGACTTCTCCTCCAGTTGAGTTTAATTGAGGAGGAGTTTCTCTTTTTGTTGGACAAGAGGTACGTTTTTTTTTTTTTTTTTTTTTGGTGCAGAAGGTGCTGTGTTTGATGCATCTCAATATGCGTTCTTTGGTAAAGATCTTGTTGGGGAGGTTGAGCTAGGCGGATTGGAGGATGATGAAGAGGACTCTCCTCCAGTTGAGTTTAATGAGGAGGAGTTTCTCTTTGTTGGACAAGAGGTTACACTTTCCTTTCTATTTTCCAGATTTTCCTACCTGATTGTGATGTAACAACTGTTATTCAATATAAATTTCAATTTTTTGGTTGATGGTGGTAGGCATTTCCAATGGCGCAACTGACTTTCTTTCTTATTTGCAGGGTGAGGTTGTAAGATCTACATCTGATATTGATGATCTTGCTAGCAGATTTTCAAAGGTTAGTTGACTAGTTCCTGATACTATGAAGTGTGAGTCATTTTTTAAAATTTTGATTTTATGATTTCTGGTGTTTTTTAAATCACATAAAACTATTGTCACGAGAGTCATCCCAGATTGGCACGGTGAACACTTTCTAAGCTGTTTCAATTGACTAGATGAACAAACGTTTTTAAAATAAGTGTGGAAGACCTCCTGCCTCAATCTTTAGCTGTTAGGCATTACTTTTGTTGTAGTTGAATTTGTTTAGGTTGGGGCATGCTAGGTTTGAGTCTTAAAGATTATTTGAAATCAACATTTTTTTTACCATCCAAGCTTGCTCTTGCTGGCATTTAGAAAGTATGAATTGGCTGTCAATCATATTATTGGCAAAGGTCTTGAACGGTCTAGTTTTGCCGTGTTCTTACTTGCATATGCTCGACTATTTATCTTCTTGCAGTTGAACAAGGTTGTCAGTGGGTCAACTAGTGCAGGAGTAATTGGTAGTAGGGGATCCAGAGCAAGTGAGTATAGAATATATAATTTTCTAAATATTATTTTGCTTTTCTAATACTTCATTGCCTCATTATGTGATGGTGGTTGTGGACTTGTAGTAGTTCAGTGGTAGACAATTTTAGTGTTTAAGGTTGCTCATGGATAAGGATTTTACCTTCAGAGTCCATACAGTTGCAGGTACAGCTAATGCTATATTGGGAACCTTATTTTGCATATGTTCTATTCAATGGGGTGAAGATCTGAATACAAGCAAGACAATCGTTGACTTCTCAGTGAATGTCATATAATCCATTTAGCTACAATCATGTATTTGTTAATGTATAAATCTTTTCAATGGGAACCATTGGGAAGTTATACAGGGCATTTATTTATCTTGAAAATTGTGATTTTGTAGCTTGGTGTGAACCAAATTCTACTATTTTTGCTTAAGGTTTTATCAGTATTTTGGATTCATCCTTGAGGATGGAACAAACAATGAAAAGCTAAGTGTGATATTTTATTCCAGGTTCATCTGCTGCTGAATGGGTGCAGGGGGAGGAATTTCCTAACTGGTTTGATCAGCAGCAGCTGCTTGACTATGAACGCATTCAGGATGGCAAAAGACAGTCCTCACAGCCATATTCTTATACTGCTCACATTTCAGAATCAATGTCTCCGTACCGACAATCGTCTTACCCTGAGCCGCAACAACACCATCAACAGTTATCTAGTGAACCCATTCTTGTACCAAAGTCTTGTTACACTTCATATCATCCTCCTGGTGTACAATCTCCACAGGCTTCACCAAATCATGGTCAGCTGAATAATGCATATCTTGGTTCTGGTCCTCAAATGACAGTATCTTTACCAAACCTCTCTGCCATTTCTAGTCCTCAGCTTCAGTTTGCAGGCTTACATCATGGATCACCTAACTTAGGTGGAAATTTGTCACAGCTTTCATCTAGTCTGTCTGCAAATGGACAGCCTCCAAACGAATGGATTAATCATACAGGTCTGTGTCATGGAGATCATCCTAACCATTCTAACAATATGCTGCAGCAGCAGCTACCTCATCAACATGGTTTAATTCCCCCGCACTTGATTCCACAACGGCAGCCACAGCAGCATAGACTACATCACGTTCAGCCATCATTGGCCCACTTGTCTGGGATGCAGTCTCAACTAATTAATCTTCACCCTTCATCCCCGCACTGGACGAGCAAGTTTGAAGCGGTGCTTGGTCCAGGTGATATTAGAGATCAAAGACCTAAATCTGCTCAAAAAGATAGACAAAATCTCCATTATTCTCAGCAGGGCTTTGTTAACTATGGTCGAAGCATTAATGGTGTCTGGTCTCAGTTCAGATCCAAGTACATGACAGCTGATGAAATTGAGAACATCATCAGAATGCATCTTGCTGCTACACACAGTAATGACCCATATGTCGATGATTATTATCACCAGGCTTTTCTTTCGAAAAAAACAGCTGGTGCAAAGCTTAGACATCATTTCTGCCCAACTCACTTGAGGGATCTTCCTCCTCGAGCACGCACTAGCTCGGAGCCCCATGCTTTTTTGCAGGTTGATGCTCTTGGAAGGGTTCCCTTTTCTTCAATTCGTAGACCCCGTCCACTTCTTGAGATTGATCCGCCAATCTCATCTGCTAGTGCTGTCACTGATCAGAAAGTTCCTGAGAAGCCCCTAGAACAGGAGCCAATGCTTGCAGCTAGAGTGACAATAGAAGATGGCATTTGCTGCCTTCTTGATGTGGATGATATTGACCGTTTTCTAGAATTCAATCAGCTTCAAGATGGAGGGGTCCAATTGAAATGCAGGAGGCAGGCATTGTTGGAGGGGCTGGCAGAATCCTTGCAGTTGGTTGATCCATTTGGCAAGGATGGGCACGCAGCTCAACTAGCTCCAACGGATGACATTGTGTTCTTACGAATAGTATCTCTTCCCAAGGGTAGGAAACTTCTGGCGAGGTATCTTCAGTGTCTTTCTCCAGGTGGTGATCTTATGCGAATTGCTTGCATGGCTATTTTTCGTCATTTGAGGTTTTTGTTTGGAGGTCTCCCCTCTGATCTGGGAGCAGCAGAGACTGTACATAACCTTGTAAGAGTTGTACTATTACATGTGCGCTGCATGGATCTTGGTTCACTTGGCTCTTGTCTTGCAGCTGTGGTTTGTTCCTCAGAGCAGCCCCCACTACGCCCCCTTGGAAGCTCTGCTGGAAATGGGGCTTCTCTTGTTTTAATGTGTGTTCTTGATAGAGCAACTGAACTATTGAATAAGCTTCAAGATGCTAGCAACTATAATTTAACAAATCGAGCACTTTGGAAGGCCTCATTTGATGAGTTTTTTAGCCTACTTGTAAAGTACTGCATAAATAAATTGGATAGTATTATGCAGTCTTCACCAGATTCAGCAGAAGCCATTAAGAGAGAATTACCTTTGGAGCTCTTGCGTGCCAGTATTCCCCATACAAATGACTACCAGAAAAAGATGATATATGATATTTCCCCAGCATTCCTTAGTTTGTCAAGGCGGTGTTGATGTGGTCATGCAAATTCTGGTTTAATGATTAATTGACCAAGCTCTGGGTGCCTTAAAAATAACATTTCCTGAAGTTTCTCTGTGCCTTATGATTCATGGAAATATTGTGAAAGGTGCTCTTCTAAGGACCTCGCAGGATACAATTTGAGGCTTTATTGATTTTTCGTGACAGCGGTAAAATTTTGACGACTACCTCAGATATTTTTTTTTCTTTGATACAGTAGTGTTGAAATGGCTTCGAATCTTCGAACCTAGCTTTTTTTTTTTTTTTTTTCAATCATATCCAACTTGTTGGGTTTTGCTGAAGAGACGTTATCAGAAAAAGATTTTTCTACTTTCCAAAGAGGAACACTCGGCGCTTCTGTCAATACTTCCGTTCTTAGGAGAGGCTTCCGATGGAGGAATCCATAGATGACATTGGCTGGGGCATCTCAGAACTTGCAGAAATTGATTTCTACTACTACAAGAAAGTTACGGATCAAGGACAGGAACCTTTCAAACGTGGGATATAAGGTAGAATGTTAGAAAAGTCGAAAGGAAAATTAAGGACAGAGACCTTAAGAATTGTTTTTTTCCTTTGTATTACTACATTAGAATCGATTAAAGTTTTGGTAATGCAGTATCTCTAAAACACAGAAAAGATCATTAGATAATTACATTTATCTACAGTGATACTCTGATCCTCTTTCATTGATTTTAAGTTAATTTTAGTCCTAAATTGTAGCCGTAGATGGCATTGAAAATGGCTATCATGCATGTGATTGAATTTTACAATAACGATAATTCTTTTGCTTTACTCATATATTAAAATTGTAATCTTTTATTTTTTTTTCTCCTGTTTTTTTTTTTTTTTTCCTTTCGAAATTGAATGAAAATTATAAACAATTGTTGAGATTTTTTTTATAAAAAGATATATAAAAGAATAAAAAATTAAAAAAAGAGTGATAAGTGAGTGAAATTATAAATTTTGTTGAAATACTTTGTCCCTTCAATAAAAAATAAAACTTGGACACAAATTAAAAACAAATTAACAAAAGTTGTGAGAAAAATTAAATAATTACACATAAATAAAATAAAATATGGTTGGAAAGCAGAATAAATAATTGATTTAGCTTATATTTTAAGGCATGATCTGTTCCAGATGATCCGGAAGAAGCGCTAGTCTCTCAATTGTTGGTTTCCCCGGGGGCTGATTTTACACCTAAAACTGCATAGATTTGGTAAATGGTGTCTTAGCCAGAGAAACATATGTCTTGTTAGACGCCAAAATAGATTAATTATATGTATAAATTGATAATTCTCTGCTAATAGAGGAAGAAAGAAAATGGTGGGATGTTGACAGTGGAATCTTTCATTAATGACTTCGTTAAGCAAAGATGGGGGAATAGATTTTCAAATAACCCAACTAATAAAAAGAAGGAAAAGAGAAAAAAGAGCAGAGCTTCTTTAGAATCAACGAAATAAAATATTCACAATCATCAGCAAGAATTTAATTGCTAAAAGCATCCTTCCTTCTTTTTTCATGTGCAATCCTTCAACTTTAAGCTGCTTTCAAGATGCCTTTCTGTACACCATTATAAGGTAATTTCCTTATCAAAAGGAGTAAAAGCAAAATAATTTATAATAATAATAATAATAATCAAGAACAACCAGTAGACAGTTAGATCAGTAGATCAGTGGAAGTGAACTGTATTTCATAGTACTGATTACTCAGGGCTGTAGAGGAGACACTGAGGAAAAATCCAGTAAATTTTGGTGCAGAAAACCATAATTCTGAAGCACCTGGTTATCAGCAAAATTTAAAGCTCTTTGTATACCATTTAAACAATCTTCCCAAGAATAAACAGGATTATGGTTACCAGTACAGGGTTCACACCCAGTAAAATGTGTAATCAGAGGTCTTTTTCTGAAGTTGTTCTTGACCTTGATATATTGCTCTCTTGATGCACCGTAGCTCTCACTCACCTTCTCTGCATGTTTTCTCCTTAAAGATGACACCTTTCTCTCAATTTCCATGTAATCTTGGGTAATTTTATCATAATCCTGAACAGCTTCTAACCAATACGTCTGCAAATCATAATCCTCCTCTATATAAATCTTGTCTCCCCATTTTTCTTTCTCTTTCAAAAGAAGGTAAACCAAAGCCGCTTGATCATCAGCTTCTGGTATCATCTTGTCTTTGAATGTTGATCTTTGAATCTGGCCCCACTTATCATAATTTGGAGTTTGTGGGCCCATGTTAACCCAAGCATCCAAGAAATTCATTGACCATTCACAGTTCCTTATCAAGAACACACCTGCATTTAGGCTAGTCCAGCTCTGTTTCTTGTAGATAAGAGATGGCCAGCCTCTAACAACAAGATTATGATCTTTATATTTCTCTAGTGGAATCTTGAACTCCATGTCTGTAAACACTGCATCTGAGTCAACCCACCAAATCCACTCGGTCTCCGGATGAGCCAACATTGCAGCTTTTACAATTGGGTACTTAGCCCAAAACGATGTCATGTTGGGATGCAATAGAACATTATTGTAGAAAATGTCGTATCCATGTAACCGACAATAATCGACTTTGTTTTTGAAAAATCTCAACAGCAAATTATCCCCGATCGGATTTTTGCAAGCGAAAGGTTGCGATCCTGTAACAAGGAGAATCCGATTGCTTGAACCGGAAGCAAATGAAGGATGGAAATTAAGCCACTCTTTTCTTTTAACATCCCAGTTCTTGACGGAGCTGTCAATGGAATAGTTCAGAAAATCCACGTCGTCGTAGAAAGTACGATCAGGCGGATCATAGCTCATGTTAACGGCGGCGAGTGGTGGATTAACAGGAATACTAATTGGCGTTTGGAAAGTAGGGGAAGGATTGAGTAGAGAAAAGAGTTCCAAAAGGAGTGAAACAGCAACAAAAGCACCTACGACAAATAGGAATCCATTAACGACCAGTGAAATGGCTTTACTTTGGAGGAAAATGGGTTTCTCTGTGGAAGACAGTTCAGGAAAAGCCATTGCAGAGCGAGAGTCGAAAAATTGGCGCTTTCTGAGTATTATATAGTGAAGCCTGTCGCGAAAGGTGCATCATTTTATAACAAAGAGAACGAAAGATAGATCCATTACACCTATAGCCCAATTACTATTATTGGCCCAGAAATTTTACGGCCCACTCTAAATCCCCGCTTCTACAATTATTTGATGAATATTATAATAAGAAAGTTATTTTATTTTATTTATAATCATTATATATTTATTAGAATTAGATACAAAGTGAAACTAGACACAAAACATCTAAATATTTTACAATTAAGAAATATAATATCTTTTATTTGTTACTTTAATACCTTTAAACCAACAAATATTTGTGAATTTCGTAAAAATAAAAGTGAGTATTAATTATTTAGTAATTAATTCCTTGTAAAATTTAAAAATAATTTAATATAATTAAATTTTAGTACACATGGAAATTAAATTCATGTAAGCACAATATTAATATATATTTATGATATAATTAATTTATTGCAAAGTTAAGGAAATAATTAGAATATTTATGGAAATTAAATCCTTATTAATCAAAACATTGACACTTTTGGTATAATTATTTATTGCAAAATCGAGGGATTATTAAATATAACCGAAATTTAGCTCACAAATGAAAATTACATTTTTATCAATTAAAATCAATTATGTATTTATAAATTAATCATGAAGTAAATGTCTATTTTCCTTGCCCAGAGTTTCCATAGATTTTACTTGGTCTTTAAGACTTTTTCTTTTTCTCCTTTCTTTCCATCCAAACATGAATTTCTTGCATTACTTAATTTTAATAGGATTGGCTTTCTTTTTCACCTTCTTGACTATCTATTCTCCAGAAATATTTAACCTGTCAAACAATTTAGCCCTTCATCAATGGTTTCCATTTCAAAAGGGTAAAATTTCTAATTAACAGAATTTTCTCTTTTCCTGATCTTAGAAAATTTTCTCGCAATTTGTTTTTATTTGGTTCTTGCATTTTTCAAATTTCAGAGCAAAATTGTGACTTATTCAGCGGCCATTGGATTCCTGACCTGAGAGGTTCTCAATACACGAATGTGAGCTGCCCATCAATCCCTGACTCAAAAGATTGTTTCAAACATGGAAGACAAGATACAGATTTTTTGAACTGGAGATGGAAACCTGATGCTTGTGAACTTGCAAGATTCGATCCCAGGATTTTTTTCGCCCTTGTTCGAGGAAAGACAATGGCATTTGTAGGAGACTCGGTTGCTCGAAACCATGCAGAATCACTTCTGTGTCTTTTGTCGCCGGTTAGTTTCTTTACATACCAAAATGTAAGAAATGTTTAAGGTTTTCATACTTCCTTTGCTTTGCTATAACAAATATGACAAATTTTGCAGGAGGAAACCCCATTGAGCACCTTTAACGATCCTGATGATCGTTTTCGAACTTGGAAATTTCCTGACAATAATTTTACTGTAATGGTGCTGTGGACTAGGTTCTTGATTACTGGACAGGAGAGAGTGATTAATGGGACAAATTCAGGTACCTTTGATTTGCATTTAGACAAGATTGACAGGAATTGGACAAGTAAACTTCCTGAATTGGACTATGCAATAATATCAGATATGCATTGGTTTTACAGGAAGAATTTCTTATATGACAATGGAAATATTATAGGATGCATATTTTGTGACGAACCGAATATCAAAAACTATAATATTGAATTTGCCCTTCAAAGAATAATAAGACTTGTGCTAAACTACATTAATAATTGCAAAGAATGCAAAGACATAGTCACCTTCTTAAGGACATACTCACCTGCACATTTTGAGAATGGGTCCTGGAACACAGGAGGAAACTGTAACAGAACTAAACCTTTAGATGAAGGAGAGTTTAACCTGGAAAGTTCAGATTGGAAGCTTCGAAGCATTCAAGTAGAAGAGATAGAGAAGGCAAGGAAAGTAGAGAAAAAAGGGAAAAGATTTGAAGTTTTGGATATAACCAAGGCTATGTTAATGAGACCTGATGGTCATCCTGATTCTTACTGGGATAATCAATGGATGAAAGGTTACAATGACTGTGTTCATTGGTGCTTGCCAGGTCCTATTGATGTGTGGAATGATTTATTGATGGCTTTGCTTAAAAGATATGCTGATTTCTCTAAACTAAAGGAGATAAATGAATGAAAAACTTATATTATGTACAATATCATAGAAGTTCTACTTGTTTGAACCACAAGAATTGGAGTTTGTAGTATTGTTGGTGTTAATGTAAAAGGAAAAGATTAGCTACAATTTCCTTGATCCTACTAAAAGAATACAGGAATATTTCTCTCTTGATGTTATGTATTTCGAAAATGTATTTGAAGCTATATAAAAATGTATCCGAGACGTGTATGTTTCTACTTGTTGCTCAAATCTCTAACTATTTGTTAAATATATTTGAAGCGTCACCCTAATCTTTGACCAAAGAAAGAAACTGCATAAATTAATGGATATTTCATGATTAATTTGTAATTGAAACTAGCAATAAAAGTTAATTAAAAAAGTCTGCAAATATAAAAACAATAAACATCCTGAGACGAGGAAAACGCCATTTGCATTTGTTAATCATAAATAAGAATAGCTAGACAATTGTTTCAAGCACGGCTCAATAAATGGATCCACATTTTTACTTTCCCTGCAACCAAATCTACCCAAAAAAAAAAAAAAGCTAGAATGAAGGCAAAGGGGGGACCTGGCTTCTCATGGATGTATAAACATTTTTTCTAGGATCTCTCAGGCCTCATCAGGATATGAAGATCACAGACTTATTGCTGGTCGAAGGGATGAGAACACGAGAATGGAAACTCAAATGCTTTTACGCACTCCACATCATATATTAGCAGAGCGAAGGCGCAGAGAACTTGTCAACCAGCAGTTCGTCACTCTTTCAAACATCATTCCAGGTCTAACGAAGGTATCAAGATTAAATTCACATGTTTCAAATTATGCATCTGTCTATTCTAGAGTTTTAACTTTGCCATGTTTGTTCAAAAGAGAGACAGAACTTCCCTTCTTGGAGAAGCTCTCAGGTACTTGAAACAGCTCCAAGAAAATGTAAAACATGCTTGAGGAACAGGCTAAGAAGAAAATCGTGGAATCTGCATTACTTGTAAACAGGCCTCAGCCATCTGTTGATGAGAAATTCGACAACAATCTTAATCATCCACTGCCAGAAATTGAAGCCAAAGTTTTAGATCAGAGTGTACTCGTCAGAATTCACTGTGAGAAGAACAAAGGAAATCTAGCAAAGGTCCTGCATGAACTGGAGAAGCTTCCTCTAATAGTGGTGGCTACCAATATTCTGCCTTTTGGGAGCTGCACCATGGATCTAACTGTTATTGGTCAGGTATGGAGCATGAATTCCTAAATGCAACTTTTTGCAAATGTAAAGGGTATTCGTATTCTAGACTTTTGGAGATTTTGAGTCAGAACTTTACCAGAAATCATCATTCTTGCAGATCAACACTGAAGTCCCCATTAGAGCCAAGGATCTTGTGAGGTACCTACGGTCAGCACTTTTGAATTTCAGGTCCGATGTTTGAACTGTTAAATATACCCACAAGTACCACATCTGGAATAACGCCTACTTAGATTTTGTATATAGGTAGCAAGGACAGAGAGAAACAGAAATATCTCGATACTACGATGTTAACCTTTCAAAGAAATAAGATCTGTACATTTTAAAGTTAGACACACTGAAATAACTTTCCAACTGCAGACGAACCATTACGGCCTCTAATGAAGAAACAAAAATGGAATAGAATTGTCTTGAAATTGAAAACATTACACTAAGTGTACAATTTCAGACAAGAGAGGTCACAGTTCAACAACTTCCGTTAATAAATAATTAATATACAACATTCTGCAATTCCAATGCTTGACAAAAGAAAACAAAATCCAAATTGACCCTATAAAACTGAAAACCCAAAGGAGTTCGCAAAATTCAAGTAATCCCTTCTTCATAGTTTCTGACACCCTTCAGGGATTAGAATAACCATCCCTGGGGTCCTTTGCTGCTAAGAACTGCAGGGTTTTTATCCAAAGCATTATATATTGCCTTGAATTGCTTATCCTTCTTGAGAAAGCCGAACAGAAGCTGCACGTATCATATCAACTACTTCTTCATCTAGTGCCTCAAGATCACCAGAGTGACAAAGTTGACGATATAAAGGAGCCAAGTAAATTGCAGCAACTTCAACCAACTTCCAAAGAGATAAATCGGCTGCGATTTTGATAATTTTGATAGACAAGTGTCTGGCAGAATCAAGATAAGATATGATCACTCTATAACTGATATCCTGAACGTCTTCCAAGAACCAAAATTCAGCAAGCCAGAAAAGCTCTAGATATGGCTGCAGCACAGATAGCCTTTCCTCAGTATCCATATTATCCCACAAGCATCCAGATGGAGGACTAGGCAGTTCATCCGTATAGCACCAGTTCACAAATTTAGTCATTGCCTCCCAGCTAACAGGCACCTTTATGGTTTCAGAGTCACTGTGAACATGAATAGTGTTGGAATTACATGAGAAATATAAAAAGACTACATAAATGACCAAAGTTACAAGCTAGAAAGAGATACACAGTAAAATGGAGGCATAGTAATCAAATCAATCTACCAAAACATAACATCCAAGGTTACAATATGAAAGTCATGCAACCACCTTTCTAGCATGCCTGATTGAAACAAGGCTCGCAGATAATCACAACTTGACCACAACACAACTTTGTGACAATGCATATGCGGCACTGATTGGGAGCACAGACTGCATGTCCAGCAGATTGATTTGGTTGCTTTAGCCTCCAAGACGATGTCCCTGAATCAGGAAATAAATCAATTCCAGAAGTGAAAAAATACCGCCTAAAAATATGAAATCAATCAAATCCCAACATGCTCAATTAATTTGTCACAACTTAAACCTTAAGGCTATCTACCACAATAAATCGTCCCAGATTTAAATTATCTGATTGAAAAGGATACAGAAAACATGTTGCGATACATATGCCACCTCAATTCCTAATTCAAAACCACATTGCAAATCTCTATTCTACAACTAAATTCTGCAGGAAATTAATGGTTAAGTTGAGCAATTTTTTTCCAAATCAAAAAAATTGCAGATGGAGGGCCAGAGATGGAAAGATTAAGTACAATATCACTAGCTTAGCATATCACCAGCTACCACTCACCCCTCCACCAACCACCAACAAAGAGAGAGAATTTTTTCAAAGGTTCACCATCACAGGAGTGTAAAGCAAGTTAACCAGCCACTTCAGGATTCAAGAAGCCTCATGGGAGGTTAAGGAAATTTACACGTATAAATAAATAAGACGAGCTGAAAATATATCAAGGAGCAAATCATACGAATAACGATGCCCTGCCGGAGAAAGAGCAAAAGCAAGTTCATATCTGGGGAAAAGGGCACCCCACTTGGGACGTATTCTGCCAAGCATCATTAATAGAGGTCGTAAGCCACAGCGTCTGGCAAGAATTTTCACTTTCTTCACAAGTTCCTCTCCTGCATTTAGATATCCCAAGTATACAAATTCCAATAACTTGGCTAATGCCTGGTTATCAACATGTGAAGACAAACGGATTTCTTTCTGAAAATTTCTATGCTTCCTCTTTGTATCGTATCCGACTGAAGAACCATCATGAGGCAATTCTTCAGGAGGCAGCAATGATGGACATCGAACAGCAAAAATGACACTGTGGACATTCATAGTCTCCCCATTTGTGAGAATAAGCTGCATATCTGCACATATATTCACATTAAGTGCTTTCCCAATACGCCTCCCAAGTTTACATGGAAAACCATATAATCCAAAGTAACTTAGAACTAATGCAGCATACCATTTTATTCCAGGAGAAGTACTGTTACTGCAGATCTCCTGGAGTGTGCTAACAAATTGAGCTACAGCATAACCTAACTGACCAGAAAAAATTTCTACATTATTTCTTACAGATCCAGAGTTTATTAGTTCAGCTAGCCCCCATAGACCATACAATAAAAGAATGTCATTGCCCTCCCAGTCTTCTTTGCATACCCAGCAACAAGTCCTCTCACTGAAGGTATTATGCAAATGAGGAGCAAGGCTCAGCCTTCCCATATGAATATCGTTGCTTATGCACCACATTATCCAATCCACAAGTGTCTTAATGCCTCCATTTTTAACAATATGACTTTGATATTGTGGCAAACCAGAATAACATACTAAAGACACCAAGCTAATTGTAGTTTGAAGCCTGTTAGGCATCCCAAAATTATCCTTGGATGGTTTAATATTTAGGAGATGCAATAAGCGTGTTAGACATTCCTTGCTGATTGGCTTCGCTATTTCATGCAGTATGACTCTAGCTTTTGATGCTATGTATTTGCAGGGAGAATAAATCATCATTAAAACTGCCCTTGAAGCTGACTCGCTTCTGATGGCATCAGCTACATCACTTTGATATATTTGGCACCCTTTCTGAACTGAATCCACAAAAGCTATGCTGTTGATGAAATATGTATTAACAATTAGAATCGTCCTAGAAATACAGCTATACAAGAACCAAAAGACAGTGTGATTAACAAAGAAGACCGTGAAGACAATTTTAATTATATTTCTGTTACTAATAAGAGAAAATTAGCACATTACCATGTACATGAGATAAGGATGTCAATTTTTAAGTCATGGCCATGCATGTCAGGGCTGAAATCTTCCCGACAATGTGTTGCGAGCCAACCAAGAAGGTCCCAGACATATGGCCTCAAACCCAGAAGAAAATTAGCCTTGAGACCTTCCTCTGCTATAGATATTTGTTCTTCCAACGAAAGAAATTGCTGAGATGGTCCATTGAGAAAATCAGTCAGAAGAAGATTGAAGAGGACCCTGTCAATTCCTTGCTTCCAAAAGTAATCATGATGCTCCCCTGCCCAGCGATTTATCAAAGAGAGACGACAAGCTTCCACTAGCAAGGACATCTCGTCATTTGCAATCTTCCCTGAATGTGAGGTCCAACCACTCATTCCATCAATTATAGCTTTAACAATAGGCTCACAACACAAGCTCATCATTCTTAAAAATCCCTGTTCATTTGTCTGAGCAATAGATGATTTACAATAACTTATACACGTAATGTGTCTCAATTAGACATCGTGTGAAACAAGAAGTTACAATTATTACCGCTAAACACTGGGCAAGTCTAAAGGCCTCCGTCCGAATAGAAAGAGGGTAGGACCTTCCCATGCAAAGAACCATCATTTGTAGAAGGGCTTCTCCATTTTCTAGAAGTTTCTTGGCCCCATGACCACATAGTGCTGGCATATAAAAGAAAAGATTTAATTAGCAGATTTTAGTCTAAAGCAACCACGGAAAGGAAGCAGAAAATACATAATTCAATGCAAAAAATGATACCTAATGCAGAGTATAACCTCAAAACTACAATCTTAACGGAAATATCAGGTTTTACACGCATAACCTCCAAAAGTTTCAACAATTTATCATCATTCCAAACAGGGTATCGGGATGGAGGCCACCGATGAAGAATTGTACTCAAGAGCGTAGCCATCTCTTGGAAATAGTCAATTGACATATCACCATCAGCAAACTCCCGCATGCCACAGACAATGCGAGAAACAGTTTCTGTTTCAACCTGGATATCCCAAATCTTTTTCTCTTGTTTAATGCTCAGATTTGAAAAAATCATATTCAATGCAATGGCACATGGAATAGATACTCCTTCTTGATGAGAAGATAACAAGGATGCCAAAGGATGGACCAGATCTAACAAGTAAGATTGCAGTAATGTATTGGGTACGACGTTGATCAACTTTACTACCACATTAGCTGCCATGCTTGATATAGCCGTACTGTTATTCTGAAGAATCCATACTAAAGCCGCAACGATGTCAGCCACTGAATCCTGAAAATTGAAGGCAAAGCAGGAGACATTAAATGCAATTCACAAAGACATTTAGAGAAGGCAAAACATAATTCAAATAAAAAGGAACACTTTGTCAATCCATAAACCTCAATTAGAACACTACTAACTGTCATCTTCGTCCAACTATCCTTATTACCACTGCAGTCTGCATACCTTTATTAGAGGATGGCGTGCAGTGTCTCCCGAAATGCAATCAAGAAAAGAAGAAATGGACCGAACCACGAGTCTCTGAATTTCAATATCCGCACACTGCCATTTTAATTCTTTTCCATCATAAACTCTGTCAGAAACGAATAGAAAATTATCAGAAATGAAGATGAATTGGAAGCAGCACGATTTAGAAATGGACCAATTCTTTATCGAAAACATAGTAACCTGCTGCCAAGGCTGAGAGCGTGGTAGAGACGCTGGTAAAGGGTGTAAATGTGGCCATTTATGCCCTTGTTGTTATCTGCTGCCGGTAGCTTCGAAGATCTCATCTTTTTCGATTTCAGCGTCTTTCGTAGACATCAAAATCAAAATTAAAAATCAAAATCAAGTGGGAGTTTAGCTTATTAGGGTTTTGAAAGACGGTGTACTCTATTGCTCTAATCGCGGGAAGACCCAATACCGCCATTAAACCAACAATCGCGATCAGTGACGTGATGAATCTTTCGTCTACTTCTGGCTTCTATCTACAAAATACCAGATAATTCCCGTCACTGGTCGTTGTCGTCTACTTCTGTCTTCTATTAAATGGGCTTTTTATTTGGGCTTATGCTTTAAGGAGCCCTAATTTTGTTATAATTGGGCCATTATGTGGGCTGTTTCAACGAATTATTCAACCGGCACAAACGAGCCCTTCTTTGTTTTAGTGACAACTAACATGTCTATTTTATCTTTGACGCAAATGAATAGATTATCGTTGTACGGAAACGACTTGGGCTTTTCTGATTGAACTACACGAATGACAACTCGTCTATTTTTTTGAACGTGTCTGGTTGCTTTATTTTTAAAGACGATCCTTCGGACTGGTCGTCTCATGCTTTTTTTTTTTCCAGGAATTATTACAAAACTATCTAATAATTTTTATATATTGCTATCTTAGGAAAAAAAAAACTAAATTATTATTACACATATAGTTTCTGGAGAGCAGCAGAAGAAACATTCTAACACTTCTTTTTTCTACGACACGCTCTCAGATTACATGAAACAAAATAAAACTCTCAATCATTGGTAGTGGTGGGATTGTTATTGGTAGCATTTCCTCCGGCGGCATTCGAGGGGCGGTGGCTCTGAGATTGATCAGTGGAAGTGGCGGAGTCCGATGATTTGGGAATATTATGAGCACTAGAGAAGAGATCAACAGTCTCAGAATCAGCAATCTTGCCTCCTTCAAGCGGAGTCCCATGCTTATACCTCATCCTTAGACTTTCATCTTCTGATAGCTTTGCCTGTGCTGTCCCATACTTGATATCATCCTTACTCTTTGCCATTCTTTCTCCATCAACTCTCTCTCTCTCTCTCTCAACATGCCAGTTGCTGGAATTATTATCTATCCATATAAATATTGGACGTCCTGGATGGTTTACGTGGCAAATTGTGAGAGCTTCAGATTGACAAGTGTCTTTTCATTGACACGTGGTCCCTTTTCTCAGTTTTCAATTTTGCAATGTGTGCCTGCGATGTAACCTTGTTTGGATAAGATTATACGTATTCCAACTTCGAATTTGTCGGGCTAGCGTTCACCTGTTTGGGTTAGACCAACTTACAACTTAATATTGGTCTGGGCTTACAACCGGAGGAGGAGGGCCCAATGTGGAAACGACAATCTGTGGCGCGTATTAGGCGTGATAATGACATCAATCCGCAACTAAAGACTCTTGGATAACCAGAGAGCAATTACAGATTGGATGCGACTGGACTGGACTGGACCAAACAGAAGCCTAGTACCTTCCCTCTGCGCTGCACGAAAGAGAAGAAAATAGATAGCGAAAATAAACAACACTGCATATCACTGTTGCCTTTTTCATCATTCATCTCTCGCTCTTTTCTTGGATTTCTCCAGTAACTTTTTCATTGTCGAGAAAAGAATCGAGCTGCGATATATCAAAAGCTGTATGTTAACCCTATTCTCTGTTTATTTGCATTATTTTCGTGTATGTCTGTTCGTATATCAGATGCCACTCTTGTGTCTTTCACATTTTATCTCATATTCATTCATCCATAGTACAACTTCTTTCTTTTTCGCTTGCTTTTAGGGTGGAGCACAGTATTAGGAAAACCTAGACATTTGAATTCTTCAGCTTTGTTAGTGGAAAGGAGCTAAAGCTAAAATCTTTTTGCTAGAAAAAATTCATTAGTGGATTTTGTCCATGGCAAGTTTGGTAAATTCAGTATCACCTTTAACGAAAGCATTTCCAGAGGCAGCAAGAATAGCTTGCGGGTTCTTTTCTCATGTACCAAATCTCCATTCGTTCTCACTCAACAAAGGATTTACTAGAGTTTTGGCATCTACCCAGATCACAATTTCACCAAAAGACTCCGTTGCTACACTACCCAATTGGAGATCTGGTAAGAATGATCAAAGAAGTAGGGAAATTAGGCTCAGTGATGCATTTTTTCATCTAGAGTTTTTGGTTAAGAAGGGACTAAAGCCTGATGCCGTTCAAACAACACAGCTATTGTATGATTTGTGCAAGTCAAATAAGATGAAGAAAGCAATAAGAGTGATGGAAATTATGATTGGTTCTGGTATTATTCCTGATGCTTCTGCTTATACTTTTTTGGTAAACTATTTGTGCAAGAGGGGAAACATTGGGCACGCAATGCAGTTAGTGGAGAAAATGGAAGAATATGGCTACCCACCCAATACTGTTACCTATAATTCGCTTGTTAGAGGGTTTTGCTTGAACGGGAACTTGAATAAGAGCTTGCAGTTTCTGGATAAGTTAATGCAGAAAGGGTTGGTCCCAAATGCATTCACTTACTCGTCCTTGCTTGAAGCAACTTATAAGGAGAGAGGAGTGAATGAAGCAATGAGGCTTTTAGATGAGATAATTGCAAAGGGCGGGCAGCCTAATTTGGTTAGTTATAATGTTTTGTTAACTGGATTGTGTAAGGAAGGTAGGATTGAAGAGGCAATTCAGTTATTCAGGAGTCTGCCTTCAAAAGGGTTCAATCCGAATGTTGTAAGCTGTAATATTCTACTGCGTAGTCTCTGTTACGAGGGACGATGGGAGGAGGCAAATGATCTTATGTCTGAGATGGATGGTGAGGAACGGTCTCCAACAATTGTTACCTATAATATATTAGTTGGTTCACTCGCATTTCATGGCAGGACAGAACAGGCTCTTCAGATTATTGATGAAATGATGAAGGGACCATTTAAGCCCACTGCTACTGCCTATAATCCAATTATCGCACGCCTTTGCAGAGAGGGTAAGGTGGACCTTGTGGTTAAGTGTCTAGACCAAATGATTCATCACCGTATTAATCCCAATGAGGGAACTTTCAATGCCATTGCTGTGCTCTGCAAGGACGGAAAGGTTCAAGAGTCATTTTCCCTAATCCAAAGCTTGAGCAATAAACAAACTGCTTCCCCCCATGACTTCTACAAAGGTGTAGTCTCGTGTTTGTGTAAAAAAGGGAACACGTATCCAGCATTTCAGCTTTTATATGAGATGACAAAGTATGGATTTACTCCTGATTCTTACACTTACTCATCTTTGATAAGAGGATTGTGTATTGAAGGAATGCTATATGAAGCAATGGAGGTTTTTAAGTTATTGGAAGAAAATCATTACAAGCCTGATGTTGACAATTTCAATGCCCTTATACTAGGATTTTGTAAATCTCACAGAACAGATTTGTCCTTGGAGGTTTTTGAGATGATGATTGAGAAGGGGTACAAGCCTAGTGAAACAACTTACACTATTCTGATAGAAGGAATTATCCATGAGGATGAGAAGGGAGTAGCAGCAGAAGTCTTAAAAGAATTGCATCTAAGACGAGTTATGAGTCAAAGTACAGTTGAAAGACTTTCTGTGCAATACGACCTTGAGGGTTTTCCAATATAAATCCGCATTCAGTAGCCCGCTGGAATAGAAAACTACCCCAAGAAATTTAGATTGTGACTCTTCAGATTGAGAGCCATAGCGATGCCAAATTAAGAAATCTATGGAATGAAGATCGAAGAGAGGCTAACATTCAAAATTTATACAAATTTTAGAGAGGTTGGCAAGCGGTCATGTTATATATCTCTGCTTCCTTCAAGCATATGGCAGAGATCTTGCATCTTTCAGTTAGCAAACAATTCACATGGTTGATTTGATTTGCTGTGACATATAATTCATCAGCTTCATCTATCATTGATATGTAACACAAAACATACAATTGGTGTATGATTTTTACTATATTCTTGGAAATGCTAAATGCTAGATATTGCTCTAGGTACTTACTTTTCCGATGAAAGTAAAAATCTCGCCTTAGAACCTTCTTTTTCCCTTCTCATAGGTGCGCATTCGCCAACATTTCATCATATGCATTTGCTGCGGCCATTAACGGATAATTCTCGAAGGATCATGTTTGGTGAACCTTATAGTATCGTCATTATTAATTTATTAAGGTCGAGTTGAATAAAACCCAGAACGGTTTATTCAATTCTATGTTTGACTTACCCAAAACTAATTGATTTATCATTCATTCAGGTGACTTTGGAACTTACAAACACCACTTAACTTAGAAGTTAAGCGGAGGGGCGAAAAATAAAGATTACAACCTGATACTTTGTAATGCTAAAAGCCTGTATATTTTACCATCTTTCCATCAGAAAATGGCCATATCCCTTGTTTGGAATAAATAAATTTTATAAATCAATTCAATGGATTTGAAGATATCGAAAAATAAATTTCATAAACTCATAGAATCCAATTTATAGTAAACACCCTAATAAATATTCCAAGATAAAGCAACAGAGACCTAGAATCCATCTTCTAGTCTTACAAGAAAACAAGCAAAGTGGGATGAAATGAGAGAATAGGAACATGCTACAGTAAACCAGGAAAGACGGGATAAAAAAAATATTTATCATACACATTTCAATACAAGGAACATTATATTAAGGATTAGATCATAGTGAAATAGGACTTTTTTAAGCAGATTCTTCATCCATTTGAAAACAATACTAAAATAGAAGTCAAATACGATTAAAAACATTTAACCCACAAGTCGGAAAACATCACTGTCTCCTCAATAACAATTGCTAAAGCTAAAACTAGAACACAGAAAACAAAACGAGTTCCCCCTATAGAACATCATTCAGTCATTCATTTTAATGAACCATAGGCTGAAGGCTGAAAGTATATCACTAGGAAAGAACCCCATATCGTACCACTCCACATGCCTACTTGGATCTCTGCCTCATCTTTCGGCGCTTCCTCTTCAATCTTCTCATGCGCTTCTTCTTCCACTGTATCGTAGAAACAACAAACAACACATTAAGATTACTTTATTGAATAAAGAGTAGATACCAACAGAAGGAATTAGTTTCACCGAACAATTAAAATAACCATTGTAAAAACCAATAGAACATGTGCAAGAGAGAAAAATATTAGTTTCAGCTAGAAACAATTCATGGCAGCTCATTCAAGTTTAAACATTATAAATACCAGCAAAAACAGACAACAATAGATCAAGCATGCAAGCAAAAGCCCTACTGGAAATATGGCAGAAGCACAATCCAATGTAAAAAACAAAGTAAACCGCTATTGGAATAAGAACGCTAATCAAATTGCACAGAAAAAATTCTTACAGATTGGATTGATCTACCCATTGTACCTATTATTAATATATTCTTTATTTGCATTTCATTGAAGGAAAAAAGGACTGTGAGAAACTAATTCAGGAGACTACTAGAACACTGCTTCCAATCTCACCGTCAAGTATAGTCTTCAAACCCATGTTTTACTTCACTCAGACAACAAAAAAATCATGCTCGCAGATACATTTCGAAATCTAGAAAGCAGACCAAAATCACCATGCCTTTCGTGATTCTAAAACCCTAACATGTGAATCTAGCTACCAAGATACCAGCAATAGCATTCGAAAGATAAGATTACAATTCGAACAGTGAAACCAAAATCATACCTTAGCTCTCATCTTGGTTCAAGCTCTCTGAAACAGCTTCTCTTCCTCTTTCGGCGATTTGACAAGAATCGACCAGATTTTCTAATATAAATTTTTAAGACGATTGAATATGCCCTCTCTTAGATATTTATAGGCGACAAGGTTTTGGCAATTGGAAACCCTAATCCTTGCGAAGCTAGAGGGTTATTTTCGTCCGTTTGAAGTTCTTTAGGGCTATAAGGTCCGTTACAAAGTAAGATGGGCCCTTTAGGATCCAACAACACTGTCCTCTTATTAAAAGTTTTAAATGGGCTATTGAGCCCATTTCTATTGTAAATAGTCCTCATGGAATATGTTGGCCCATTACCACATAAGTTCCATCTTCTTCTTCTTCCTCCCTTCGACACCCGAAATCCGGAGTCAAAATGGAAACCTCGAAAGGGAGTTGCGACTCAACTGACCAAAGTAGCGTCTGTATTTCCGTTGAAGCGGAACGTACAGTTTCATCTAATGGAAATAAAGATTCGAATGAAATTAATTCGCAAGAACACAAATCTAAAACCAACACTGAAGATGAAATCAATAAGAGCAGCGACGCATTGGCCAAGGGTTTATCAACTATGCTAGCCAATGTTATTAGGGATTTCGATTCTAAAGCTCAAGAAACTCTCAAAAGCCAAGACCAACTTAATTCAGCCATCGATCGTCTTACCCGAGGTAATTGTATTATCTTGGCTGTAGAAATATTTTTGGGATTCAAAGTTTATTTTAAATCTCTGTTATATCCGTAACAAATGTTGCGGGTTTAGGTTTATTTTGTAACTCTATTCTTCCTGCTTGTTAAGATGAATTTTTTATTGGCTTTGGATGGGTTTTAGAGCTTGATCAATTGTTAGAAGATGCGCCCTTGCCATTCATTATGCAGCATGCTGCAAAGATTTCAGGAGTTAAAAAGAGAGTTTCGTCATTGAACTCTCTTCTAAAGTCTATACAGCGTCGTATTGATAATATGGATCGGATGCTATCTGTGGGTGTTCTTCAAGGTATTTATAATTTCCTCTTGTGCTGTGTATACTTTTTATTTTTATTTTTTGTTTAATACTATAGTCTAGATATCTATTAATCTGGAAAACTTCAGTGTAATCCAATTCCTGCTCCTGATTATTTTTGATATTGTCACTTGTCATTGCATTATATGCTTCAGAGAATGATATATATATAATCTTCTTTTTTTTTTTTTTTTTTTTTTTTGATCAGATTTTAGACAGATGCGCCTTGCATTCATGTATGCCAGGCATGGCTGCAAGATTTCAGGAAGTTAAAGAGAGTTTCGTCATTGACCCTCCTCCTTCTAAAGTCTGATAGAAGCGTCGTATTGTGAATAATGGATGCGGATGCTGATCTGTGGGTGTTCTTCAAGGTAATTTATAATTTCCTCTTTGGGTGCTGTGGTATACCTTTTTTTATTTTATTTTTTGTTTAATACTAATTAGTCTAGAATAATGCTACTTAATCTGGAAAACCTTTCAGTGTAAATGCCAATTCCTGCTCCTGATTATTTGTTTGAGTATTGTCCACTGTGTCCATTTTGCATTATAGTGCTTCGAAGAAGAATGATATATATATAAATCTCTGTTTTTTTTTTTTTTTTTGTCTTTATGTGCAGAGGAAAACACATTCAGGGAGTTCCTGAACAAACGTGAGCAATTGGTTTCTCCAATTCATGCACGTTGCTAAAATCTTTTATTTGGTATGTGTTCCTTCAGCAATTTTTTCTTTCGAATAATATTTACAGTTTTAGGAAAGGACAGTGATTATTGTGAAACTAAATTAATGCTAACGAGAGAAAGACCAGCGAATGCTTATGTGCTTGAGATGTTTTCAAATAAAAACATACTTTATTTATATGTTTGGATGGCAAGGACTTTCCAATTGTGTTGCATGAAGATGTGAAATCGTATTTCAAAACAAAAGACAGCAAGCGGTTGTCTCTTCTCGTTTTACTCCTGGCTCAACAAACTGTTAAATGGAGCTTCTGTCAATTGGCTTGCTTTCATGTGCTTGATCGGTCATCATCAGCAGATATGATTCTCATCTGTTTTTTTTTTTTTTTTTTTTTCTTTATGTGCAGAGAAAACACATTCAGGGAGTTCCTGACAACTAGCATTGGTTCTCAATCATGCACTTCTAAATCTTTTATTTGGTATGTGTTCCTTCAGCATTTTCTTCGAATAATATTACAGTTTTAAAAGACAGTGATTATTGTGAAACTAAATATCTAACAGAAAGACAATGCTATGCTGAGATTTTTCAAATAAAAACATACTTTATTTATATGTTTGGATGGGCAAAGACTTCAATGTGTTGCAGAAATTGAATCTATTTCAACAAAAGAAGCAACTTTCTCTTCTCTTTAACTCTCACAAACTGTTAAATGGAGCTTCTTCCATTGCTTCATGTGCTTGATCGGTCATCATCACAGATATGATCTCATCTAAGACTAAAATATGTCTGAAAAATTTATGTACCATAGTCAATCTGTTTGATCTGCCCATCATTCGATTGGTTTTTGAAGTTCAAGTTGAATTATAGTTGGCTATCTTTTTGTGCGTAGAAGAATTGCTGGTTTCATAAAAAAAAGCGTTTCCCTTGCAGATTCAAACTTCTGATAGAGCTACTTGCACCTGCAGAAAAGTGTGTGCTGTGCTATTTGCAACCACCCGCCTGCCACAAACATCCAGAAAGCAATGGTCTTTACTTTGCGTTTTTCTTCTATCTATTTACAAAGGAGCTAATTTGAAGACTAATGATTATGTTCAGCCATTTTTTGAAAGATGAGTCGATTTCTAAGTGTCATGGTTACCGATGCCAGGATATTGCTATGGCATGGTTATTAGTGAGTTTGAGTGTGTCCTTCTTGTCAGATTTTACCTGTCTTGTGTTGGATTCAAGCTTTGTATTTAAGCAGTCAAGTTTCTAACTGAGCACTATCACACGCCTGAGATCCAGTCTATTGGATTAAATCTTTAAAAACTTCAATTGGTTGTTCATTAGGTGCAGAAGGTCAGAGTATACAAGGTATGGTCCATATGGAAAATGTTTTAGAATTTGACTTCATGATCCATGCAAATCTTGGGTGCATGTGGATATTTATCATGTGCCATTGGCGTTCAGTATAAATGTTAGAGGCATTTTCAGATGTGCATATTTATTGAAGCTTTTCTAGCCCAACTAAGTTTGTTTAATGTTGTTCAGATTTTCTGAAAATCTCCATTAATGCCGGACAAACTGGGTGTAATATAAGGTTAAATTTTACATTATTCTTTTTTTTTTTTTAACTCATTACGAGTCCAATGGACTGAAAAACAAGATACATAGTTTTTACTCACTAAATTGGTGAAATTTCTTGTAATAGATGGTCTCTCCGGTGTTTTTCTTCAGTCTCCAAGGTCAAGCTTCGGGCTAAGGCAAGCAGAAATATCCGAGTTACCTTGTTTTTTTTTTTTTCTTGTGAACATCCGCGTTTATACTGTCGGAGTTTGTCATCTCAATAATTTTTCTTAATAAACGATTTTATATTATCATCAAATTTATTTATTTGTTTTTGGCAATCTTGTAATGAAAAATATCAGATTTAATACCTGTATAGAAAATAAAGCCATTCAATTAAGAAATAAATAACTAAATAATTATTATTTAGAAAAATAAAATGTAATCAGGATTAAAGTAACGGCAAGCTAATGAGCAGACCGTGTCGCAATTGCCTGTAAATATTTCTATTTGCCGTTCATACGAAACGCCTAGCCGTTTAATGAAGCGCAGGCGTCAGATACCATCCGGCAACTTCTACTACAGTATGAAGTTGAATTCTTTATTTTAAAAAAATCAACAAAAGTAGGCAATCTCAGTCGAAAGATGGTGAATATGCGAATCACTGTAACATCAGTAAATAAACTACATGATAATTGCATCACAGATTGCACGAAAGTGATTCTTTACGCTGGAATCAAGAAAAAAAAAAAAATTGCAGATTGAAAGCGCAAGAGGAATCAGATGGTAGTGCATGTTTTTGAGATCATCATATTAACAATGATGTCAGAATTTAATGGATAGGCATCATCACGCATCTACTTGCACATAATTGTACCGATTTTCCAAATTTCAGTTGTCAAATTGAGGAGAAGAGAATCAGATAATGGAGTGTCAATCACCATCAAGCATCATATATGCTTGTAAGACTGGGGCGACATCTAATATCATCATCTTCTCCGTTCAGATCAAATCACAAACTCATTTAAAAAAAAAAAAAAAAGAAGAACAAAAAAACAATATAGAATAAAGAGAACCTTATAACAGAAGAAGCAATGACGATTGACGAGGATATGGCGAATATAAAGAGCTAAAATTAGGGTTTAGCTTCGGAATGGACAAGGGGGTTGAAATTTACCTGTTTTGGGCTTCGTTTTCGGTTAGGTCGAACAGCCTAACCTCTACTGGACCAAGCCCGAGAACGAAAAGCCCTTTTGGACTCGGCATCGACCCAAGCACTTAACCTACATCTACAAGCTAAACAAGTGTCGACATAATGAATTGCTGAGAAAAAGACCAAGATATTACTATTTATTACATAAATAAAAACTTAGGCGCTATATTTTCATTTTTCACATCATAAAAATTGTATGATTTTAAACATAAGAATACTTCAACTCCAGTTCGTTTAAACCAAACAATATATAATGATTTCACCAGATTTAAAATTGTGTAATTCATTAATTAAATTCATTTAAAAATTGCAGTTTCTCCCTTGAAGAGCAGCAGCAGGAACCAGGAACTTGAACAAGGCTGGCTATCCGCTTTTGGGCTCAACGTTTTAAAGGCTCTGACACGGTTTCTGTTTGGTTGCAAGAATTTCCAGTTTGAGCTCTTAATATTGTGGCTTTCGACTCTCTTCCTGACAATTTGCCTCTTTAATGAAATTAACTTTTTATTTTTTCTTATAGTCCAGATTTTTACTGTCCTATATTTTAGGATTCAAATCATTTCACTGTTGAAGGTTTTTTTTTTTAAAGGTATTTCACTGTTGAAGGTTTAAGTAATAAATTTTGATACATTGATATTTTAATTAAAAGTCCACAAATATATAAATCAAAATAAAAAAATATTTAATAATTATTTTCACACTATTCTATTTTTTTCAATCAATTATATTTTAATAAAAAATTATTTTTCATGGGTTTTCATTAGTGGCTTAAATAAACCAAACTAACCCGCAACCTATTCAAACTCTACTTGAAAAAGTTCGAAAATATTCAGCTCTATCTTAATGATATTAAGCTCGAAAGCTCGCAGAGTATTATTGAGGTTCTATGTCTACATTTATATAATTATATTAGATTTATTCAAGTCGAACTCAAATTTAAAATTTTTCAAATTGAACTTGAATTAAACTGAATTTAAATTTAAATTTAAAATTTTCAAATTCGAAAGTTTAAAATCGAGCTTTAGCCAAGTTTTAAATATAATAAATTGGTGTTCATATCTATTCATTCACAACCCTAGTTTTCATGGTGGTGCACACACCGGATTTAAGCAATTCAATTCATAATCTTTACAGAAGTAAGAAATTTTGATGGCTTAGAAATGGGTGACTGTTTTAGATAGAACGGTTAGTTATTTGATATGGACATAAAGAAGTCAAGTGCAACCGCACTTTGTGGATGGAAATAGTTGATTGATTAATTATTGTTTTGCATGCTAATGCCAAAAAAGATCGCTCAAATTTCTAACCTCTTTCTATATGAATATTCATATTGCATTATTTCTTTATCCAGCCCAGCACGCCATAACATATATTGAAAGTTTAAATTGGTCATTTCATATACATTCTCCATTCAATAATAGAGCTATTCTCAAAAATTTGATCCAAAAAACACACCCAAAGCCAGAGAGGGAGAGATGAGGGAAAATTCCAAGAAACGACGTCGCAAATGCCTTCCCATACAAAAATTACAACACGCTTGTTAATATATCTAAAAAAAATCAGTATAGATTTCAATTTAACAGAGACAGTGGGCTGGTTATACGCAAAGCCACTTGGAATTAAGCGCCCATATCATTTCTCTGTTTCCAAACCCTAACAAAAGCGCCAACAAAACCACCCCTCCCTCCCTCTCTCTCTCTCTATAGATCTCATCCGCCTGAGGATTTCCGTTAATGCTGTACAGCACTCCCCTAACAAACCAAGAGTGTGACTCATTCATTTACATGAGCAGTGCTTTCCTTGCATGATTGTAGGGCATGGCGTCGGCTTGTGTGAACAATATAAGTGTGTCGCCGGAGAATTTCTCGCCGGCTGCTTACCCATCGTATGGCTGGTTGAGTCCCCGAATCTCTTTCAGTCGCGAAGAAGATGCCTCCAAGCAACCAGGATCCTCCAAAACTGTCTCATGTGATACTCCGGTTGAAAATCCGCCGGAGATTCTAGATCCTGTCGACTTTGAGTTCCGACTGGAGGATCCTGTAACCATGCTACCCGCCGACGAGCTTTTTTCCGATGGGAAGCTTGTGCCACTGCAAGTTACTAGTCTTAAGCCGGTTAATGCTATGAACGAGATCAGATCGCCGGAGACTGCGAAATCTTGTCGTAGAATGGAGATGGAAATATCCAGCACTGATCCCTACTTATTTTCCCCGAAAGCCCCTAGGTGTTCGAGCCGATGGAAGGAGCTCTTAGGGTTGAAAAAGCTATACCAGAATGCGAATAACAAAGCTGAAACCCATAAAACAACCTCTTCGTCATCTTCATCAAACCTTAACCCAAAATCTTTGAAGCATTTCTTGCATAGAAGCTCAAAATCTTGCAGTTGCAGCTCTTCATCTTCCTTAGACCACTCTCTGAGTCTTCCGTTGTTAAAGGACTCAGATTGTGAGTCCGTTTCCATTTCTTCTTCTCGATTATCGCTTTCTTCTTCATCTTCGAGCCATGAACATGAGGATCTCCCTAGACTTTCACTCGATTCAGAGAAACCAAACACGAGTTTGAACTCCCTCCAAAATCCTAACCCGAGCCCAAACCCATTTGTCCTCAATCGCAATCCAAACCAAAATCCTCCTAGAATGAGAATGGTGAAGCCTAGATCAGAGACTAATTGCAATAGCAGCAACAACAGTAACAATAATCCAACGGCTAGTACGAGAGCGGGGAGGAGCCCAATGAGAAGGACCGCAGGGGAATCGAGTGGAGTGACGAGCAGAGGAGTTTCAGTGGACAGTCCGAGAATGAATTCGTCAGGGAAGATAGTTTTCCAGAGCTTGGAAAGGAGTTCCAGTAGTCCAAGTAGCTTCAACGGCGGTCCAAGATTCAAGCACAGAGGAATGGAGAGGTCATATTCAGCCAATGTGAGAGTCACTCCAGTTCTCAATGTTCCCGTTTGTTCCCTGAGAGGAACTTCTAAGTCAGTCTCTGTATTCGGCTTTGGTCAACTATTTTCATCATCTCCTCAAAAAAGAGAAACCAGTAACAAAGCGCAACAGCAACAGCAGCAGCACAGTAGTAGCCGGAACCGGACTGATCGAACATAGCAAGGAAGAGAAAGCGAAAGAGAGAAGGGTAACAACAACACCATCATTTAGCTTTTAACTTTTAGATTTTTAGAGCGTGTTTAATGCTATTCATGGGATTTCGGTTATGGACTTTTCTTCAATTTTTTTTTTATCCCTTATCTCTTTTTTCAAATTACCACATGACATTGGGGTTCTTTTAGATGGCTGTATATAAGCGGCGGGTTCTGTTGGTTATTGTTGTTGATGTCATTCCGTTATGTTCCTATTTTAGTTGGTTCTTGTTCCACTGATCTAACAACCAGCTAATCCCTGTAGTTGTTTCTTGACTGAAAGATATGGAATCTCTCTCTCTCACTCTGGTTTCTCACTTTCTCTGGTTGGGAATGGCAAGCTGTGTTTGATCTGCACGCGCTTCAAGAACTCGTATTTTGCTTATGGGCAATCTAATATAATCTGATGTGTTTATCTCTACTAATTTTGTTTATATATTTTATAATCCGTATTTTGTTGTTTAGCGGTGAAATTTGGGGAATGATGACAAGATTCAAACAGATGAGCAGACGCGCCAGCGCTCTCTGCTGAATAATCTATCGCACGTCAGTCTGATCCCGAACTCTTGCCCCCTCCTCCTTGTTTAAACCGTTCCTCTTTTTCTTATTTTAATTAGGATTTAATTAGTTTTTAATTACCTGTTTAGTCCATTTCAGTGGATCATTGATCTGGGTAAGATTATGTGTTCGGTGGGCCATGGGTGACCCCATGTGGGTCAAGTTCCGAAAATATATGCTTTACTTGGTCAGATTCTTTGGCAGATTCTTGGATCTTTTTATCTGAAGTGAAATAGCCAAGAGGATGAAAATGTCAATTCCAGTTCATTTGCCTGGTTTTTGTTCGCTGATAGATTAAAATTTTTTAAAAAAATAATTGAAAAAAGACGGACATAATTTGTTCTACAATATAGTTAAATAAGATGCTTATATAACCCCAGGTGGCCTACAGGATTGTATAATCAAATATGCAAGTCCATGTGCCTGTGAAAAAGAGCAAGCATATCATTTAATTATCAAATTTCAGTTTGTCGTTGTCCAATGGGTCTATCATCTTATGAGATAACACCACTGGCTTTTTATAATTTTATTTTTCACCCCAAAACAAAAAAGATTCTTTGGGCAAGATTCGTTGGATCGTTTTTTATCTTGAAGTGAAATAGCACAGGAGGATGAAAGATGTCATTCCAGTTCATGTTGCCGGGTTTTGTTTCGCTGGATAGATTAAAGATTTTTAAAAAAATAATTGGAGAAAAAGACGGTACAATAAATTTTGTGTTCTACAAGTATTAGGTTAAGATAAGATGCTTTATAACCCCAGGCTGGCTACAGGAATTGGTATTCAAATATGGCAAGTCCATGTTGCGCTGTGAAGAGGCAAGCATATCATTTAAGTTTAATCAAATTTCAGTTTGTCGTTGTCCAAGTGGGTCGTATCATCTTATGAGAATAACACGCACTGGCTTTTTAGTAATGTTGTATTTTTCACACCCAAAACAAAAGATAAAAAAAATAAAAATAATTTAATAATGATATATAATATAATATATATATATTGGAGGATTGTATTATCCTACTCCATGGCCTATAGAGCTCTTAATATCCTACCCCAATAGTTAGCCGTTGGATCTATCAGTCGCCGTTTGTTTGTATTTGAATTTTTAACCTTCAAGAATCAATAACATGCGATTGGGGGAGTTTGACTAGTCTTCTCGGACCAACGAATTTGTCCTCTTGCGTTTTGGGCAATGGTAGACAGCGTGAAAACAAAGCACCCACTCAACACACACACACACACACACACACACGCCCAACCCCACCCCCCCAACATCTCTTTTTTTCTTTTACAACTTTTTCTATATAATTTTATTTTAACAAAATATGATAAGTTGTGATTACACAAGAATCATATTATTATATTATATAGCTATATATTTCAAGTAAACTTAAAATAATATTATTAAATAAAATGGACATACTAAAATAGATACACCAAGTAAATTTGAATATTGTTTTATCCCTTTTCCGAAAAAAAACCAAAAAAAAGCCCCCCCCCCCCCCCTCCCCCCCCCCCTGAAATGGTCCTTGCCAGATAGAAAAATTATAATTGTTTAGGTTCTGAATGTCTAATCTTATTGTTTGTTTTAAAAGATTTATAAGATATAGTTTTCACTTTGCTATCTTGATGATTTTATTTATATTCTGAGTAATTTTGGAAATTAAGTTTACAAATAAGAAATGTAGTTAATTTTAAAGAAGTCAATCCCCAAGCTATCAGTTAATATATATATATATATATATATTTCAAGTAAACTTAAAAATATATATTAAATAAAATGGAATACTAAATAGATACACAAGTAAATTGGAATTTGTTTATCTCGAACAGCCTCCTGAAATGGCCGTTGCAATAGAAAAATTATAATTTTAGGTTCTGAATGTCTAATCTTATTGTTTTATTTAAAGATTTAAAGATATAGTTCACTTTGCTTCTTGATGATTTTATTTATTTTCCTTGAGTATTTGGAAATTAGTTTACAAATAAAGAAATGTAGTTATTTTAAAGAAAAGTCAAATCCCCAAGCTATCATTAATGTATTTTGATAGAAAAAAAAAACTTTTAATCTCAACGGTTTTTGCCGTGTAAGCCACCAGTTGGTGATAACAATGAATGAATGAATGAATATTAATTGACAATGAAATCTCAGGTCCTTTTCTCTCACGTTCTTTAGTAAAAGCAAGAACTCAGCAAGTGAAATTTTAAATGCAACGGTCATAATTGTACTTAACCATATTGAATGCATAATAATAAAAGCATACAATAGAAAGAAAAAAAAAAAAAAAGAGATACATACGTAATGTATTTTGATTTATAAGAAAGAAATAGTTAGAAAATTGAAGGGAAGGCAAAGCTGCGAAAAAGAACGTGGTCATGGACAGTCGAGCTCGAGCCTGGCCTCTGATTAGATTCCTCTTTCTCCAATCTCTTTTTAATTTTTTATTTCTTCCAAAGAGCACCCGTTTTCAGCTTTTCTCTCCTTATGTTTTTCCCCTCTTAAAAAGTTTTAGGAGTTATCAATCTCATAAAGGTTTTAACATTTCAATGTTGGAAATTAAGAACAAAATCACTAATTCAATGTCACACATACTAATTCAATTTTGAACCTCTGAACACATAAAATTTTATTAAGTTAGGATAGGTAAATTGGAAACTTCTTGTTAATAAAGGCATAAAAAGCATAAATTGGACCGAGTAAAAAAAAAAGAAAAAAGAATAATGGGTAGAGAGTATAGAGAGTGGGGGCATGTGAACTATTTGGGTCACATCAGCGTATCTTGTTTTAGGCAGCGTGGGTGAGCTGTAAGCTTTGTAACTACATGAAAAATATCTGCCATTTCTATATCTCAAATTCACCACGCTCTGAAGTGATGGTCATATCATTCCTGCAAAGCGGAGACGAAACTCCCTCCATTCCACACTCTCAATCATTAACTTCATGAACATTTCTTCTTGGTTGTTTATTCGTACTGTCAAAAAATTGCTATTAAGTGCATGAATCAGTTGAATTATACGTTTCCTTTTCGGACAGTAAAGAAACAATTTTGTGATGGAATTATTGAATGGTGTTTCATGATCGTGAAGGCTATCTGACCATTTGCAGCCATAAGCTTTTCTAATTTATCAGTACTAGAGGGGTCTAAAATCTAACTATGCAAAGCAAAAATCAAAAACCTCCACAACTGTAGAGTGGGTGTAAATCTAAACCTGCCAAACCCTAACTCTTGCAGGTGTAAATCTAAACATGCCAAACCCTAACTCCTTCATTTAAGCAACCCACTTGCCTAACTACCTGCTAAAAGGGATTAAGTAACTTTAGGCTAATTAAGTTTGGGGCCAAGTTTCATTCTTTTAGCTTAATGATATATTATCAGAATCCAACCCAAAAGAGACATAAATAGCAAAAATGGTGATTTCTGCAGATAAGAGTAGCAAAAGGAAATACTTTTGCAGTCCTTTGCCAAAAAGATTAATGGGACTCTTGCCTTTACATATTCTCTAGATCTTTCACGATTTTTTTTTTTTTTTGGCCTTCCAGTGTTGGCATATATATAGCAGCAGAATATGCTAATTATGATAAATTACCTTAGCCCATTTATAATTAATTAAAAGGGTGTCTCAAACTCTAATCAAAGAGTAGGAAGAAAGTTTCTTTTGATTAAAAATTTTAGTTAATCTTTTACTCTTTATCTGAGAAGGAAGTAGTTTCATTGATGAAGAAGCAAGTGTAGTGGTCAGAGAATCACATGCATGAAAATATTAGGAAGTACTACTTTGCAATGAAAATTTTTGCCACAGCAACGTCATGACCTTAGCTGAACAGAACTTGGATATACAGAATTGTACCCAATTAAGCTTCATCGTTAGAGGTAAAAGGTAATGAATGCGAAGCAGAAAATGGTGGAGGTAGGGCATCTTCTCTGAGCAGGAGTTAACGTGACAGTAAAGAAAATCAATTTATTTACTTAATTAATTACATTTCTTTCATTAAGATGAATAGAAAAACATTTATGAGATGAGCAACCTCAAATACTGAAACGTAAAATGAAATTAATCTCACATCTATAAAAAAATTGTTGAGCTTGGAGAGCAACAGTACAATACTTTTAGATGATGTTTTATTAATTTGTCCTATTTTCTAAATAAACTCAAAATTATATCATGGATATTATTATAATTTGTAGTTTGAGAGCTTTTTACCTTCAGCGAAGTTGATTTGCATATCAAACAGATTTATATTACATTTTCTACAAAATAATTTCATTTGAAATGTATTTTTTGAAAAATATATTTTCTGGGAAAATAGGCAATTTTAAATCAAACGAGAGCTTAGTCTTTTATTTTGGAAAAATGGAAAAATTTACCTATACTTAATATACGAATCATTCGTCTGTGTACCAAACTAGATAAAAGTAGTATTTTAGTTCAAATGGACTGCGAAAAGGAAAAAATAAAATTTCTTTTTTTAGTTTAGTATACGGTAGCCAAGAAATTTGGTTGGAGGGATGTGGTATCTAGTTAGTGCTGGCTAGGGAAAGCTGCAGTGCTTGTTTTGACTGCATTTGGAGGAGATGAGAGGTGAGGATTGATTTGATTTGTTGTTTTCAACTTAGATTTAATTATTAGAATAAAAAAAAAAAAAAAACGAAATTACTCTGTGAATAACGAGTACCGTACGTCATGTCTTGTTTTTGTCATGTTTTTATTGTAATTGTCACGTGACTATCCCTTTGCCACAACGAGGCTATCTTCTTGTCCTTTTTCTACTTCTATTCACTTTTGTCCTGGTCTTTTAAAAGAAAATTAGGGATAAGAAAGGGCCAGGTAAGGTATATCTTTTCCTTTCTTTTGTTGTTTGTTTGTTTATTTTAATAATCTACAAATTTAATTAATTTCGACTCATTTTAAAAAATAAAGAGATCGATTCAGAGAAATTTACATTATGGAGGATCAAGTTCGTGACTTAAGCTACTTCATTTGGGTTTTCTTTCCATTATTAATTAGGTCTCGAATTACCGTATGAATATATATTAACGTCTATGATCAGTCCAATTCCTTTTTATTTTCCCTTTTTAGTACTTTAATTTTAATATTCTATAATTAATCCCTTTAATTAAAATTGATCAAATTGAAATAATGCCTATTAAATATTTTAATTTGTAAAATCATTTTGTTAAACATGGTAACTTACAAAATTAGGTAAATTAAACATATATAAAATCGATAAAAATGTAAAATGATTATCCTAAAATGTACAATAACTTTATTATAAATTAATATTTTACATGTAAAAATCAAAAACTCTAAAAATTGTTGTTGTTAATGTGAAAATGTATGTAGTATTAACAAAATTTTTAAGTTTAAAAGCACTATAAGACACTCACAAAATTCAGACCGTCGCAAACTCAAGGTTGCAAAATGCAAAAATGAATTTGACTATTCATCTTTATATATTTTAAATGAATATTGTCTTTTCAAAAAAAAAAAAAAGAATATTGAAATATATATGTAAAATTATAAGTAAATAAGCACCGGAATTCGCTCGCATAAAAATTAAATTGACTTGTGTTATATACACTATCCAATTAAATTATAAGTTATTCAATTTTTTTTTTTTTTATTATTCAACATGAGATTCAGAAATATAACATTTGAAATTTGATACTTAAAACATGTCCAAAAAGGGTAAATTTCTAAGGAAAAAATGTGAAAGCCATGTCTCTATTTGGATTCCTAAATTGGTAAATTTAAGTAAGACTAAACATCATTAAAGCCCTTCTCTTCTTTTTGCCACAAATTAATTAACTTTTGTTGGTTACAACTTGATTGAGTGAAAGAAAAGACCTCTGTGATATGATCAATCAAATCTTCAAACGCTTGCAGAAAAAAAAGAATGATTACTTGATGTGATTGATCATCTTTAGCTAACTCTTGTGTTTCTTTTTTTTTGTTTATCTAAAACACACCACGCCCATCAATTTCAATTTTCAACTACTCTGCATTCTGTTGTTTTTGGGCTGGGATCCTGACTAAGAGACTCGGGCATAATTTACATAAGTTCGACCTGACTCAGAATTTAAATGGGCTTCAATTTTAAGCCCAAATTACAATGATGTTGGGCCTTTATTTACTTTGTTCTGTTGCATAGAGTACCCAATTTGAATGATCGGCCCAATAATCCTTTAAGGCTTGTCAAAAGTTTCGTGCGTTGGGGGCAAAGATTCCTAATAATATAAAAATAAAGAAACCAACATTAAGCATTCAAGCTAATTTTTTGTTTTTTTACACTTAATCAGTGTGTTTTTTATTTTTTTTTTTTTTGAAGATTTTAGATTTATTTTTTTAAAATTAAATCTTAAAAGAGATAAAAAAAATTTCCTTCAGCATTTTATTTGCTAAATTAATATCGTTGTATATTGTTCCAAATTAAAAAAAAAAATCTACAAGTATATAAAAATCTTGAACTTATGAAATTATTTTAAAATAAACAAGCAATTATTATAACCCTCTCCACTTCAAAAGCTAAACACATGAGAAGTGATTTCTAAACTAAAATAAGAATTATTATAACTTTTGAAGACTGTAATTCGAAATTGGAAAAATAATAATAGAATGTTTTTTATATAATAGATGGTGTGCTTATCATTTGTATTGGCATTTACTCCCTAATACCAATGAATAATCAATAATTCATTATTCTTAAATATAATAAAGATTCGCTAATCAATTTTCATCTAAAGACATTAAAATTATCTCTCAAATTAATTAAAACGTAAGATTTGAGTTCGAAATAAAAAAAAAAAAAAAAGATGATTTAGGTCATAAACAGAGTAACTTTTTATTACACCAAGTCACTTTCATGTAAATGAAATTAACCAAAAAAGAAAAAAAAGAAGAACAATCCATTATCTCAATCACCATGTAAATTGTAAAAGCCAAGTGAAATAACGCCATATAAGAGTTCATCTGTCTCACTTTCAAATGATGATGGATTATTTTGGTCAGAGGCTCAGAGCAATGGCAGATGAAGGAAATTTCATGTGCCTGTGAAATGACTGCGACCATTTTCAACCGTTTGATTAAATCAAACCAGAAATGGCAAACACCTGTAAATATTTATGTGAAGGGCATTTATGTAAGTTCTCATTTTATCGTACGCAGGAAATTAGGGGGAAAGAAAGAAAAACCCAAAAACCATTTATCAGCTTCAAAATCAATCAAAAAGCCCAAAACTCATGAAAGCCGAAAAAATCCAAACCCATACCCGCGAATACAGAAAGACAAAGAGGAAAAACAGAGCTATATATATAGATTGATACATACGCCACAGAAATGAAGATGAGAAATTAAAAAACATAAAAGGTAAAAATCCATCATCGTCTATCAAACGAGTTGCAGAATATATAAGAGAAAGACCCCAATCAATCAAAAGAGCAAAAACCCTAATTTTCAAAAAAAAAAAAAAAAAAAAAAAAAAAAGAAAGAATAGAGAGAAACCCAAAAACATTTATCAGCTTCATAATCAATCAAAAAGCCCAAAACTCATGATAAGGCCGGTAAAAATCCAAACCATACCCCGGCGAAAATACAGAAAAGACAAAAGAGGAAAAACAGAGCTATATTATATATATAGATTGATACATACGCCATGCAGAAATGAAGATGAGAAATTAAAATAACATAAAATGGTAAAAATCCATCATCTGTCCTATCAAACGAAGTGCAGAAATATATATTGAGAAAGACAGCAATCAATCCAAAGAGCACAAATAACCCTGAAATTTTTCATAAAACAAAAAAAAAAAAAAAAAAAACAGAAATGAACTAATACATCACATAATGATTGCAGAAAGAGATTCTGGCGCCAAGGAACACCAAAAACCGAAGCCGCGCAACTAAAAAAAAAAAAAAAAAAAAAAAAAAAACAGAAATGAACTAATACACAAAACATAATGATGACATGAAAGAGATTCATGGCCAAGGAACACCAAACCAGCGCGCAACCTTGGGGTACGTTAGAGGAGCTATTATTGGCCTGCGCCGTGAACCGCCACGGCACCGACAGCTGGGACTCCATCGCCATGGAAGTACAGAACCGAACATCTACACTCTGTTCTCTCACTTCGCAACTCTGTAGGGATAAGTTCAACGACCTTAAACAGCGTTTCATGCCTCAAAATGATACATCTGCCAGTCTCGTTCCCATGGTAGATGAACTCCGTAAGATTCGGGTGGAGGAGCTTCGACGTGAGGTCCATCGACGTGATGTCTCGATCGTGTAAATTTCGCGCTTATTGTTGAAGATCCGATTCTAGATGGTCGGGTTTTTGTTGAGATCTGAGAATTTTTACGCTCAACGTCCTTTTGTCTTTGCAGGTCCCTCGAATTGAAGGTCAAGAGATTAGAGGAGGAAAGAGAACGCAGCTTGAACGTGGAGACAGATCTGGCGACAGAGAAAAAACCTTCTCCTGAGAAGGTTACCGGTGAATCCGCCGCCGGTGACGACTCCAGTGAGGAGCGCGACAACCGATCGTTCAACGAGTCCAATTCTACGGGTCAACAAAAAGCTGATACATCAGCGGTGAGAGAGCAAAACGACATCGTAAATGGAGAACCGGGTATAAAAACCGAACCGGAAATAAAAAATGAAAATGATCGGGTTCGTGACGGATCCGACCCGAAGTATTGGTCCCGCAACGGTAAGTTAGAGGAGGTCGATGATGACGATAAACCACCACTAGATAAAAAGGAAACTGAAATTAAAATGAGTCGGACCACGGGTGGGCTCGGCGAGTCAAATGAGCTGGTCGAATCGTTCGGGGAGTCTAAGCGGGAAGAGAAAGATAAGCAAAATAGTGACGTGCAAAGCTCAGCTAGTTTGTCGCTGAAGACTAAGACACGGCGTCGTAGGAGTGGTAGTGGCAGTGGAAACGTTTTGGGGGTTGGTAGTAGCAGCGGGGAGGAGCCCGAGGGAGGTGATGAGGTTTCTCCCGCCACGAAGCAGACGCCCGCCGTCAAATCAGAGTCGTTGGTTAAGCTTATTGGGATAATTCGGTCTCATCGGCTTGGCTCTGTGTTCGAGCGGCGGCTTCGAAGCCAGGTACTTTTATCTGCTTTTTAATGGAATGTTTTTTTAAAAATATAATTTTAAAAAGACCATAATAATCACTCCCAATTGACGGGCAACACCAATTCCTAAAAAATATTTAGGCTAGCAAATTGGCAAAGTCCTACTATGCAGGGTGGGTATGTTGGTAATTCGGTTCGAATCGAAGTGCTACTCCGTTGGTCATTTAAGCCTTCTGCGATATGCGTTAGCTATTGAGCTGCGAAGCGTTGACGTAGTTCTCTGAGAAATTAACGGCGTGGATGAAGTGCATCTAGTTTCTGTGGGGTCCATGTAACAGTTTTGTTGAAAACTACGTGATAATTTCGCGTACGGTTAAAGGTAACTCTCTAAGATATACCTTAAAAAAATTTTTTAATGCAAAGCCATAATATTTCATGGGAAAAATAATTAAGAGCTATGAACTAATACTTAGTGCTCATAATTAAATTTTTTTTTTCTAATTTTCATATCCATGTCTTCTATTTTATGAGTAAAGAAAATATTTTAGAAAAATTATGCCGAATTTACGGGATTTTCCTAGTCCTCAGAGCACTGAAAAAGTGAGAGAGTATGGCAGTCATTACCTAGGAAAAATTATTATTGGTGCATGTTTGAAAGAATATTGCCTGATAAAGTAGTAAGGGACATTTTTGGACCGTCAAAAAATTAAAATATGAACATTGTGGTACGGTTGACGTGGCAGTGGATGTAGTAGTTGTTTTAATATTGGCACGTTGACGATCTCTACCACTCTTTATAGACTGTAGAACATGAGCACGTGGCATTAGGTGATTGGAAGTAGAATGTTGGTGTTGTTTATTTGTTATACAAATGAACGTATGAATTGAACCGGAATTGGATAAATCTGTAAAAACAGTTAATGATGTATAATTAAATATTATTTATAAATAGATCAGAATATTTTAAATTTTATTTTATATGCCTACAAAAGTATAGATTATTCTAATTTAAACCATATGTATTATGTATATATAATTTAGTTTTGTCGTATGTTAATTATTTTGAACTAAAATGTAAACTTAGCTCCAAACTATGACAGAATCCTGGTAACCTAACAAACATTTTATTGGTGGTAATGGCAAACCATTGGTGCGATCAAATAGCCCCAAAACAAAATCATCTGTGCGTAGAACGTGAATTGGGAGAAAGCACCGAAAACTTAAAATTTTAAGTGTTTTAATGGAGTTCCAATTAAGAGCCAAATGTCTTTAATCATTAATGGCAATTATTTTGCAGGAATCCGAACGGTACAGAAAGTTGATCCGGCAACACATGGATCTCCAGACGATTCAACTTAGGCTTGATAAAAGGGTCTACTCTTCGTGCATTCAAAAGTTCTTCAGAGATCTTCTCCTTTTATTCAATAATGCAATCATTTTCTTCAGAAAAAATTCACCAGAAAATCTTGCTGCTTGTGAACTTCGAGCTATAGTCTGGAAGGAAATGACTGAGAAGCTTCGGAAACCAGAACCTCAACCCATCATCGTTAAACCATTTAAACCTGTTATACCTGAACCCAAACAACAACCTAAACCGGTTTCCCTTTCAAAACCCAACAGATCTTCTTCTACCATTGTTGTTTGCGGCAAGGCCAAATCATTGTCTGAAAATGCTACTAAAAAAGTTGATAGTAAGAAAGAAAGAGTGATTGAAGAAAAACCAAAGTCAAGTGCCAAGAAGAATGAAGCTTCACTTGTTAAGATTGAGGATAAAAGCATAAAGAAGAAAAGGACAAAAGATAGGACGGTGTCGTCCAATCATAAGGTCTCTAATACAAGCAACAAAAATGGAGAGATAAAGCATCAATATGGCGGCAATGAGCTTAGTTCACATGATGCTTTGGAAATGAAGGTGGAAAGAAAAGGGAGTACCACGAGGAAGAGACAAGGAGCAGCAAGCTTCTTGAAAAGAATGAAGCAAAATTCACCGAGTGAAGTAACTGAGGAGGATGATGACGACGACGGTGATGACAATGATGGTGATGACTCCTCTGAGGAAGAGAGTAAAAATGTGAAAGGAAAGGAGGAAAAAGGAAGAAAAGGAAGGAATAGAGAGCCAATCATAGAACGAATTACAAGGAGTTCCAGAGGAAGAGGTGCAAGAGAAGAGAGTGGAAGAGGAAAGAGAAACCTCGGAAGGCCACCAAAGAAGCAGGCAGAGAGTACGGTAGAGTCAGGGAAAAGGAGGAGAGATAATGGTTGTTCTGAGGGTGGTGGGAGGGCCAAGAAGAGGTCAAGGAGGTGATGTGGATTGTTGTATGATGTATATTACTGCTGATTTTTTTTTTTTCTAATTTTAATTTTTTGCCTTGCTTATATGTTAAAATGTCACTATTCATTAGAAAGTTAAAGAGGAGATTAGGAAAAAGGGAAGTTGAGAATGTACTGTGAACTTGTAGAAGAATGTTTGTGGTAGTCATTGCATATACACAGCATCTGTAGGGATAACATGAATGATAAGCTAAGATTTTTTTGTTTGTTGCACTTTGTGTGAAAAAAACTTATGGCATCCTTCTGCTCTTAAAAGGGGTGTAGATTTTCCTACCTCTTGCAGCAGGTATTGTGGGCCTGTCCAGTGCTTCAGCAGAGGAAGGAAGAATTTTGGGCTTGAGATCGAAGCAGAATGGGCTTAGATTCTTTTTATTCTACCAATTGGGAAAGCTCGAGTGTTCTGCAGGCTTGATTAATGACTTTTGGACCTGTGGATGAATTTCCTGCTCTGGTGGTTGGTTGGAAATAATTAATGAGACTTTGATTAATTCTTGACTGCAATATGTATAAGAAAAACTACCTTACCCTCTTTAAGGAGTAACTTAGGACACAGACTGTTTACATAATTAAGGACTGACACCCTAAATTTATGAACTCTGTGCACTAATCAGCATTGTCTTTTTCTTTCTTTAATCTTTTTTGTGTATTGGAAATTATTTTCTTCCTATGTTTGCTACAGACCTCAAATGATCAATTTTTAAAAAATTTAAATTGATATTTTAAAATTTCTTTATATAAAAAATGGCACTTTATCTTATAATTTTTGTTAATGATTAAAAAAAAAAAAACAGTAAACCAATGCCTAAGCTCACCAAAAATTTGGCTAACAAACAACTTTCTCTTTATGACCGCAGTCTTTACAACTGCTCCTTGTTTTGTCCAACGAGGTATGAGGTAATCAATCTCTCTCCTCCACCCAATAGCCATTTTTGAGCTATCTTCGAAAGATGTCAAACTGTACAGTTGAGTCCACCACAGTAGAGACCAGTGATGGAGTGAAGCTCCGGACAAGGGTTTTCAAGCCGAAAGAAGATGAGATCAAAGACAATTTGGTGATTGTTCTTGTCCATCCATTTTCAATCTTAGGTGGTTGTCAAGCTCTTTTGAAAGGCATAGCAATTGGGTTAGCTGAGAAAGGTTATAGGGCTGTGACCTTTGACATGAGAGGTGCCGGAAGGTCTACAGGAAGACCTTCTCTAACTGGTTTTTCAGAAATCAAAGATGTAATCGCTGTCTGCAAATGGGTTTGTGACAATCTTTCTACGGACAGGATTTTGTTGGTGGGTTCCTCGGCAGGTATGTGTTGTTTTCATTAATTTTTAATTGTATTCATTTGATTAGTGGATGATGTGCGATTATTTTCACTTGGATTTGTAGTGAGTTGTGGGTAATGATTACAAATGCCTGTTTGATTAGTTTCAATGGATGATTCATTAGATCTATGAAATTGGTATGCGTTTGTGAATCTGCTGCAATCATTAGGCTCGTTTTACATTATATAAGGAAAGAAACTGCTTCTCAACATATCTCAGTTTACTAAAATTGCTCATTAGTGATTAAATTTTCTTTTAGCTTTGTTGGAATTAGATATTTCTGAGCTTTTTGCGGATTGGTGAAGTTAGACTGATATATTTTCCTTTTAACTTATCAAGCAGCTAGTTTTGATGATTTTTTATGCTTGGATAAACATACTGTTTGGGGATTTTTCACGGCTATGCTAATTATTCTCTCTGCTTCATGTGTTTTACTTGTTTTCGTATAGATATTTTTGCTGGATTTTAGGTGATAAGTTCAGCTGAATTTGATAGTGGGTAGTTTTAGTGAAGAAAAATGTTTAATACTTGGTTGTGGGATTCTTGAGTAGCATATTGTTGTTTGGCTGTTTTTCCCTTTTTAAATGCATCATTTGGACATTTACTATATACTTCCTTTTGTAGAATATCAGCTGCATGCGTTCCTGTTCTGCTTTGATTAAAAAATTTTCTGTTCTTCTTTTCCCCTCAAAAGGGAAAGTTAATGATGCAATGAAAAAAGTTTGGAAAATGATAACTAAACATAGTAACCTGACCAAATAATATATATAGTGTGATAAAAAGAAGATATAAACCTTTGATAGCTTTAACATGGATAAACAAAACCATAAAAGTAGAAAGTTATATTGCCAGCTGCATTTATTCATTGCACTATGCCTGTCCATTCAAGTCGTAATTTTCTTTTTCCTTCTCATGGGGAGTTTGGGGTGCATATCGAATTGTTCCTAGCAACTTCTTTAATTTATATGACAATAATGAATGCTAGTTTCACTGTCTCGATGCACAAGAGTTTAACTTTTATATGAACTTAGATTGCAAGATTCTGGACAGTGAAGGTCACTAATTATGGTTAAATATGACATATTCATTGTTGTACAGGTGCGCCGATCGCAGGTTCTGCAGTAGATGAGATAAAGGAGGTGGTTGGATATGTTAGTCTGGGATACCCTTTTGGCATGATGGCTTCAGTCCTTTTCGGGCGACATCATAAAGCCATCTTACAGTCTCCAAAACCGAAACTCTTTGTAATGGGAACCCGGGACGGGTTTACCAGTGTTAAGCAGTTACAGAACAAGCTGAGTTCTGCTTCAGGCCGTGTCGAAACACATCTAATTGAAGGAGCAGGCCACTTCCAAATGGAAGGTCCAGCTTATGATGATCAAATGGCAAACCTTATCCTCACGTTTATTGCATCTTTATAGCAGTTAGTTTCTGGCAGTCTCTGAATTTTGATGGTTCAGATTGCCTCCTGTGGTCAGAGTATTGTGTGTATGATTTGCATGTGCTGATTTTATCTTTTGTTAAATCGCAGGGTGTGATTGATGGTTTATATAAAGCCTGGTGCCATCACGTTGAAAATGAAAATATTGTTGCGGAAATTTTTTTAAGAGGGGAGAGTTATAAAAAATCTTTACTCATAAGGTCATTCTGAAGATAATTTACATAAAGCATTTTCAACATTCAATGAAATAAAAATTACAATGAAAATGAACTTGGTTCTATGCCAACGAATAGGCTAAAAGCCAAAAGCTTGGCTGGTCATTAAATTAGTTCTATGATACAACAAAAGTCATCTGCATTCAGCAATAAAACAAATGATTTATATGTCATCGCCAAGTTCAATAGACCCACCTCTACCATCTCTTGCCATTTTGTTGCCATCTGAACTTTCAATTACTCTACCTTCACCACCTATCTCATCATATGGCCGTTTTCTCCATCCCCGATCTTGGTCCATTGATCGTCCATGAGAAAACGTATGTTCTCCATCTGTTTTTTTGCCAAAAGAAAATTAAAAAAAGAAGAAAACACAAACCCATTGCTGAACAAATCCATTATAGTGGATGCAGGATTTGCACCGTCATCTATTCCATCTCACTGATGCTTAAACTGGATTTCTTCTTATTAAGGATGAAGAGGCAAAACTTTTTTTAAAAAAGAAAACAACTAGATGTGTTGGCAAGCTTCCGTATAACCATTGACCCACCTCTCTAGCACTCAGATGAAACAACACTAGTAAAATGATAAATAGTACGCTGACTATTACAGGTTAACGTTGGAGATCCAAAAACAACAATTTGATAATACAATACAAGGGCAGTGTGTCTTTAGAGAACACTGTATAATATAAGCATGGTTATGTGCAATTAGTTATTACCACTTTCACCATCAGATGCATCTTCGAGCTTTGCGATTGCATCGACAAGGGCTTGCTCATGTTCCTGCATCATAGAAAATATAAAAATCCTGCAGTGGAAACATGCACATCGATACAAGGTATTTGGTTCGTTCTTACTTTTAGCACTTTCTTGGCCTTTTCAATTTCCATTGGATCTGGATGGCTAGAACCAAAAACCTTTTCCACCTGTTTAAAATCACAAAAATTAGGTAAAAAGGCTATTAATTTGCAGTTTTAAGCAGTGGTCCAGTTTTACCTCCTTGATTAGACTATCAGTGTGAAGTATCTCAATATCCCCCATCGCCTTTTTTCCAATACCATTTTGCGATAATGGGAAATCTTTTCTAGAATGCCCCTTCATTGTACCTCTACCTCTTCCACCACCAGCAAGTGCTCCACCACGAGCCATGGGTTTCTTATTGCCACGGCCTGGTCCAGGGCGGCTGCCTCTGCGAAAAATTCCTGGGTCCTCTCCCTCCCACCTAAGATCTTCTGGAGATATCTGCCAATTAACAAGCACACAAATCAACTGAGTAGAGATCTTTTTTCCATGAGGATGCATCTTCAAGATGAAATGTAACTGGGGAAAAAAATTGATGGCTAATTGCATGCGAGAATGAAAGGGTAGTGAGAACATGTGCTACTGATTCTAATCTTTATTGCAACTACTAGCCAGTGGCAGATCCACATTGTAAAAAGAGGGGTCAATTGACCCCTCTTTTTTTTTAGAATTTTTTAATATATATATATATATTTATCTAAATTAATCTATAAAATTCAACTTATTTATGTTTTTGAACCCTCTTTTTTCAAAAAATTATATATTGACGCTGGAAAAAAATATTTCTAGATCCGCTAGTAGTACTAGCAATGAATGTATGTGACAGAGGGGAGGAGAAGCAGATACAAGACTGCTAATTCGAAATGAAATGTCCCAATACAATAGCCAGTGATTCTAAAAAGTGAAGCAACTATTATGCTGAGCAAACTTAATCCACATGGAAAGTTCCATCATGAATTACGTTGCCACATTATAATAATAAATAGAGAATCCCAAAAACATGCATCATATCAGAGCTGAAGCAAAATTCAACATGAAATTTAAAGTGTCAATCATTTCCAAAATCACAGATTCACTGGTTCACAGCCTCATTCCTTCAAAAAAATGAGTTCGCATGGAGTTTCATTTCAAGGATATAGGGGCCTATAGTTTAATTGGTCAAAACATGCCACTTGTAACGGTAATGTTGTAGGTTTGTGCCCTTTGAATTAAAGCTTTGCATCTCGTGAGATGCCAGTCACCATTTATTACATTAATTAATTAAGCAGAAGTGGTCAATCACAGATGAGCAGAAATCAATTTTGTTGCATTCTCACTTCACTTACAAGATATAGATGATATCTAAGGCTACTAACTCCTGCCTTTTATATTTTACAAACAACTGGCAACATTTAGCAATTACATATTAAGTTTATATAAGAAATAAAAGTAAAATAACCATGTAAAATTATTAATCAATAGGAACGTGGCAACAATTTTACCTCTTTGAGATTAACCCATTCCCAAGTTTCATTTGCTGTATTAATATCATACACCAAAGCATGCCTCCCCTGTAAATACAAGAAAACTGGTCATGTTGAACCATAAGAATCACTGGATTACCGCATGAAGCCAAAAATGTACCTCAACTGGATTATAATCAGTTATAACAGCCTCATAGAAGTGGTTATCTTCAGGCCAACGCGTCCAAACTTTTCTTCCAATCAAAGGGTCATAACTGGTAGCCTCTGCGGGTTCACTGGTGGCGAATGCACCAGAAGAACTCCGATTATTAGCTTGAGCTCTTCCAGTCAAACCTGCAGAAGGATACTGCATCGACTTCATTGAAGATGCAGCAGAAAATGTACCACATTATCCAGAAACTATGAAAAATAAAACAGGAAATATAAACCAATTAATCAGTTTCCTCACAGTGCAAAGCTATTCAACTTACTGCTTTGGGCTTCTTGCTCTTAGGTCCTGGTGGAGGACCTCGTCTCATGGCTGATGAAGATGGTTGCACAGACGGCAATGCAGGAGAGGGCGCACCCATGGACAATGAAGCAACTGACTGTGATGTTTTTTGTTTCTTGTGTGATGCTGAAACAGTAGGGCTAGGTGTGGGATCATGAGCAGGCTGGGCTGTGCTCGGCATGCTGGGTTGGATCGCATTTGTCTTTCTCCATTCCCTAGCAACATAAATTATTACATTGTCCCATTAAAGAACAAAACTGACTAGAAGTTGTTAGATTTTGGAAAAAAGAAGCTTGGCAGAACATGCCATGAGGTAATTAGACCTTATCCTGCGGATGATGTCATCAGCATTAACTCTGGATAGGAGCTCCCGGTGCTCCTCATCTGATACCCTTAGCTCTTTTCTGAGTTCTGTAATTAAACTCTCCTTTTCCTGGAAAAAGAAAATCACAAAGCACATTCAAATTTACTTAACAGTCAGTTATAGACAGTGAAATTTAATACATTGGATAAGTATGCGAGCAGATACCCAAGTGATAGCATCAGATTGTGCTTTAAACGCCCGTAGTACTGAAGTGTAAGCTTCTTGTTCAATGTTGTGTATTTGAGTTTCCATATCACTATGCATCCTAGGTAATGGAGTAGAACCAACAACTGTTGATCTTCCATTCCCAGCAGGTCGTACCCCACTTGGGAATCTATTTCGATGTGGTGGTGGAAGGTCATCATCTGTTCCTGCCATTAAAATGATGAGGGACACAGCATTGTAAATGATAAATGAAGGTAAAAGTCCCTGTCCATGGAAATGCTCCAAGAAACAAAATAATAAATATACAATACAAAGAACTAAAACAACTTAAAAGAATACAATCAAATAGTTTAAGATTTTGATGCAGCACTGAGCAACACCCTTCAACATCCATTATACATATACACAAAGTGAGTCCATAAATGCTGTAACTTGTTCTTCGAAACCAGAGACAGCTGGGATTTGATAATAAATATTGTAACTAGCCATATAATTCTTTCAATAGACAACACCATCAAATACATGAAAGTGCGTAGCTCTTTAACAGCTGTTAGGCAGTGGTTAGTAAGATTTGAAACTACAAACTGCATTTAATGCATCCCATAGTTAACTGGTTAAGCTGAAGGCAGTGGCAGCCTATTTCCCATTTTCCATAATGCATAAGCAATAAAATTTACACATCCTCAACATCCTGCAGGGTCTAAAAATAATTTCATCTACTATGCATGCAGAAGAAAACGTTAGGATATTGCCATCTCACAGATTATTGCAATCCTCTCACCATATCTCCAAGCCTATCAATACATTACCCAAAAAGTAATGCATAGAGTTTTCTCAAACAAAAATTCAACCCATTTATTAAACCTCCAGAAGTTCTCTTCGAGATAGAAAAGCTAGACAATGACCTCGGTATCTCAAAGTGCATAATTCACAATATTGAATTATGAGTCCAGATTAGAAGGATAAAACATCCTAGTTTCTTCTCTATACTTTGGAAGATGGAAGTAGAACTCGGTAAACTATAATTAAGTCCCAAAAACACTGGGCAAATTTCATTAAGGAAAACAAAATATTTGAATTAACTCACCACTGCTATCAGAGAGTTCATAGTCCATTGCAACTCTTCAAAACCAAAGCCGTTTAACTCTTACAACGACTAGGAAAGGACTCAGCAAAAATAACATAAAAAAGAACCAAGTTCTTCAAAAAACTGAAGCAACAAACACCTGACAAAAAGAAAACAAATTATCGGTCAAAAATTTCCCATTTGAACTGAAAAAAATTTCAAATCAAGCTTCACAATCTTGTCAACTTCTACGAAGCTTTAAACATCAACCAAAAGGGTACTGCACCCCACAGCAAAATTAAAGCCTAAAATCTGTCAAAAACCACCAAAATTTACACAAATCTAAAAACTACCACAAACGCACCGCTATTATCAACGGCCTGAAATTACATGGAAGCTTTCTCCAAACCCTGAAGACGCTTTAAAAAACCTCAATGAACCACTGCAAATATGAATGGTTTCACGAGCTGCTAACACCTGACGGCAGTTAAAAACCGAAAATTTGCATTAAAAAATCCTTCGAAATTCAAACTTAAACGAACCGACACGGCTCAAAGCAGAATTTGTCGCTGAAGCCCCTCCAGAAACACTACTTTGAGCTCTCTGCAGCACTCAAAAGGCCCATACCATCGAAGTATTCGTTGCTTTAGCTCACCAATATAGTCCCTAATAACTGCAATTTCTCATTTACTTTTGTGCCATTGGAAGCGATTTGATGTACGTGATAATTGTGTTTCTGACAGATCTAGAGAGCACTACTTGGAATTTATAGTGATAACTTTGGTTTAGAGAGAAATTTTGATAGAAATTCGTCAATTAATTGAGGAATTAAGGTGTAAATCGAGTAGAAGGGATTTGATCGAGCACGGGGCAAGATGAGTGAGGGTTGCACGAGAGAGGGAACACGGACACGGACTTGAAATGTCTTTTATCGCGCTTCATTTTTTCAAGTTAATAGTTGTGTTTGAGTTCCGGCAAAAAACCAGAGAAACGGTGTCGGTTTGAGGTGTTGGAATTTGGAAAAGAAATGTATATCCGAAGCCGTAACTAAACAAAGTCAAAGCCCAAAACTTAAAAACCTTCTGATTTCGCTAATATTTTTATTTATGTAAATTAAAATTGTGCCGCTTTTAGGGCTAGTTTGAGGCGCCCAATTAGAATGTAATGAAGGAGAGATAAGTAATTTAGTATTTTTGCACTATATTTAATTATTTATTCATCTCTGTACCTTTCCATTAATTTAACCCTTTTCAAATATCAATATAATTTTATTATAACTCTTCTTATTCTTTCCCTTTCTTACCCTCCCTTTAACTATCCTTCCCTCACCCCATCCAAACGGAGTGTAAACGGTGCTACATAAAACGTTAGTATTATCAAAAAGAGGCGTAATCAGATATATACACGCAATTGCCACACGATGCTCGTTATGGTAACCGTACGCTTTCATCTCCCTTTCTTTTGCGTCTTGTTAACTCTAAATAAAAAAAAATATTAAGATTAATTATCCTTAAAGCACTTTAATTAGGAATTTCGTATTATATGAGAGTACAATATCTATCTGAATAAGAAATAAAAGCTTAATAAAAATATAACTTTAATGTTTAGCTTATTTTACACAATTACCCTTTATTTGAAACAAATAAATTTTATAAAATTCATTTATAAATTCAAATTTTAGCGATGGTATAAATTCAGATGAAAATGTTAAATTTGTTCTCAATGATACTATTTATATGTTATTCCTATATTATAAGGCAAATGAATTCTTTTATACTTTTTTTTAAAGGAGAGTTTTTTTTATATTTATTAATTATTGTAAATTCTTTAGCACAAAATTTTTTCAACTGAGTTGCAAATTATTACTGTATTTTTTTATATTTTTGGTAGTTTAAAAGATGAAATAAATGAATTTTAATTATAAATTATACCACCAAACTTCAATTATATGCAACTTAATTAAATTGTGATTCTAAAATACATAACGTACCAAATATAAAAATTTATTTTTAAATAAATTCTAACTAAAATTCAATTTTACATCACTAGCCATTTAAGTCAAACACTACCTCTAAACCAATTTTGATTTTTCTCCGCTCAACAAAACTTTTTTTTTGATTTTTCAACTTTAATTATTTTTTTTAAAAAAATAAAATTGCAGGGTTGGACCACCACCATTCGGCCACCGCTATATGGATTGGAGGATATAAATCCGTTTGATCAACTGCTACAATTAAACCACGGCAGACAGGACTTTTAGCTGGCCATGTAATCATCACCGTATATAACAAAACTGTCGTCGTTTTAATTTCGCGATGTTCACATTTCCCAAACGCAAATTTAAAACAAAGAAAACCCACCGGCTTTTTCCTTATATTATCAGTCAAACCAAATAAAGTAAAACATGCTGCTTTCTCATTTCTCTACAAAGTCCTCACTCCGCCCTCTCCTCTGCACTCTACCCACCTATTACCACACCTCTTCTCGCTCTCTCCGATTCGGGTTTTACCCTTCTGCTTTCTTCCAATCTCAACTCTGTCCTCTCCCCAAACAACCTTCCCTCACATGCAGAGTCCGCACTAGCTCTTCTAGCGGTAGCGTTCCCATGGATACTTCCTCGCCGGAAGCCACCGTGTCTATAGACTCCTTGGCGAATGATTTGAAGAATCAGAGTCTAGGCGCCGATGATAAAATTTGTAATAATAACAATAGTAATGCTAATAAGGTTAAATTGACGCTTGAAGATCTGAATTGGGACCATTCTTTTATTAGAGAATTGCCCGGTGATTCAAGAACCGATACGATTCCACGTCAGGTATTTCCCTCTTGTTTTGTTCTCTTGATTTTTGTTTCAGTTTATGTTGCTTTTTTTTTTTTTTTTTTTTTTTTTTTTTTTTTTTTTAGTCAATGCTGATAAAGTTAAGAATTGGACGCAATTGAAGATCTGAAATTGGACCATTCTTTTATACGAGAATTGCCCGGGTGATTGCAAAAAACCGGATATGAACGATTCCACGTTCAGGTATTTCCCTCTTTTTTGGTCTTTTCTTTGATTTTTGTTTCAGTTTATCGTTGCTTTTTTTTTTTTTTTTTTTTTTTTTTTTTTTTTTTTTCGATTTATGCTATTTGCCTATTTGAATATGCAGGTGTACTTGCTTGTTGGTACTTGCCTTCAATTAATTACTTCTTTAATAGTAAAAGTTATTTTATTTTTCATATTAATCCTAAGGTTTAAACGTTGGACTTTGAAATTTTTATTAGTTGCAATATCTTAATATGCACAATATCGAAATTAATCAATTGTTCATGCAAATTAATGTTTTGATTTTCGCTGTAGGGTTTTGGTAAGAGATTTTTTTTTAAAAATTTGTTCTCTTTCCCAATTGTTTATAATCTCGGTCATTCAGGGAGTTAATTCAGACTTTATAGTTCTATGTTTCCAGGATCTTGCATGCTTGTTATACAAAAAGTTTCCCCATCAGTTGGAAAGTAGTAGAAATCCTTCCAGCTATTAGCATTGGTCGGAATTCAGTAGCTGAATTCCTTGATTGGATCCTAACAGAGTGAGTTTTACCTTATCTTATGATTCTTGGTCGGTGAGTTGCCTTTTTGCGTTTCTGAAACTTGTGGATATAGGTTCATGTGGAGTATTCTATGAGAATGATGAGCTACCCTTTACCCACTTTCCACGTCTTTTAAAACTCACTAATGTGGTTACTTGTTTTCTGGCTTTTTTTATTTTTATTTTTTACATACTGTGCATGTGGTGTTGGTATTAGCGGGGACTAACATGCCAACTTGCATGATGGGATTTGCAGATTTGAACAAGACCGGACTTCCCCCTTATATTTTCTGCGTCTTCTACCATTGGTGGAGGTAAAGTGTTGATGTTCTTCACTTCAATTCGTTGTGACTGCCTAGAAATAATCACTTGAGCTCTTGCTTATCTACTTTTCTTCTATTCATTTCAGTTTTTTCTTTTTTTTTTTTTTTTTTTTTTATCTTTCTCACAGTTGATTCTTTCATCTTATCGACCTTTTCTCTGGCAGGTTGCCCTATGCTCAGTGCTACGGAGCGACATTCAGTTTCGGGATGTGGGGCTGGTCAGCTGGGTGATGGTCGACTATAAACACTCGGAGAGATTCTTGAATTGTGAAGGTCTGAAAGGGTGGGAACTGCAGTTAAAGGTGCTTGGAAAAACTCCATAACAAGCCGTTTTTGCAGATTGGCCTTGCAGTGCTGCCCGAAGCTAAGCATTCCGGGAATTCCTTATGCAAGCCGAAGCAATTTGCACCATTTAGGGAATCCCACACAACTCGCTGCACCTTTTGTCTTGTAACCAAACTGGGGAAAAACTTTATGGTCCCACTAGAGACATGTTTTTACGAGTTATGTTAAAACAGCACCTCAAGTCATGATTTGATATTTTTTTTTTTGCAGTCCACAGCATATCTGCTTTCCCTTTTGTGCTACCCTTTGTGTTTTCTCTTAATGCAAGGTTTGTCTTGATTTTTGGAAGATTAAATCTCTTCTTTTTTCTTTTTGTTTTCTATACAAAAATAAAAGAGGGGTTCTTGATTTTTCCCATAGCTATTTTTTCAGGAAAAATTTAAATTTTAAAAACCTTTTTTTCAAAAAACCAGGGGGTGAAAAAAAGGGGGCATTGGGTTTTTTTTTGGGAAAAAAAAGATAAAAATTTTATAGGTTTTTGGGGGGGGGAAAAAAAAAAAAAAAAAAAAAAATAAATTATTTAATTTTTAAAATTTTTTTTTTTTTTTTTTCCTTTCCCAAAAAGGGGAAAAAAAAAAAAAACCCCAGTCATTCTTACCAAATCTTCTCTCTTTT